GGGTCAAGATGAAGAATGTGTTTCACAGTTTATCTACCACAAGTTGATGGGCCACGATATTGATGATATTATTTTTAAAGTATCATTGCCAAAAAGATTTAGTGTACCGGGTTTACCGGAGTTGAATCACAGTCAAGTGCATGCAGTTAAAACTGTTTTACAACGACCCCTATCACTTATTCAGGTTTTCTTTTCAATTCATCATTAATATTCCCAAGGTTTTCTTTCCCATTCTTCATGTAGATTTGCCACCATAACAATAGATCCATATCTACAGTAGTAATTTGGTTTATTTACAGGGACCACCTGGAACCGGTAAAACTGTAACTTCCGCAACCATCGTATATCATCTTGTAAAACAAACTAATGGTCAAGTACTTGTATGTGCGCCATCCAATATTGCAGTTGATCAGCTAGCTGAGAAAATACATCGTACAGGATTAAAGGTGATCTTTCCACTTCGTAAATTTAGGTTAATATAGCAGTTTTAAGCTTATTCAGGTTTATTTGCTGGAACAATCAGCTTTAGTTTTAGAATTCTTAAATAGAATGTTATCAGAACTTACTTTTCTTTCTATTTCTACTGTTGCAGGTTGTTCGTCTATGTGCGAAAAGCCGTGAAACGCTTGATAGTCCTGTTGCCTTTCTCGCGTTGCATAATCAACTGAAAGCCTTGCATGGTGCAGCTGAGTTGCATAAGTTGCAGCAGTTGAAGGTTACTTGTTAGATAGACAGCTAGAAATTATATTTTTGATGCATAAAAATTAAAAACTAACTTGGTGTCATGTTCAGTTTTGAGCATAACATTTAAATTTAATAACAGTTTACAAATTCACTGATGTTACTTGACTGAGAATTGGATTGATTTAGACTATCACAATATCTGTTAATATAATGAATTCTGCTTGATTATTCTTGATGAGAGAAAATGGATTATTTGGAGGTATTTCATTGTATCATGAATACTTAATAAAAATATCAGTTTTTGAAGAGAAATTCTCAAGTCTTGGTGTCTTATTTACAGGAGGAAATGGGAGAATTGGCAGATGCTGATGAGCGTCGCTTTCATGCTTTGCGCATAGCAAAAGAATGCCAACTGCTGTCCGCTGCTGATGTTATCTGTTGTACTTGCGTCTCTGCTGCGGATAATCGTCTCTCACATATGAGGATTAAGTGAGTGTTCTGTTGTATGATGCATGCAGTAATTATAGTTAAATATTCAAATTTAAACAGAAATGTATCAAAATATGTGCTTGTTTGTTATATAATGTGAGTTGAAGATGTGTTTTGATTGACGAATCGACCCAAGCCACGGAACCTGAAGTAATGGTAGCTGTTGTTTGTGGTGTTCGGCAATTAGTACTTGTTGGCGACCATTGTCAGTTGGGCCCTGTTATCATGTGTAAGAAAGTAAATATTTCAGTATTGTGTAATTTTTTGATACTAGTCATTTGAATGTTAGTTTTTATTTATAATTATTTTCAAGGCAGCTAAAGCTGGTTTATCACAATCACTTTTTGAACGGCTCGTTTTACTCGGAAATCGCCCAATTCGTCTGCAAGTGCAATATCGTATGCATCCCGTGCTTTCTTCTTTCCCGAGCAATGTTTTCTACGAAGGAAGTTTACAAAATGGTGTTACAGAGGGTAAGCACTTATTTATCAATGAGAGCGATAAAATGGAAACACATAAGCTAAATAATTAAATAAGCAGCAAAGGGGAAAGCAGGAAAAGAATTTTGACTCAGGTGTTATCATATTTGCATCTTTTTCCTATTTCTTTTTATAAAATTGGGAATTTCAGGGGAGCGACAATTGATTGGGATTGATTGGCAGTGGCCAGTACCGGATAAACCGATGATGTTTTGGAGTTGCTATGGCCAAGAGGAGCTTAGCTCGTCAGGCACGTCATTTCTAAATAGGTAGATTTTGGCACCGTTTATTAAGAACTTGTAATATTTTTTGGGGCCTAATCGAAACGGGTACTTTCCTGAAAGTTTAAAGGTTTTTCTTATTGCTCTACTTATGAACCTTCTTTAGCATCCATTTCCAGAACTGAAGCAGCAAACGTTGAGAAACTAGCCACTCGCTTTCTGAAAGCTGGAATAAAACCGGAACAAATTGGTATAATCACTCCTTATGAAGGACAAAGATCGTACATTGTGCAGTTTATGCAAACGCAGGGTGCTTTGCATAGTAAATTGTATCTCGAAATGGAGGTTGCGAATGTGGATGCTTTTCAGGTTCTTCCTTTATTTTTTTACTCTGTATTGTTTTTAGCATCAAAAGTCTTAGTTAATGATGCGAAGAGTAATGATACCGTTTTTGATATTGAACTTTATTTGCTTTTCTCATCTCTGCAATTAGACATTCTAAGTTATCTAAAATTTTTGAAGCATTACAGACAAGTAGGGTACTCTTCATGCTATGCCATTATGACTGGTCGAATGTTCAGTACATTTTTTGTAGACGATAACATTAATGGCACTACTCATTATACCACTACTCATGGAACTGTTTTGCATAATCTCTCCACTGATAAGGCTTCTGGTAATTTAAAAACAACTTAAAAAAAAAGGCGAATTTGGGGTAATCAAGATAACTGATAACTGCTAAGTTAGTTCGGCTGTTTATAGTACAATGTTCTTGGATGCTATCAAAGTGCAACAATGAATCGGACATTCATTGTATCATGTAATAGTAGATGCTGCATTCTATTTTCAATGTTTGCACTTTGTGGTTGTTTATTAGAATTTCTAAAAGATCAAGATGAAATTTCAGGGTCGCGAAAAAGATATCATAATAGTGACTTGTGTTCGATCTAATGATCATCAAGGCATTGGTTTCTTGAATGATTCCAGACGTTTGAATGTTGCATTAACTCGCGCTAAATTTGGCCTTATCATAGTTGGCAACGCAAAGGTACTATCGAGACATCCACTTTGGAATTATTTACTATCACTATTCAAAGAAAAAGGTTGCCTTGTCGAAGGTCCGCTGAACAATTTGAAGCCGTCGCCAATTACACTTTCTAAACCGCGTCGTATTCCGAACGTTATGAATGTAAGTTGTTCATAAGAGTTAAATAAAGCTTTGGAAATTCAAATTTTGAAATAAAATACGGTCGCTTTCGTATTGTGAATACAAGTCTTTGCTTTTGGGAAGTTAGAAAGTATGCAATATTTAGGAGTGATTTTTGAGTAATACTGTTATCTTGTATGCACATATAAACTATCAATATGCAGATTACTTTTTCCCAATTTTGTCAATCCAATCAGAGACGATCAATTTTTGCAGATGAATCGTTTTATTCCACGTGGAGCAGTTTTGGCGAAAGATATGCAGGGTAATGCATTTAGTACTCGCAGTCGAGATTTTCGATCGATACAAGATCCATTCGCAGCCATTACTCATGGTCACTTGCGACCTCAAAATGGAATTAACATCCCGGTACCAATGCAGATGTTTGTTCAACCACCACCGCCACCTCATTATTACCAACCTCCACCTCATCCACATCATGGCGATTTGAATTCTGCTGCTGCTACTACTGCACGAAATCGCAAACATTTGGAAGCAATGAATATGTTTAGTTCTCAACAATCTCAAGATCCAATTTTTATGCAACAGATCGGCGAGATGTCAGGTGGGTCGCAATTTCGTTTGCAGAATATTTTCAAAAGTATTTCCTGATATTTCAAGTCTTGGTTAAATTGCAATTTGCAGTTTTATTGCAATTTTCTTCAGGTATATCGCAGGATATATCGGATTGGACACAGTCGCAAACGCAGCATGGTACTCGTGAAGGAGGTACTTCGTATAGCCAGGTGATATTTTGCAGCAATGCTTGTTTTTTGTATGAATAATAAGTTGAATTTGTTATGGTAAATTTGTGTTGTCCAAAGGTGTTTCTCATGAGAAATCATGCGAGCTAAGAGTAATCTTTCTCTAGATGGTATCCGTCCAGTTTTAGAATTAATTTATGACTGTAGAATTAATTTATTATTTTGTGCTAATGTTACTTATAGGTATTTGAAAATTAGTTCTGAATTTTGTAGCGATGTGATGCAGACTGAAAGAAAAAGTATTTAATGTTTGGGATCCCATAATCTTTAACCAAGCTTAGATATTTGATGCTTCAGTTATTCACTACTTTTATTTTTGTTTTTCTTATTCATTTTTTAGCTTGGAAGCAATTATTTTTTTCAGGATCAATTATTGGTTAGCCAAATGGAATCACTTTTTCTGTCGCAAGATGCAAATGTGGATAATTATAATTTCGGTGATGTAAGCCAGTATTAATCAAAAGCAGAAGCATATGATTATCTGAGGCCTGAAGCACTAAAATGCCTGGAGCACTAAAATGCTGACTTCTTGGATAAAGCAACCAGTAAAACAGAAGCACAGTCCAATAGCTGGGCTATCAAGGCCGTATTTGGTTAATCACTAATAATATCGAGTTGTTCGAGAAAGGATTATGGAATGATTTACTTGAAGCTGAAAATACAATTTTTATTTTCATCGTTGGAAATTTTCTTCTGTGAGTTAATTATGCAAAAGATATGCTTCTCTCAATGATAATTTTTTGCTGAAATGTTCTTTTAGTAATCGTCAGTTATATGTACTGCGCGATCATTTATTCATTTCTTGGTTTTATGGTAGAGTAGTATACATTTAATGTATCTTTTGTTAATGATAGTTATTGGGTTCAATCTTTGAAAGCAGTTTAAGTCCAAAGTTACATCAGATTGTAGTGGCAATACGATAAACATTATGAATCATAAATAAATCCTTAAAAATATTTGAGCTGTTTTGGTTTGTAATACAGATAGTTTTGGCTATTCAAAGAAGACTTTTTATTAGCTAATTATCAAATGAACCCTTGCATGTTAAAATAGTTGTAGTACATTTCAAGGAATTTTGTTTCTTGTTTATATTTTAATAATTTATTGAAATTGCAAGTGTTTGTCGCATGTTAAACTATTTTAAGGAGGTCATCCGCATCACAGTTGATTCGTAGTAATATCACTTCTTGGCGCTAATAATTATATCACTCTTCTATTTTTTATGTTTTGTATTCGAATCAAAGATTTTTTTTAGGAGGAAATGATGATTTTTCGGGGTTTTTGTATTACACTTAAAAAGATTGTGCTTCATTTGTCCTCTAAAAATTTTTCTTGAGTATTCATAAGAGTTCAGAAATTCATATTTCTGGTATAATAATCCATATTAGCTTCTGCCGTACAGTTTTCTTTTGATCTTTGCTTCATTGATATTATGGATTTTTCAGAAAATTTTGTTTCTTTTGAATAAAATCGAGTCGTATTCAAGGTACAACATTTTGTATAACTATCAGTATGATGTACTTTAAACTTATAGAAAGGAACTTCTTCGAAGGTTCGAATGAGTGTTCTCTAGGTAAACCGATACATGCGGTTTCAAAATTTTCATTTTATTTGGGAGAGTATTCGCATAGACATGGTTGTGAATTCGTTAGTAGCTTCAAGTTTGTTGGGGATGATCGGTGTTATTATTGTCGTATATATTTATTAGGTGAGAATTTAGATGATTAGAGTAATGGCTGCTTTCGGTCGTGTTCCGGCCGTTCTCACCCTTGGAATCTTTGGGTATTCGAATTTCAGACTTTTAGCAGGGATATTCTATTAGAAAACACTCCAAAATTTGTAGGATTCGGAACGAGTGAGTATAGACATGAAAATAGACAATTTTATACGCTAAAAGTTCTTTTTACAATGCAAGAACGAGTGGCAGCTTAGAGCAGAAAGTGAAGAGTGAATATTTGGATTCTACATGTAATCAGTTTTGGAAAACATTCCTGGAATAATGAAGAATATTCGAGATCTTTTGAGAAATAAGAAATTTTTAGGAATATTCGTGCTCCAAATGGCTAAACGTGGTATTCGAAACCGAAAGAGGAATAATAATGTGAAGAAAAAGGTTGGACCTTTGGTTCCCATATAACCGTAATTTCTTTTACTTCTATGAAAGATAACTCTTCTTGTTTCTGAACAGAACGATGGGTCATCACATTTTGTAATGCTACAAATAACTTGGGACACTGTGGATATGTTTTGATAGGGACAAACTTTTATATTTTTTAAATAAATAGATGAAGGAATACATTCTTCTGTCCCATATAGAGTTAAATGTTGAATCTTGCAGGGTGAAACTCAGAACTACGTGTTAACAGAATTTGATAAAACAAACGAAAACTTCTGCTTATATTATAAAAGCCAGGGAATTGTCAAAGAAGATGAGTGGGATGCATTCATAGCAGCTTTAAAAGAAGATTTACCTACATCGTTCCGAATCCAAGGAAGCAGCAAGTATCTTCTTTTCTACTGCGCGTTTTAAACACTTCCAGCTCTGTGTGTGAATTCCGTTAGGACAAGCTGAGGATGGATACTATATATAATTTGTTATTCAACACTCCATATTGTAGCATGATCAACTAGTTTTAATTTTTCACAGTTCAGAAAAATACTCAATAGTGTAATGTGCACAGTGAGCATTAGAAATATACAGACTTATGAATGAAGGTCTGCAAACTCAGAAATTGTTCTGTTCAGTTTAGATGTTGATGAAGACTACAGTCTTCAGACTACAGTCTTCAACAACATCTAAACTGTAGTCTTAAAGATTATTTGAAGTCTGCAGGATGTATTTTCTTCCATAACTAGCCATTTTTATATTCTCTTGATTATAGCTTTTGCTCTCTTTCTATTGAAAAAATTAATACGTAGCAAATGGACACAAAATTTTTGGCTTATTTAAGTTTTTACTTTCGGATAGAAATGCATTAGAATTTTGTTCATATGATCCCCTCTTTTAAACAGCATGATAGAATTTTTTTTTCATATTTCAAATTGCTGAATCTTTCAAAACGATTCTAATCTTTTTTTATTGAAGTCAAATGATAGTTATCTAAGGGAATTTTAGCGAAGCGCAATCTCTGATCGAATTAATGAACACTCGTTATTTCGAGCCCATGAAACAATGGGAAGATGGTGATACATTTGTACCAAAGCAGCTTCCTTGGTATCCATACGCTTTTCAGACTCCAATGTCACGTTCCACATTGCGCAGTCGACCATTGCTGAAGGATTTCCACAATTTTCTTATCACTGAAGCTGAACTAGTATTCATACTTAAGATTTTATATATATTTTATCAGTTTTTTATCTTCATATTTCAACAATTGCAAACATAATATTAAAGCTATATGAAAATTTGCAAATTTTATGGCTGCGAAACTATATTTTTTTAAATTGTAGTTTTGTAATTTCAACATTTATAATTTGTAAACAGCAGTTTTATTTATGTAGATTTGATCAAGAATTCATACCAAAAAAATGGTCATGTGAAATTGTTTTTGGAATTAAAATCTTACTGCATGAGCACTTTTGTATCCCACCATGTTGCAACGCAGGAATAGAATGGCATTAGTAGTTTGAAATCTTTCGATGTATTTTTAGGGCAATATTAGTCGGCAGGAAGCGGTTAGCATGATTCCTCCACTTCTGCTTGATATAAAATCGCATCACAAGATTCTCGATGTCTGTGCAGCACCGGGAAGTAAAACTATGCAGATTATAGAAATGATGCATTGCGACGACAAAATACCTGGTAATTTCAAGTTTAAATTCAGAAAGTTTTATTGAACTTAACATAATATTTTTAATGGAACATCAGCTTTCATATTGCTGAATAAAACAGAAATTGTCAGGAGGTAGTACTCCTGCGAATAATCCTGTCATATTTAGCTTTCAATTTAGCGAATTTGATGGCGTGGCTTTACTGATTTTTCTGGTTATTCTTTTTCGATTCAGTGTTCTTCTGTTAGATATTTTTTTTTACACTAATGAAATTTGCAGCATAATTAACTTTTTTAGAAGGCCTCATTTTGGCGAATGATGTTGATAATTCCCGTTGTTATTTGCTGGTCCGTCAAGCTTTGAAAAGGATGCCGGCATCAAATTGCATTGTAATTAATGAAGATGCTGCATTTTTGCCCAATTTTTTAGCAGACAAAGTAAGTTTCCATCTTTGTAAATATCCATTTGGTCGTAGATTTAATTTTAATTTTCCTTATGGCTTTAAAATTGTTCATCTCTATATTTAATTTTAGGAAAAGATTTTCAGGACACATCGGAACCCTTGTTATTTGATAGAGTGCTTTGTGATGTAATTTGTAGTGGTGATGGAACATTTCGGAAAAGTCCAGACATGTGGCGGTCTTGGAATCCTGTTAAGGTTATTCTCATTTATTATCTTCGGACCATTTCATTTATTTATGCATGGCGTCGAGCAGATTAATAATTCATGTTTAAGGAATTTTCCAGGGGTTGGGTTTGCACAAGCTGCAAATTAACATTGCTCAACGTGCTATACAGTTGCTTGCGGTAGATGGTAAATTTTTCTTGTTTTTGTTATTTTTAAGATTCTGACTTGGAAGCATATTTTAATGTTAGCATAGTCTTTTTTGAGTAACAGATTTTTATTTTGTTAGTTAGTAGAAAAATATTTTCTCGAAATGTTTCTATGTAGCATTTTTGTCTTTCAGTTTTTTGTTAATGCTGTAGTTCAAATTTATTACTGGTCCCGAAAATAAAATTTTGTTTTAGTTCAAATTTTCTTTTTATTCAGGTCTTGTAGTATATTCAACGTGTTCCTTAAATCCTATAGAAAACGAAGCAGTTATTGCATCTCTACTACGTTCTAGCGCTGGTGGCATAGAGCTTGTTGATGTTTCTCAACAATTGCCTCAACTGAAGCGGACATCAGGACTTTCGAAGTGGAGGGTAATTGAATCGCTTTTTATTGCGTATTTGGTTTATTGTAGCTAATTTTTACAATATAATTTTTACCATAATGCAAACGAATGTTTTCAGGTATTTGATAAAGCCATGCGTGAGTACAGTGTTCTTGAAGATGTAGTTGCTGATCAAAAACGATATTTTACTTCATCAATGTTTCCCCCAAACGAAGAAGAAATTCAGAAGTTTCATTTGGAGCGCTGGTATCTATCTTGTATAAAAATGTACCAAGATGTTAGATGCGAAGCTAGTTCACCATAACTCTAGTTACCCAAAGTTTCTACCACTTATCTATGATTGCTGTGAAGATAGTAAAGAAACCATAATACTGTTCCATTACAACTGCGGAATCGGCAATATAATTACAGTAAAATTACAATCAGTTTAATAACACAACATCTATTGCAGTAAAACACAATTACAATGGATTATTATCCGCTTGACCGTTTATGAAATTTCCTTAAGTCATGTCAATTCTTATCGAAATAGCTTGCCCTTTAATAAGCAAGAAGGATCAATTTTTCCTTGTTCATAGCTTTTCATGTCCAAATTTTGCTTTTCAGTTTCCGGGTATTGCCACATATGCAAAATACTGGAGGATTTTTTGTCGCCGTTTTGAAAAAATCAAAACCTCTTAAGCAGTCAAAGCTTGCTTTTAAGTGAGTTTTAGTTTTAAATTGCGTATTTTTGTCTAGGAATACTTCTGGTTTCTTTATGATTGGTGAACTCAATGAATGCATTGGATTTAATTTATTGAAATGGTGAATCTAAAGCTCACAAGCCTGTTTTCTCAAAAATGCAGTGGTTACAGACATAGAAATTGTTAAATTATTGAAGTTTTTAAAAGCTTTCCAGTTTGCCATTAGTGAAAAGACATCGAACATTCAAGGAAGATCCATTTGTATTTCTTGAAAAAGACGATGCCAGATGGAAAGATATTGCGTTAGTTTACAAGAGCAACTCTTTTTTCTAAATTTGATTGTTAGATATGAAAATATATAACAGGACATTGAATATTAAAGATCTAGTTGTAAGCAAGAAAAGAAAATATCCAGTTTATTGATTTGAACAATTTTGTAGTAGTTATTATGGAATATCCGAAGTGTTTCCATATCAGAATCTCCTGGGGCGAACAACTGAAGCAGATAGAAAACGAACTTTATATTTCGTGAACAGTGCGGTTAAGCAGTTCTTGCTCTATAATCAGGATAAGGTTGCTTTCATCGCTATTGAATTTTGGTTATCTGTTTTTCAGAATGAAGGTTCGAGATTACTCCTACTGTTTCCGGAATTGGTATTTCCAGATTTTTGACGTCAATTCGGTGTCGATTTGTTATGAATATAATGATAGGTACTAGATTTCAGGTAAAAGTGATCAATGCAGGTATTCGTATATTCGGGCGAGTTGAAAACAAATATAACTTGTGTCGATTTCGGATATTGCAAGATGTTGGTTTTTATAAAATTATATCTTTTCAGTTTTTAAGTATATTGAGAAAAATATTCTATTCAATACAGGCAATAAAATAATTAAATTTTTTAGGGTGTCAGAACAATTTTACCATATTTGAGAAAAAGAGCTGTTGAAATTAGCGTAGAAGATATGTGTAAAATTCTGAAAGCTGAAAATGGAAAAGGAAACTGTCTACGAGATGAACTAGCATGTGGTGAAAAATTCCGCGACATATCATCTGGAAGTGTTGTGCTTGTATCAGAATATAATGGGTATTTTCTATTAATTGGTTTCTTTGATTTTTTTTTATTGGAACTGAAATAATGTAGTACTGGGAAAGTTTGGATGTTGTAAAATTTCTACCAAAACATTTGGTATTGTTAGGTTTCTGAATTTTAGTTATTTCCGCTTACTATATTTGAAAGTTCTAATTAACTGTCCATTTCCTAGATTAAAACAAGTTATTTGCGCATGGATGGGAGCCAGAAGTCTTGCGCCATACGTTAGCAAAGAAGAAAAAATCCATGCACTGCGTATGCTCAACTGTGACACCTCTAATTTCGGTTAGTTCTCTTTCTTGTTTTTGTTTTTTATTTCTGTTAAAATAAACAATGGTTAGATTATTATAATTAATAATGGATAATAGAATTAAATAAGGAAATTAACTGAAAATTGATAAGTTTTTTAAGAAAGAGTTATGTGGACGAAACGACAGTCAAAAGCGGCTTATGATAGAGAGGAAGCAAAAAAACGCAGAATTCTAGAAAATGTAGATGGAATGGAAGAAAGAAAAAGCAATGGATGCTTAGAAAAAAGTGAAGAAACAGAGAAAGAAGGTGAACCAAATGATGATGAGCTGAGCAAGATTGATTGAGCAAAGTATTGAAGAAGTGTGGTAATACTTAACTTTGTTAATTCGTTGAAAATGCTTTCTTCGTTATCTTTGTTTTCGTTACAAGTTATGAGGAATTTACATGCTCTTTAGATTTTTTGTATTGGAAAAAGTCATGCAAGGATATTATGCAAGGATACTATACGGTTATTGTTGTTTCTGTTCAAGTTGTTAAACTTCGAATTTAATCTGTAATGTGCGGAATAATTGAAATGTTTGAATAAAGATATATTGGGATTGCGTACCTGATGAATTGTCTGTCTAGTCTTATTTTCAGTATTTTATTATTTATTGATTTTTTTAAAGTGCTACCGTGATCATATCTTTTGTCATACTATCAACTATGGTTTTGTTTTAGTTTAGCTTGCGTGCTGAGTATCACTTAGTTGTTCTTCCGGTTATTAACATTTGGTTTAATATCCTTATTGCTCGTTAATACTTTCATTTTATTGTGTCAAAATTTCAGATGAAACTAGCAGGATCAACGGATGAATTGTTCAAGAAGTTGACCTTTGGGATCAGAAAAAGACGGCTGGAGCAAAGAAAAAAAGAAAGTAGGCGTAACCTATGATTCATTTCGGTCAAAGCAGTGATTGTATAGGCACTAAGAAAGTGTTTGCAGTTTCTACAGTTTTAGAATACCTTATGCATTGAAAATTTTTCAATTCTAGATATTTTATTTTGTATATATCATAATTGAAGTTATTTTCAAATTTGAAGGTGAGATGAGAGTAAAAAATTAGATTGAAAATAAAATGCAATTATTAATATTAATTTTAGCTGACCATAGTTTACCACTCGCACGGATACTGCCAGATGATTGCAAAGAAATATGCAAACGAAATAAAAATAAAAACAGTGAAATAAACAACGAGACAAGCAATAGTTTAATAACATCTGAAAAAGGTTATTAATTTTTATAAATAAGAAAAAATCTATCTATTTATATAACCCAATATTTTAATTATATATAAATATGTGTCGGCTTGATTTTCGGAATTTCTAAATCTGAAGGATTTCAAAGACTTTTCATTCACGAGTGAAATTGAAAAACTCCTGAAAGAATCTATTGTTTTAGAGGTAAGCTTTGTAAAACACAAATCCGCTTTATTTGTGTTTCGCCATGAAAATTATTTACTGTTTATCATTTACATCTCATGTTGTATGTTGCATTGTTTTAAGTTCTCTATTCAGAACCTAAAATTCTTGGAGGATTTGAGAATGTTTTAAAAAAGAAGAAAAGATGCAGAAGTCTGGCTGTTAAGAAAGAACAGGTGAATGTCTTTTTTGGGAAATTTTCAATGAACCAAAATTTAATGCTATTATAGTTTTTGAAGTCTCAATGTTTAGATCGCACATTTGCGCAAATTAAATCGTATATTTGTTTGGGGCGATAATATTCCTGATCCATTGATACATTTTACCGGAATTCATGGGCTATCGCAAGAACTTATCAATAACTTAAAAGAATTTGGTATCACGGAACCAACTCCAATTCAGATGCAAGCCATTCCAGTAATGATGCAGGAAAGAGACTTATTATGTAGCGCTCCTACAGGTTTGTTTTTATTCAAGTTGTTTTGTTTATCCTTCGCTTTTTTAAAAAGTAATTTCACGCTTAATAAATTGCTTCCATTTCTCGAATTTATCACTTNTCGCTTTTTTAAAAAGTAATTTCACGCTTAATAAATTGCTTCCATTTCTCGAATTTATCACTTATTTTTTTCAGGATCTGGTAAAACATTAGCTTTTGCTCTGCCGATCATTTTTGATGTGGTGCGTCGCAAAAGTCATAATTCAAAAGATCAGTTAAATGCTGTGGTACTTGAACCGACTCATGAACTTGTTAAACAGGTCATTTAAACAAATGTTCCTTTACAATTAAATTGCAATTTTTGTCCTAAGATCATTTTTTTCAGACATACGTCCAGTTCCTGAAATTTTCTCACAATCTGTCCGTTTCATGTTCTTTTCTGGAGGGAAACGAAATCCCGGAAAATAGTGCGTTAAATCTGTCTGCTTTGAATTTTGTCACGTAGCCTAAAGTAATACTAAGCACAATTTGTTTTTTCCTTTAATTCCATTGTCATAATTGCCTGAAGAAAATTGTGTATTAATAGTCACTGATCTGAAATTATTGATATCGGATTTTTTTTTTGGAAAGATACAAATCTACTGAGATATAAACTTGTTGGATCTTTGTTTAGTGAAATTTGATTGGTACATGCAGTTACCTCAAAATTGGTTTTCTTTTCTCCCATCTAATATTTTAAATTCTTTACAGTAAACGTTCTTATTTCAACACCAAATAAACTGGTTTATGCTTTGAACAAAAACAGCAAAATATTATTGGACGGACTTAATTGGCTTGTTATTGATGAAAGCGATAGACTTTTTGATACTACGGAAGGAGATGACAGGTGCTTCAGGAATCAGGTAAAAGTACTTTGCTACTTTAAGTATGATGCAGATTTTGAAAAATAGTCAAAGTATTAACTGATATTGTTTGATATCATGTGGGATATTAATTATTTTCAGCTTGCCCAGATATATCAAGCGTGCAGTGAAAATTCTGTGCGTCGCGCCCTTTTTAGTGCAACATTTTCATACGAGGTTGAAGATTGGTGCAAAAAGAATCTTTACAATGTAGCTATGATTTGTATTGGCTCACGGTAAGGATATCTTTCATTTCGTTACTGCTGCAAAATTTTATGAAATTATTTCATTCAAATCTCTAGAAATCCTGTGACTTTAATCAATTTAACATTTGAGATCTTGAATCATGATTTGAGCCGTTTTAAATTTGATTTTTGGATGAAATTTGAAATTGATGTTGTTATTGAAGGGACTGCTTTCATCTTATTGATGAAACAGCTTGAGTGGGAGTTAGCTATTAAACATTGTAAGATTAAATAATTTTAGAAATTCAGCGGTTAGCAGCGTGAAACAAGAGCTGATTTTTGCTGGATCGGAGCATGGTAAAATTATAGGTCTAAGAGCATTATTTCAAAACAGTTTCAAACCTCCAGCGCTCATTTTTGTTCAGGTTTTTCGATTTCATACACACCATTCATATTTTACGTAAATGGGATTTAAATTTTTTGACCAACTAGTGATTTAAGGTCATGACTTGTTTAAATAACCGAGTCTGTATTGCATAATGTCTCTTTTATATGGCAATAGGTTTTTTAACAGAGTAAATTGCGAGCAAAACAACTGGTGCCAATTATCGAGTCACTTCAGCCGCCAATTCCGGTGAAAATGATTTCTAGTGAAAAAACGGAGATTGAGGTCCGTAGTGTTTTTAATTTCAAATTCTTCCTTTTGTGTAACTCTACGGCTGCTTGCCTGTTTCAATTATTGCAATACTTCATTAAAAGAGACCTTTAGTTTGGAAAATTTTATGTTTTTATAGCGTGAGTCTGCAATTGCCGAATTTCGCAGTGGACATGTTTGGGTTTTAATTTGTACAGATTTAATGAGTCGCGGATTGGATTTGAGCGGAGTAAATTTAGTAGTCAATTTCGATCTTCCAACTTCCATTATCAGCTATATCCATCGAATTGGTAACATTTTTGTGAAAGTAAAGGGCATATAAAGATTTGCATAACTGTTTAATGATTGCCATTGTTTTTAAATAGCAGCCTTTCTTATTTAGTTCCCAGTTTTAAATTAGCATAGGTCAAGTTCATTCTTTAGAAGCACTTTATATGTATACTATTTCTCTAGAAGTATAGTTTTTTTAAGGAGTCTTGATTTCAATAATATGATTTTCGATACCGAGTACTATTAAATTTTGGTGAATAGGTCGGGCAGGACGAGCTGGGCGAAGAGGACATGCAGTTACATATTTTACCGAAAGTGATTTGAACTTCATCCGTCCAATAGCAACAGTCATCAAGCAAGCCGGTTTTAAAGTTCCAGAATATACTTTGAGAATGCGAAAACCAACAAAGTAATTTTATCGCATATAGCATTCTTATTTTTGCAAAGCAACTCACTCTAGGAATTTGAATTCCATGTTGCTATCACTTCCAGGAAAGAGAAGAAAAAATTGTTAAAACATGCTCCAAAACGAAAAAATATTGGATCTTTAAAAAAAGCAAGTGGAAAGAGAAAAGAAGAGAAAAAACGAAAGAAGGAGGTGGTTGCTTAAATCCTGCAAAAGTTGCATTTGGAGACGTTGATATTTGAATCCATTCCCCTGCTATTATTCTCCTTATTGAAATTGAGATTTCCAGAACACTGTTATTGATTTATTCCGTTTTGCTGTTTGAATATTGAATGTTGTGCAGTATTTCGCCAGTGAACTATATATAGTAGCATTATTAAGGTCATTGAAAAATATTTTTTATTTGAAAAATAATCCTTTATAAAACGGTTTTGTTAGCTGTTTTCGATATTTTTCTTTTGTTAAAGCAACTTGAATATATCAATTATGTCTGTTTGGTTAGCTGTTCCTCGACAAATAGTTTTATTTTTCTCTGAAACACTTCTGAAAAAGAAATCAATGTCAGAATCCTGTCAAAATAGCGATGTTGGAATAAGAAAATAGACTTTAAAATGAGTGTTAAAAGTAATAATTCCTGACATATATTTGCTTTCCGATGCTGACCTGAAACCTTTATATGCAAATTCACCGTTTTCATTGATAAATACGAATTTTCTAGATTAGAATATGCTATTTTCAGTAGTCTAGTCTGCAATTAGCAGATTTTAATCTGAAAAATCAAATTATTTTCTCATTAAATCCATTCTGAATGTGAAAGAATTGAGCACAGAAAAATGGATAAACTTTTGTCGGAAAATTTTCTTAAAATTGACGTCATTTCGTCGCAGTCTTCATTTTTAGTCATTCTATTTTAAATCTAAATCCAAACTGATTTGGTTCATGTACAATGCGGATTGAATGATAGGAATCAAAGTAAAACTGATTTTTCGCAGTAATAGTGCTAACTTTTGAAAAGTTTTGCTAGGTCCAGATTTTGTGTGCTATTCATCGCTTGGTAAAAATTTCTAAAGCTCTTTGCTTCTCGTTAGAGTGACCAATCTTATGAGAATGAAATTCTTTCCCTCTCTTCTGCTTTCAAAAGTTTTACCCATTGTAATACTCTTGGAAAGCGAATTCTAAAAGATGAAAAGATAAAAGATATTGGCAATTTTGTTCATCTGTTTTTTTTCTTACACTGACTACTATTGTACTGTATCACCGTATGCATAATCTTGTGTGTAATTTTAAAGTTAATCACAAGTACCTTAGAGGTATTAATTGAAGATGCGAAGAGACGAATCTGAAGGACGGGGGAGATTTCTAGGATAGTGGATAAAATAACGAAAAATTTGCTTCTGCTATGCGATTTTCACAAATTTATATTGCAGTGTATAATGTTGTCCACTTCATATAAACGACGTGTAACGGAAATGCTCACTAATAATTCAGTTGAAATTACCGCTAAGCGAGGTAAATTTTTAGTCTTCAGTTATCGCTAGAGAATATATCATGCGATGCTTTAGAACGATGAGTCAATATACGAAGAACAAAATCAAAGTGTCGAATGCAATTGTGGATTTGGATGGTGATGAGATGACGAGAATAATTTGGAGTGAAATTAAGAAAAGGGTAGGATAGGTTTTCGAATTGTTAAGAATATTTCAAAATGGAATAAGAATTTCTGTTATTAGCTTGTTGAAATTAGTCAAATTTATCGACGAAAGCAGGGAGCCTCTCCGGAACTTAATTTTTCTATTTGCTTTCGAATTTGTTCAGTTCAATTTTTTTATCGATTAGTTTAAAAGTGTTAAGTTGATTTAAAGTTTTATAATTTTTTAGTTAATATTACCATATTTGGACATCGATATAAAATATTATGATCTCGGCTTACCAAATCGCGATAAAACCAATGATAAAGTAACGTTGGAAGCTGCTGAAGCGATAAAGAAATATAATGTTGGGGTCAAGTGTGCAACAATTACACCTGATGAAGTTAGGTGAAACTCTATAGCTGTATTTTTCAAGAAAGTGTATTTAGATAACAGATATTGAGCATTTAGTCTTTTTTGCTTTTGTGCATTTTTTATAACGATCATAAAATTATCAGATGAAATATTTTTACAGGATGAAAGAGTTTAATTTAAAAAAGATGTGGCCAAGTCCAAATGGTACGCTACGAAATTATCTCGGCGGAACTGTTTTTCGTGAACCAATTTTATGTAAGAATATACCAAGACTTGTTCCAAGCTGGAAAGAATCCATTATCATTGGACGACATGCATTTGGTGATCAGGTGAACTATAGTTTGTTTTGTTAAAGTATCGCTTAGATGCTTAATTCTGATGAGAGTTCTTCCCTCAAATGAATTACACATTGGAAAGAACATTCATTTGCAAAAAGGACATTGAACGATATTTATTTACAACCATTGTTGTTTCCACATTTTTAACAAATCCCTAAACATAAATATTTCTTTCTCATGCAATGGCATTCTTTAGTATAAAGCTACTGATATTACTGTGGAAAAGGGTGCGAAAATTCAACTCTNGATATTTATTTACAACCATTGTTGTTTCCACATTTTTAACAAATCCCTAAACATAAATATTTCTTTCTCATGCAATGGCATTCTTTAGTATAAAGCTACTGATATTACTGTGGAAAAGGGTGCGAAAATTCAACTCTGTGAAATTAGTGACGGAAACGAAAAGCGATATGATGTATTCACGTTCGATAAAAGTGGTGGTGTTATCATGGGAATGTATAATACTGATGAGGTTTGTTGTGTAAAAATCTATAATGGTGTAACAGTATGAAAAATATTTGAAACTATGCTTTAAGACTCAATGAGACAAGAGTTGAAAAACTATTCTTTGTCAAGGTGATTAACAGGAAGAAACGATAACTTAAAGTCAAATAGGGACACTTAAGGAGAATATATTTTTAGTCAAGAAGTTTCAATATCTGTTTATTTCTTTCTTCGAAAATTTCTGGGTGCTTATATTGAAAAATCTTTTTTCAATTTTTTTTTGTAAAATCTTTTTTCAATATAAGTTCCCAGAAATTTTCGAAAAAAGAAATAAACAAATATTGAAACTTCTTAACTGAAAATATATTGTGACTTCTCTCTAAGTGCCTCTGTTTGACTTTAAGTAGTTTACCGAAGATTTATATCCTTCATTTAATTCTTGGTGAATCTAGAATCAGATACTCGGTATTTACTTTGTCAATTATTGTTCACATTTCAGAGTATCACTGATTTTGCACATTCCTGCTTCCAATATGCTTTATCGAAAAAACGCCCGCTTTATCTCAGTACGAAGAACACGATACTAAAAAGATATGATGGCCGTTTCAAGGATATTTTTAATGATATTTATCTGAAGTATGTCCATTCTACTTTTCGCCGTTATGCTATGTGAAATCAAGTGAATTATTTCTTACTTTAATGTTTCAGGAACTATGAAAATGATTTCAAGAAACTGAATATTTGGTATGAACATCGACTGATTGACGATATGGTTGCTCAGGTGCTCTCGAAATCATCTTGAATGTGTTCTGTTGAAATTTGTTTAAAATATCGATTAAAACAGAAGAATGCTTCACTTCTAAAGTGACTCGCTATTTTAGATGCTAAAAAGCGCTGGTGGCTTTGTATGGGCATGTAAGAATTATGATGGTGACGTACAGTCAGATATCATTGCTCAAGGTTAGATAGCAATCTGAAAATCGGTATTTCAATGATTTATTTGGCGGTTGCAGGTTTTTTTAAACTTTTAAATTTCTGTTTGTTGAATATGTCATTGCTCAGGTTTTGGATCGTTAGGTTTGATGACTTCAGTATTGATGTGTCCAGATGGTAAAACAATAGAAGCAGAAGCAGCACATGGTACGGTGACACGGCATTATCGAGAGCACCAAAAAGTAATTATTATTTTTCATATATTATAAGCACAACACCTAACAAATTTTTTATAGCAATAAATTTTTTATATTTCTCATAGTAATGGTATTCAAAATGCTTAACAAATTTTTATGATTGATATAAAGTTTCATGTAGTACATTTCAAGACTGATTATGTACGGGATACTCGCTGATTAAAATTTTTGAAGGGTAAACCGACATCAACGAATCCAGTCGCATCTATATTTGCTTGGTCAAAAGGACTGGATCATCGTGGTAAGCTGGATAACAATGGTGAACTTCGGAAGTGAGTTATTTGCATTATTATATTAGTATGAAACAGAATGTGTAAACGATTGAATTGAAAGAGTGGCAAAAAATAACAATAAAGATGTGGACAGATTAGAAGGTATTTATTATCGCTATATGAAACTATTAGCAGAGTAGCACAGACGAAGAAAATGAATTAGTTGAAGTCAGTGTGACATGTGTACAATAGGAAAATGAATTTCTTCTAACTGATATCGAAATTCTGCCACAGGTTTGCACGTACACTAGAAGAAGCATGCATTACGACAATTGAAGAAGGAAAGATGACCAAAGATTTGGCAGTTTGCATACATGGGACGCAAGGTGCAACACAAGCCACTTATCTAAATACGCAGGATTTTCTACATGCTATCGACAGTAAATTGCAGTTTCTAATGAAACAAAATTAATTAGAATAATTAAAGACTTCTGAATGAGATAAGGCTGATTTGAAGATTCGTTAATTTCTCTTCTTATGTTTGCAAATTTTTAGTATGTTGCATATTGCTATTGTTAGCATTCGATATGTGAAGTTTGTTCATTCTCAAGTAGATTTGAATATGCAATCAATTAAACAGTTTTATTTGTATGGTTGTTAACTCGACCGTGGACGCTAAAGTATACTTCAAAAAAGCGTTTGATTATTACTACATTAATACATTAAGTTATCACAATGAGATGCAGTAAATAATAAGGTATATTTCTTTGCATCTATCTTTTGAATGCGTAATTTGATTAGTTTTCCAAGCAATTTTCGAGCTCAAATAAACAAAGTTATTTCTTGCATGTAATGTTTCACTTGAATTGAACTCGAAATTAAAAAGTTTATAAAGCTTGAACTCGAAATTAAAGTTTATAAAGCTGAAATGATCAAGTAAGAATGAAGCAAGTGTTATGACATTACGCAGAAGTTCTAGTCAAAAAGCAAATTTTATAACTTGACAGCGGCCTGTCACCAAGTTTTCTTTTTTTGGTGAACACGCTCAGTTTCATTCCTTCATTGCCTCGAAAGAATTTCACATTTTGTCCTGCCAATATAGAAATTTAGAAGTGAAAATGGTCGCCATAGATCCCCAACATGTAGAAATATATGTTTAAGGACCAACATCAGAGAAAGATTAACTATGGGGTACAATTCCGTGGGAAGCTGGGTAAAAATAGGTTGAAGGGAACAATAAGTTGAATCCAAGGACACTTTCTGGGGTACGCTTGCATTAGCATTTATTTTTCACCTCTATATTCGTCCAGGAATATTACAAATAAGTAATGGCTATTATAACATCGTCAGGTAAATAGAGTAACTGAACGAGAATTATCAGAATCAAAAGGAACTTGCTCTCGGGAGGCCTATTTATTCTTCGAAGGGCTTCGCTGTTTCTCTCTCTCAACGCCCCATGCGTTCAATTCAATTAGACGTCTGGAATCGATATGACACTCCAACAAAAACCTACATTTTCGGATGTACCCTCTAAAAGTTAAATAAAACATTACCGTCCCCTTATTTCTTCCCTATATTGCAATATTAAACTGGAAAGAAAATTCTATTCCAATCCTACTCCCTACATCATCCCGAGATCGTTCCTCGTTTTTCAAAGCTAGCTTTTCCATTGTGAAATACTTTTTTGCTCTTTTCCATCTCTATATTTTGCAACTGATTGCTATGTTCAGTCGATAGTGAATTTGAAGGAGTACCAACACGGATTATTTAAAGATAGTTCAAAATGTTATAATTTTTATCAGCATTAAACTTTTGCTTGAGTTAGGTATCATTTTCAAATCCTCTTGGATGGATGACAAATAATGGTGTGTGGAATCACAATCTTAGGGTAGTGAAACAAGAATAATCTGGCACTATAATACCAATAAACAGAGTACTTGCTATTTTTAATTAAAAAAGTCGACTAACTTTACCAATTACAGCGACTTTGACCAAGAAGGAGGTGGAAAATTAAATAAATATTTAAGCTTTCAATTAGCAACAATTAAACCATTCCAGTACACTATTTCAGCAATCCTACTTTTTGATTTATCAAAATTGAAATTTTCCTTCAGTCAAACTTGGGCCGGAGGAAGACTGAAAGTTCGTCAATTTACTATTCTCATCGCACAAAATTCTTGAAACTGACAAGATATGGCACAAAATGCATCGGATTAAATTTGAAAGTAACAATATAGAACCAATAAACAAATCAACAGGCAACAGCTAAGAATACAAACAAATTACGAAGACTTTCTCATTTTCTAGAACCAGAAAAGAACAACGAAGTACTTCAGCTTATTCACATTAGTCTCTCCAAAAGCGTTAGGAACATTGTCAAAGAATGGTTTCTTTGACGATATAAAGCATAGTGTATTTATGCTGATAACCAGTAATTTTAGGAAAGCGATAAGGTGTCTAATTCTTTTAGCAACTTGCTTTCGCTTGAATAGGTTGTATGGGGATTTCCATGGTAGCTTGCTTAGTTGAAAACGGTGATTCGGCTATTGGGATGCATGATGAACGGATGAAGCCGCTTACTAATGGCGGTGTCACATCTGTGAGCTGCTCAGATTTCAGCACACAACCAAAACGAACTCGAGCTGAATCTGACCAAAGATTATCTGCCTGTACTAGCACTTTGCAAAGAAGACGATAAGTACGTGCAGCAATCTCTTTGAATTCACTTTCTCGTGGACAAAATAGGATCGAACTTCGGTCCGGATAGTCCGTCTGCAAAATTTATCGTCTCATATTTCCAGAAACAGCCTGTTAAATTTTTGTTTGAGTTTCACACTTTTTCCCGACAATGGTATCAGATGCAATATTCTAATTTGTGAGTGCGTAAGGAAATTGTTATTGGATATCGCAAACACTTCTGATGTACTATACTGTTAACACGTACATTATCCATATCAACCTATTGTATCACTATTCTTTTCTATAAATTTACTTGAATAATGTAAACCAACCTTTATTCTGAATCGAAAAATGTCCTTTTTGCTAAAATTATGTAACAGAATATTTATTGAAATTCCAAGCGGTAATCCAACGACAAAACGTATTGGCTCACTGGGGGTTTCTGATGGCTCAACAATCTGAAAAGCAATCCCTACGAAGAGATTTGGAGAAGAAAAGGAGACTCCTACAGCAGGAAGTAAAAAATTCAAGCTAAGGAAATCACAAGAATGTTTTAAAATATTTATATTACATGAAAGCGATAATCGAATTATTTTCGGCTATAATATCTTCTAATAACCTGAGCCCATTTAATAGAAATGCTGCCAAGCGATGCAAATTTTTTCTGTAGCGGAACTGCATGAGACTGGAACAAAGCAGTCAGGCTTGAACCACTAATGAATTTCTTCGCTTGCGTTGTTACAAAAATCCTTTCAATACCAATTAATACTTCAGCCATGGATTCACTTGGAGATACTGCCAATGATCGACATCGTCTTAAATATATAATTTATAAAAAACCGGCAAAAAGTGAGCGATTCATCTATAAATTACGTCCTAACAATAAGTACTTTTTTTTTTCAATGTTTTGTTATGGAGGATAGATAATCAGTGTTTTGCAGAAATTTCAAAAGTAAGAGAAACAAATACCAACTGTATGGAATAAGAAAAGAATACTCTTTAAATCGAATCACTTCCGCTTCTATGAGCTGTGCTGCATTTGTGTAAGCTGGAGGTTTTATATCAAACAACGCTGCTAGGCGCAAAATTGAAAGCTGGAAATGAAATTCTTCGAGCATTGCTAACATTACGTTATCCACAGATGAGAAGTCATTGTCAGCACGCTCCAAAAGTTTGAGGCCCTGCATAGAGAGAAACTAAAATCAGCTTCGACCTTCTAAGAAACTGTCGTTAGAAACTTGAGAATGTTTACCTCATCAATAGCGTTGAGCGCAGTTTGTAAATCACCATCGCAGGAAAGGATTTTAACACTGAGTTCGCACTGCATAAGGATTTTTAACAAGCAAGACAAAAACTGCGCTGTACCGGCTACTCCCTCATCTCCTTCACATAATGCATTCATATCGCTGCAGAAATAAAAGGAATCATTTCTAGTACAGTGAGAATTTTAATTTTTGACTGTAAATGATGAAGGCATTCCCGACTGTTGATTTGAAATTTGAAATATTCTCAGATCAAGAAGCTAAGTTTGTAAGAAGTATATTATCATCAACTATTCCAGCTTAGCTTCAATGATTAATCGACATCCAATGCTAATTAGTGTAATAAACTTATACAGGTAAAAAACAAAGCTCTTGATTTCCTCGGTGACTGATCTATCATTCCCATTCTAAATTTATAAATTTTGAGCATATTACTTCAAAAATGATACTTGAGTAAAAGCCTTTTTTCAATCATTCGCTGTTGATAAGATCTGGACTGAGAAGCTTCTTGCATCATTTCATATGTACGTTCAAGGAGGGCACGAGTTCGTTCCCCAGCTTCTGCTAATTTTTTGTTGATAGAAAGATTGTTTGTGCCGGAAGCACCATCATCCGAAAATGCCTAAAAAATCAAGGAATTTCGCAGAAAGCTATTTTTTGGCCTTTTGAGATATAATGTAATAGTCAAAAACTCACCTCGATCATAGGTACTAAAAGCGGCATTGAGCAGCGCAGAAATTTATAATGACGCACCGCAAATGCTGGCAATAACGAACATACGGGATCATGAGCACTTGCCGCATTTAGTATTAATATGAGCTTGGCCAAATCTGCAAAAAATTAAAAAAGTGAGAAGTCTTGCAACCAATCAGAGAGAGACCAGTTCAAATGCAATAATAATTATGCTTTGTATTTCCAATTTGACTTCTAAAGTCGAATTTCTGATAGCTTTTAGCATGAAATGCAGCAAACATGTGCTGGTTGTCCATTTTCCCTATGCCATTAGATGAGTAATTTGCATACGTTTGCTTAAATCCCTAGAAATACTGGCCAAGAAGATCAGATGAAATGCTTACAGAATTGATCGTCAACTGCTGGCTCTGTAATATCGAAGACAGGATGCAATTCAAGCAATTCATCAGACAAGAGTTGTACGAATGTTGCATGACGACGGCCAAGATCACTCATACATCTAAATAGCTTTTAAAATGTTAATTTTGAAGTAACTTAATTGAAAAATAAAGTGAAAACTATGATTTGAAAAAATCTTCATAAAAACATGAAGCAGAAGACTAAACCTACTTGAAAATTGATTGACGATCAATCGGGAATCTTCTCATACAGTTAAGTAGTGCTTTGACAACATATCGAAGGCAATCAGGAGTACCTAACGTTGATCTTGACAGTAATACACGCAAAGCTTCCCTACTGTCCGGAAAAGCATCCTTGAAAACGATAAAAAATATATACAAAAAAATAGTAAAAATATATGCAAAAAAAACAATGCAATATGTGCAAAAAGTAAAAAGACACAAAATGGAGTATAATCAAACCATCTGTACTGCGAGACAATAAAAAGTCAACCAAAATTTTGAAGAAAAAGAAACAATATAATGCTAACATCGAGAACGGTTAATATGGTGTCGAGCTGCTCTTTCTGTAATATGCCATGGACAACTAGTGGTGTCAACGCGCGTACAGCATCTAGACGTACCTGAAACTTCAGACTTTAAAATTTAATTCATGTTTATTACAAAATATAAAAGAGGTAATCTACATTTATATGTGTAAATAATCCAATGATGCCATACAACTAAAATTACTCCAAGTGTAACTTTGATAGAAATTGACACAAAAGAATGAAGACGAAATCATAAAAACTGAAAAATTTGAAAGTATCTCACATAACAAAGTTAAATAATGCTTTTATAACGAAATCATAGAACCTGCTCAATCTCATCGTTAAACATATCGGCTAAATGATCTAAAGCAGCAGCTGCTAAAAATGGACGATCAGCGGCCAGTTTGCCCAGAGAATAAACACCAGCCTGTCGGACAACTAAAAGTTTTTACAATTGATACTGTTGGCAGAACTTTTTACTTCAAGAATTCGCATTGGTGAAATGAAAAAAGCTGTAATCCCTACAACAGCAATTTAGGTTCGAAAAACTCCTGCAGTCCTTTTATGTCTTCAAAATTTTGAAACCTTAGAATTACTACTGATATTATCAAACACACTCATAAATTCATCTTCCAACGCCGTTACGAAAGCACCACAAGCTCCAGAAGAAATGATGCTAGTTTGTTCTTCATCAAATCTTTCCACTGGAACATCTTCTCCTAGTTTCTTCCCCGTTGACCATTCACTTGTTGCTTGTGAGCGTCGACATCGTGATCCATATGCTTGCGGTTTTTTTGAAGCACCATCGCGTGTTTTTGACATCTAGAACAGATGAATAATAAGTCCTTTACCAAAAACATTTTTTGTTAAATCTGACAAAAAAGCTTACCCTCATAGCATTTAACAGTTTCTTGTCAAGCGTTTGATCCAAAAAAGAATCAGAAACTTGTTTAAAATCACCCAAAAGTCGGGCAGCAACAGCACGAACAGTGACCTATAATAAAGTCTGAAAAAAATTGGACAGTAAAGTTTATTAAAATTTTTTTTGCAAAAGTTAGAGGAAATTACAGCCTGACAAGTTCACAACTTACCTCAACATCATTTATTGCATGGCAAACAGCGGCAAATGCATCGTCCACTAATCGCAATTTTGCACCGTTTCGACCAACGATTTCTCTGAACAATTTAATTTTCCACACAGTGTGAAATAATATTTATGAAAAAAATGCGAAACTTTCATGGAAAAATAAGAAAGGATTTCGCTTCCCGACCAGTTTATCTCATATAATCATATGGGGAGGAATGAAGCAAAATTAATGATTACTGATCATTACGTTTCGGGACGGTGGTCTGCGAATATTTTCAGGATATATAATGCTTCCGTTCGAACTATTTTTGACGAGTTTCCACACAACTGAAAATAATTTCTCAATGAATATACGTTCAAAGTATCTATAAAAAGACTTCAGAAAACTTATTGAAAAAGAAAAGGATAAAGTGAACACCAATAATAAAGCGGCATAAGGAAAATCTCATATTACAATTCTCAATGTTATACCTAACAAAAGTGAATTTTTCTTCTATATTCATATTCAAATTATTCATGTTCATGGTAGACACTCTTGAAATACAAAAAAAGGGAGCAGATGTTTTTAATTTCGACTTGCTAAAAACGCAAAAACTTTCTATTCATTTGTAAACTTTCAATAACGTAGTGTTGATAAGTTTAAGCAATATGGGACTCTTTTCATATTAAAGTTAGAAAAATATACATTTTTCACTTGTTGATAAATAGAAAAACTGAGTAAACGGCCACTGGCAGCCATCGTTGAAAGACCTTTTACTGCGGCTATTCGCACTCTTGAATCACGATCTTCTGCCATTTTTGATAAAAGTTTTTCGAGCCACAAAAATTCCTGTATCGAGCACAGCTCCTTACCTAAAAGAGTACACTTGAAGTCATTGTTCAAATTTCTAGCACTTTTCGCCAACCCTTATTGTTCTCTTCTCCATTGTTTCACTATTCATTTTTCAGCTGCTTTGGACGGTTGACGACTCACTGTTGTGACTAGCTAAAAATACCTAGTAAATTGTACCTTTTAACAGACATGTCACAAAAAAATTGACAGCAGCAATGCGATTGTTTTGATCGGTTGAGCGCATACTCTCCTCAGCCATACAAATCATTTGCTGCATATATTGATCTATTCTTAAGCCTTCCGATAGTGCCCACTCAAAAAGAGCTAACAGGGAAGCATACGTAGCAGGTCGATGAAATAGGCTGTAAAAAATAGGCTTTTATTTTGATTTGAAATAGGCTTTTATTTTGATTTGTAAAAGTAATAAGCAGAAAAACAAGAGAACCTTCACAACTACAAATCGTAATGTAATGAATGGAAATAAAATTGCTAAATAACTTTGAGGTCTTAAAAAAAATTTTAACAAGAAAGCATTTAATGTTTGACTAATTAATAAATATTGACTATTCTATAAATGAGCTACATTTTCATTTGCAATATTGTTGGAATAAAAAATACTATTTAATGCTCAAAAAGATTCAACTAAAAAATGAACTTACTTTTAGCTAAAAATGAAATATGACTCTAAACATATTCGAATGAGAAAATTTGCGTATAATACCTTGTACAAGGGAATCATTTTATTACATTCTCTTATTAATTATTAAGTGATTAATGTGCTATCTATTTCTACTCTTAGAACAAAGTTTCTCACTTTTCGACTTACCAAAGAAAAAATCTTTAAACCTATCCGGAACGTACCTTATTTCCTTCTTATCCTTATCATCAGCCAACGATATCACGATTTCGGCCCATATATTTTGCTTTATATCAGCTGATTTGCAGATATGAAGTGCGTAAAGTAAGCAAGTATTAGTCACAGCCACAACTCTTGAAGCTATTGCTATTTGAATCAAAAGTTTTGCGCAATATATCTGTGAATCAGCATTGAGAACAAACAAATGTTCTCCGAAGAATTCTCGCAAGCGTGAAAATATCCTGAATGAGCGAGAAACAATGGATGAATCCATCAAGATAAACAGTGATATAGCAACTAAATTTTAAAAGAAAAATGAGAATTTACCCCAATTTATCGCTATTTTCTGTATATTTCAAGCACTCTTCCAACACTACATGTGGAATCCTACCAGATAGTTTCAATCCCAGTTTTTCTAATTGAGTGCTGCAGCCGGAATGTAGACGCGATCTTTTAGCATCTGGCGATAAAGTTGATGATGATACGGTGGTCTGCAAGAGACTAGATTTAGAACTGGTGATTTTCGAATTGTTCCAGTATCCATTAAATCAAATCAGCAATGAATAAGACTTTATCAGAAACGGTTTGATCAACACAAATGACATTACGTTGTTGAATTTGCTAGCGCATTCAAATGTAACAAAAATAATAAAATCAAAGGTCTCTTCATATAAATTCCTAGATTTTATTTAGCTATATAAAATAAAAAGTTTCTCAAACTTGAAAGCTTCCCGTACTTGACAAATTTATTCTATCAAAAACCATGTGAAGTATTCCATAGATGTATTCAACATTAGCAATATCACTACAGATAAAATTTACCAACACTTTGGTGACTTCATGTGGAACTACGCATTTCAAGACTTGGGATACATCGGCAGATCTCTCGCGTTTTAATCGCTGCAACGACTGCCACTGTACATCTTTCGAATACTTCGATGTAGACAACATTTCTTTGTTGCATCAATGATATTTTAAACAGCTAAAACGTAACGATTTCATCATTTGTTACCAACAAGCAATCCGTTAGATTTTAGCACAACCGCGAATGATAGCAATGGTAATTTACTCTTATTTTGTTATTTCAAAATTTGTCATCGAGTTTCTCGTTGTTTGGATACTTTTATTATTTCTTTCACGTTGTCTTCTAATAGGATTTGTTATCTTTTTCTCTCTAATTTACATTTCATGACTTGATCCGATATTTTCTTACTCTGTACTGTTGCACTTACTCTGTGTAACTCATCAAAAGTGTTAACCTTTCTCAGCATCTCCTTTCTAACATATATTGCTAACCAGAAAGTTTTTTTATCCATGTTGCAGTTTATACTCTGAATCTAGGTTGACAGTGCTTGGTATTATATATTTCTGTGGTTGGTATGATATGTTTCTGTATATAGTTATAAAAGTATTGTCATCATTTTATAGGAAATGGTTATTCGGACAGAGAAGGAAAAAGAAATGGAAGTCAGCAGTGTTGTAACAAATTTCAAAGACCATCATATTCGTAGTGATTCGTCGGTTCGTTGAATTTCAAAAAAAACATATAATTTATGGCAAAAAATGTGTACAAAAAATTTTGTCATAAAGGCAGTTTCGGACAATTTGATTATCGACTATGTCTAAAACGCCATTCGCAAATGCTTATGCCCTGCAATAATGAAAAAACAATCTGACAATCTGAATAGATGATTTTTCTCACTCAGTTGTTGGTACTGCTAAAGAACCTCTAATATGCCTCACCTTCACGGAATTGCAGATCTCGCTCACATCGTGAAAGTATTTGCTGAGCACTAGAAATATAAATATGGGATATTCCGTACATTAAAATATTATTGGCATGAAGATGTGTGTATTCACAAATCTTTGAATGGAGAGTTTTGTTTTTTTGCAGAAAGAATGCCGATGGGATGCGGAATTTGCATTTTTTGTCCTGAAACAGTGCATAATAAGTCGCGTATTGATGTTCATCATACAGTTTGTAATGAATGTTGCGGTAACTGATTATCCTACAGACGCTTTTAAAGGAGTTCCAATTCCGCAAGGTTAACGATAATATTTTGAAGTACTAATTAACGATAATATTTTGAAGTACTAACTAGTTTTATTTATTATGATTTATTATACAATATTAGATTAAGGTTGTACGACTTAAAAAATGTCTGGTAGCTAGCAGATTGGACCATGAGTGCGTTAGTATCTAGCTAATGCTTATTCACTCGTTGTATTTCTCAGTTCAATTTATTAAACGTTACAGTGGAATTATCCCAAGTTGATCGGTGGATTCGCATTGCTTTCGGTGGTTTAACGAAGTGGGATGCGGTACATTTCCTACACATTGCTCAGTACGGCTACACTTATGAGAACAATCTTGCTTTTTTTCCTCTCTTTCCAACATTAATTTATTCTCTCACACTTATTTGGAGCTGGGCAGTACCATTCATTCATTTTTCTACAGCTGTTATATTCACTGCTGTCACTGTCAACTTCGTAAGATTTTTGTATTTGTTAGATGAAAAGTAAAAAAAATTTAACGTAGAATGATTGGATATGCAGCATAAAACGAAGGGGGAACATAGCTATATCATAATTTATTTTAAATGTTCGACTATAATCACTTCATTTAAATAATATATAAAACCTGCGCTTCGAGAAGTCACGGTAGTAGAAGCAGATATAATGTAATGTCTCCTTTTTTTTTGGTAGATTAGAAACGAAAAGGGGTTGAAAAGTAAATGGGACTTTTAAGATATGGTGACGCTCACAATAATCTATAGGTAGCTTTTGCTCTATGCGGTCAACTACTGTACGCTTTGCTGCTCACGCTCACTAAGTCGACGAAACTTGCTCTGCTCGCTTGCCTGGTGTTTACTTTGAATCCGGCTAGCATTTTCTTTTCTGCTGTTTATTCCGAGAGTGTGTATATGCTTCTCACTTTCTGTGGTATGTTCGCACTCTATGTCGATCCATCTATCTCTTTTATACGATATATTATCGCTTCCTTATTCTTTTCATTCGCATTTGCAACCAGGTTAATTTTATATTCCTTTTTTTTTTTGACAAATTAGAAACGAAAAGAGATTGGGAAATTTAGAAATTTTATTTTCCTTCGTCACTTTTTCATCAAGGGTTATGTTCGCATAAATTTATTAAGGGTTATGTTCAAATAAATGTGACGGTTATTGTTTCTGAAGTCATGATATAGCCAAGCTTAGAGTTGCTGTTTCATTTACTCAGTATATTGAGAAACAATTATTTCGAAATGATTTATAACTTAGCTCTTATAAATTATTCATTACATGTTATCTTTTATATTATGAATTTTTAGCATTTTTAGTATCTTTTGCAGAAATAAATGAGATAACGGTAGATAGCTTGATGACGTTATTCTTTATTTGATAGTTATTCTATCTGTAGAACCTAGTGCATAAGTGTGTGATTATAAATATTAAAACGGCTGAATTCGTTTTTCAGATCAAATGGTATTTTCAATTTCGGTTACATTATATTCCAGCTCATGATAGAAACCATCTATTCGATGGCATTGCATAAATTCATTTGGGAGCGCGACTGTGGTACTGTGTTATTGAAGGTGTGAAATCATCAGACGTTTTGTTGTTGTGCAGTATCTTCCTGTTGTTGTACATTATATATAAAGGTTTTCCATTTTCCAACTTTATCATGGATTCGCTCTGAAGTGATAATGTTTATGGAAACTATAAATACAAAAAATTGCTCTCATATCCAAAATGCTCACCATTTGTTAGCATGTAGTAGAGCTCCCGAGAACTTTCAGTATCGTGCACGTTTAGTGGATGTATTTAAATTTGAGCCACAGTTTATGTACTAGTTCAACGAGGCATAAAATCTCTTGTATATATTCATCAACAATTTGCTATGCTTGAATATAACCCAAGAAATGATTGCTTTATCCTTTCATCTTTAGTTTTGGCTGTATAACAGTTAGTTTGACAAATGGCAGAAACTGTATAGAAGCGCATGTTATTCAGATTTAGTAATCGGATCTTTATGTATTTTATGGATTTTTCAGTTATTCCGCTTCATCATGGTCGTTATGATTTGTTGGGGTATATTTGGAAGTCAGGTAGTATCTCATGATTCAAGAATACACCACAGTTTTTGTTCTCGAAATATTACTCACAACAGAACAAAATTGATGCCTGATGCTGTATATCAGTATGCGCTCCAAGCTAGACTGGTCCTTCCTCATGACTTAGAAAACTTGACATGGTGCAGGTAAGCGTTTGACTTTTATATTCTACAACTCCTATAAAATAGTATTGTGTAATTAGGCCTATATTAAAAAAAAAACTTTACGATTTTGAGAAAAAAGAAAGGATATAAGTTTTTTGCAGGGAGGAACGAAATATATTATATCCAATTCCTTCATTTTATAAGCATGTCCAAGAGAAATATTGGCAAGTAGAGCCTTTTGGCTACTGGCAGTTAAAGAAACTACCTTGCTTCATTATAGCCGCTCCAGCGATTTTTATCGTTTTATATGGCTCTCTGTTCGAACTTGATCGTTTGAGAACGGTGCATGGGTGCGTTGCATTATTTATTTCTCAGTAGTGCTCATTGCAGTGAAGCAAATTTGAGCTGGTCACTGATTTCTTTCTGTTCTGGCGAAACACTTGTTCACCCGTTTTTTTGCTTTATTTAAATCATCTAGTCAGTGCAGAACATATGCTTCTACACTTTACCGCTAGCTATGGGCGCATTTTTAATTTGGGATCGCACCGTAAAAACATCGGATTCATATTAGTAGGTTTTTCATTTAAATGAAGCTATATGAAAGTGCAGATAGAAAATATGAAATCTAATTTAAACCATTCTTTCATGATAGATTATTTGGCGTTATTCTTGGCACATTCCATGACGCGAACAGCACACTTCCGTTTATGATACATGCATTGGTGCTAACAGTTCTGGCTATAGTGCTATACAATGTGGAAGTGCTCACCCGAATTCTATTTTCATCATCACCATTTGTTTATCTAGTTATAGCACAGTACATGGATCGTCGAACTCCTTTGGTAACACTAGACGATATACAGTATCCCACCTTTCTTCCTTTTTTCACCAATTTCTCGAGGTCACACTGGGTTCATGCTTTGTTATTATGTTACTTGCTGGGCTATTTCTATATTGGCACACTATTACATGCTAACTGGCTTCCGTTTACCTGAGGTTGTATTCTTTGTCATTTTGAAATCACTTTTTACTTGGATTTTCAAGTTTTGTGTTTTTAGTAGCTTTTATCAGATAATGCCTTCTGCTTATATATAACACTACAATGACGATATTATTTTGTTTTATATAAGTTTTATTTTAGATCTGTCTTATATTAGGTATATATAAGTTATTTTTAGACCTGTTTTTCACTTTTTATATTTACAACCTCTTGACAAATGGTTTTTTCCTGATCTCATTTTCTATTGTCGCTTAATTGATCTCAATTTATTTTTGCTATTTGTTAGTTTATACATGTTTGTTTGATTACTGTTATTTTGGTTAGTTCGCTATAAAAGTATTTGTACTTCAGCCTATGCAACTAGTTTGTTAGCTATGGAAACATGTAACTAGTTAGTCAGTTGAAAGTAAAACATACTGCGCCACTTGAAACTGGAAAGACCGGTCAGCCTTAGCAGTTGACCCAGTTTATTTTGTTGCGTTTTTTACTGCGGCGGGCATTGCAGAGTACAATCCTTATCGAGTGGTTGATGGTGATGGCCGCAAAGCAAAACTAACTATTCACTTGTTATGCTTCGAGTCCGTCATGCCTCGGATCCTGATTAATACTGGTTTTTCAGCACAGCGGACTAGCCTGTATGTAAGTTTACGTCTTAATGAAACTCCAGTGTTTTTAAAATATGAACGTGCAGCACCAACCTCACTCTCTTCGTCATTTCGAAATGCTGCATACATCCGCAATGTCCGTTCAGTTCTTCATGTCCTACTTAATTCGATAAAATTTATATGATTGGCAACATTACTCCAAACAACGGCACTTAAATTTTCAATATACTTTAAAAAAACGTGTCAACAATAAACCAAAAGAGACAGAGAGAGAAACAATAACGAATTATCCAATAAAAGCGAACTTAGCATATTTCAGTAGGTTACTCAAAAGCGGTGACCGAGCAAGCTGATACTTTGAACATCTCTTTTTTTGAACATTTCTCAATTTCCAGCATTTCAAAACTTCCAGATCTTTTTCAAGCTCTATGTCACGAATGTCACGAATGTTAATAGTTTCTGGATTTACAATTTGTGAGTTATTTAATTAAAATAAAAATTCCTACTCAGAAGTGACTGCTGACAACTTTCCAAATTACTCAAATCGAAATGGAAAGACAGTGACGCTCATCGATGAGCAACTTACACCATATGATGTATTTTTAAATAATTTAGTTCGAATTTGCCAATGCTGGCTTGATAGTGGTTCCACGTCGTATTGTTCCCCAGCCAATCAGACGCCAGTGCTTCTCAATACGTCGTGAAAGTGCTATTTTTTCATTTACTTCGGTGCAAATAGGATCGGTCAGAGCGATTTTTGCCGCGTCACCTGTAAGCATTTAACACTAGATTCGAATTCAAAAGCTTTTTTAATTACTAAAAATCAAAACAAATTTTAAAAATCTTTAATGCATTATTATGAACAACACAAATAAAGAGACAAAGAAAACAGAAAAAAGTAATCGTAAGAACCTTTCACAGCAATGACACGACCACCGGTTGACAGTGACCCAATATTAACCATCAGCACTTCGCCTTTACTCAATTTCTGTACCTTTGCAGCTTTTTTGCCACCTTCGGTACGTACACCAAGTAACCTTCGCAACAGAAAATACGCGATTTCTATTTCTGTGAATATATCTGGCAATGTTCCTACAGCACCCAGAATATGACCCACCAAACGGTCACCACGGCACAATGTTGGATCAATTTTGGTTCCAACGCCAATCAAACCTGAAAATAGGCTGCTTAAAAACTTGTGCTGTTTTTTCTGCTCAAAATTTCGAAATTCTTACCTGACATATCCGTGTCAAAACTGCTTAAAAAATAATCTAGAACACACTATTTGGTAGATTTTTGTTAACAAGTATTGGTTTGCTGTTTGCACTTGCCATTTTCCAAAGATTACAAAAGAATAACCATACCAATTAATATATACAAAAAATGTATATATTAATTAGCTATTCATTGCTAAATATCACACCAGTTACAATTCGAGTTTAATGGAAACATACCACCAGGTACGGCATACTGCAATTGATTTTGTTCAGCAAATAATGATACGATACGTGAAAATATAGGCCGGCACTGGACTTTCCCATCAGTTGACTTTGAAACAATACCTGGCCTCACCTCAATTTCTTGTCCAATACGTAGGATTCCTGAAAATAAACCATAAATATGGTGGTGTTATATGTAGCACCAAATTGTAATATTAACTGTTCAAGGTTATGTAAGCTTGGTTGACAACAGTGCTCCAACTTCAATTATAATAGCAGGTTCGTTTACTTAAATTTGAACACTATTAACAACTGAAAGCGATGGTGAAGCGCAAAGTTTCGAAGTTAGATAGGAATCAAATGTGTAAATAGTGCTCTACGTAAAATTATCACATCAACAAATCACAATAAATTTACCATATTCAACTTTAAACTTTAATACAATCTCTAGAAAGACCGAAGCGAAAAATAAAATACCTCGTAAAATTGATCCACCGGCTACACCACCTTTGAGATTTTCAACTTCGGAACCAGGTTTATTCACATCAAATGAACGAATGACAATCAATCGAGCAGCAGATGAGAAATCGCGTAGAGGTACAGGAACTTTCTTGCAAATATACTCACAAACAACCTTAACATCACAAGGAAATTTACAATTTTTTTTTGTTTAAAAAGAGCTTCTACAAGGCTGAAACACAAATTTCCAAATAATTTATGTGAAATCACGAAAGAAATCATGAAGTGAAATACATACATCAACATTGTACTTTAGCTGAGCCGATATTGGAATAATTGGTGCACCGTCAGCTACAGTACCTTGCACAAAACTGCGTATATGCTCATACTGCTCTCTAGCCTGACTTTCCTAAAATAAAAAGTATGAGAATAGTCTTAAAACCGAAGAGAATAGGAAGATTTCCATTTGTAAAAATTTTTTCCAGCACGTACCTTAATAATATCTATTTTATTCTGTAAAATTAACAAATGATTAAGCTGCATAATTTCCACTGCCGCTAAATGCTCCGAAGTTTGCGGCTGCGGACAAGATTCGTTCCCTGCAATTAACAATAGGGCAGCGTCCATAACAGCTGCTCCGTTCAACATTGTTGCCATAAGAATGTCATGGCCAGGGCAATCCACGAATGACACATGCCGAACGCATTTAAATTGACCTCCACAATTGGGTCTTTCACATGGGAATAGATCAGGAGTGCTTGAACCTGCTGACCTAAAATATGAGAAAAATACAATCACTAAATCCCCATTCAGATAATTCGTAGATGTTGTCAGTGAAGATAACCGTATAAGATTTTGATTCCGTTGGCCAAATCATTGCATAATCAGGTTTATACATGAAAAACATTCTGCCAGTTTCATTTACGATTAAATGTAATTGCAGTGAAATGTAAAGTAAATTACTTGATTAATTAATTGGAGTTTTTCTTCCGATCTTACAGTTTTGTATCACTGCTTGTGATACAAAAAGCTTCTAACTCTAAATTAAAAACTATTAGTGCTAGATACGCCTTATTCAAACAAATAAAACACCTGTAGCAGTTTGGCCTGGGGCAAGATTCATTTGTACAACGATAAATTTTTGCATTGGCATATCCTAATTTGATCGTAATATTTCGTTCCAGTTCATTCTTAAATTTAACTGTATGTACACCAGAAATCGCTTTCACTAAAGTGGATTTACCGTGCGCCACATGTCCTATTGTTCCAATGTTAATTGTTGCTTGTCGGCTGATTACCTGAAAATAGAATAAAATATTCTCTTGAAAATTTTCAAAAATTTTTGAAGAAAATCACTTCCTGGGGATCGAAAGAAATCAGATAAACCCACTTCCTCTGTCAGTGGTGTGAGCATTTCTGGATCCAGCTTGCTCAGGTCTTGTTTAGCTAGCCATTCTCTCTGTTCAACACTTTCTTTCGATTCCTTATCTCCAGCTCCTTCTGAAATTTGTATTTTATAATTAGTTTGGAAGAACAAATTTCCGAATACTTTAAATAGTAGAAAATAAACCTGTCTGGTTATCCATGTTTGAAACAAGTCCAAAATATCTGCAATTCCAACGTAAATGATTAAAGATCCAGTTGAGATAACTCTTTATTATCGTCAAACAACAGAAATTCTGAAAATAGCACCACTTAGCACTGATTGCAAGAGCAACTCTTCGCTTATAATCGCTTCATGGTACTCTTCCATAATTCACTTTTCACTTTACTTTCTTCAAGGTCTTCTCATATTCCTTCAAACATAAAAGTGAAGCAATTTTGGATCTTATAATTTGAAATTTATAAATTTTACACAGTTTGCAAGAGATATAAATTGCATGATGAAATTTTATAGACATGGCCGTCAAGATGCAAATTGATAAGAGGGATGCAAGCAAATGACTAAATTGTCGACAAAGTTAAAATAGCGCTCAACAGAGGAAGCACTCAGGTTTCGACTACTGAAGAGTTGTCATTAGGAAAAGTGATTTTCTTATCAAAATAACTAAAGCGAAAACGCCAAATGATACCCGCACGCCAGCAATCTCACCACTTCCTCCGATGATACCCAACAGTGCAAGCCAACTCTTTCGCAAGAGAGCTGCATCATGTTGCAGATTAGCGCCACAGAAGCACAATAGAAGGGGGAAGGTAAAGTCGTGGATTGGTTGTTGGCGGGAAGTGAATGGACGTGCTCGTTTGTATGTTTGTGGAGTTCGGACATTGTGTGGTACGCAAGGCGCGTATTAGGTACATTGCGTGGCATGTAATATGCAGGTGGGCTTATTACCTGACATGCAATGTACAAGCTATGTATCCCTTTTTTATCAGAGTTGGAGCTTGTCAACTTTCGGCAAATTATAGACTTTTAGTCTCACCATTAATATGCCTTGCAGTATTTGTGCAATAGGAGTTGATGGTGGTGCCGTGACATAATTGTGAAGCGAATGTTTCATCAGATAGTGCCACAATTATCAATCTTTCAATGATTTATTACGAAAGGCAAGTTATTTATCAGTATATTGAAAGGATTATAGGAAAGTTGACGAAAAGCTTTTTCGAGCAATTGATAGAGTGATTATAGAGAAAAGCATTATGTTATAGCATCCGCTGCGAACAATCTGCAATGGTTTTTCTTTTTATGAAGACTTGCGCCAGCACTTGATACTAAACCAAGGGTTATTCGATATAAGGATAACTTAAACAGCACCACGGGCAAGTGCATTAGTAAGCTGTTCTAACTTTGCTGAAACTAAGGGGTGAATGCCAAATTCACGCATTCTTGTATGAATGAACTTTATAGTTATTGGATCTTAATAAATCCTAAAGCATAACGACATTATTATGGTTCAGCAACATTAGAGAGCTGGTATCGTACGTAGCATATCTATCTAGCATAATTCATTTACTTCTTGAAGCCTGTAATATTGACCTTAATATTTTTCTCTTGTTTTGAATGCACAGCATTTTTTTGGAAGATTCATAATACACTTCCATATCGATTTTTTTTCTCAATTAGCAGAATGTCTAAATGAATTAATGTGGAGCTTATGGCTGTTTTTCTCCCATTCTTTAACTGCAGAGTCATAAGAGGCAGTAGTTTCTGATAACGCTACACTTTTTGTTTTATGTAGGGTGAATGTGTTGTTTTATCTTGTGATCATAAATACTAATGGTTTGCAATATTTTTCAGCAAATGAACATGAGTTGCCAGTTACTTCATCCTGATGAGGACAAATTTTTCACTTTTGCCTTGAATCTGGTTAATAAAGCAGGAACAGTAAGTTCTTGATGTTGTTAAAGAAATGTTCCGTCGTATCAATTGATATATCTGCCGTCTCAATTTTTTAGTTGGTTCGAACTGCCTTCGAACAGCCATGTTCAAAAGTGCATACGAAAATGTCTGACACAGATTTGGTGACAGAAACAGACCAGGCGGTTGAAAAAATGTTGATCGAGAATCTTTCGAAAGAATTCCCTGACCATAAGTTAGTTTCAGAACTTCTATAAAAATCAGAACTTCTAAGGTTTTGCTAATGCTACTGAAGTGCAACTGCATGAGAACATCTTATCGGAGCTGTTCTATCGCGATTGTATAATTTTTTTGTTATTAAGTTTTAGAGTTGTTATCCGTTTTTATGATGTTTCCATGATTTGCTTAGGTTTCTTGATATTGGTAGGTCTCATACCGTAATGCATTCTGTACATTCTTTACAGTAATCACCGAGATGCTTCAAGTATTGACTTTTGTATGACTACTGTAATATGTGTTTCCACAGGTTTATTGGCGAAGAGTCTGTGGCAGGTGGTGCAAAAATTGACTACACCGATGCACCTACCTGGATTATTGATCCAATCGACGGCACCACGAACTTCGTGCATAGGTAATCTATATCATCGAAATTCCAATGAATTAGTTTTCATTTTTGCATCTGATTAAGTATAATCAAATGCACCTGATTAAAGATTGCTTCATTTTGAAGTTTTGATATTTTAAAAACGTAATAGAGCGATGAATGTCAATCCTGACGCGAATTTCACTAGCACTAAAATTTCAGAATTCCAATAATCGCCATATGTGTAGGACTGGCTATTAAGAAACAGTTACGTGCCGGTATTGTTTATAATCCGATCACTAAAGAACTTTATACGGCGCAGTCAGGGCGAGGAGCTTTTCGAAATGGTTTTCCAATTCATGTTTCTTCTACCAAAGGTAGTATTACTTTAATTGGCTGCAAATATTTGCAGTGGACGCTTTTTAAAAAAATTCTGTATCCATAACTGGTACAATGTTTTTAGAACTAATTCGATTTTTGGAAAAGGCAGTTCACTTTTGATTAGTTTTACTGGTTATCAATTATGATATCTACAGAAATAAGTCGATGCCTAATTGGTCAGTCTCATGGAATTCATAATTTGGCTCAATTTGGTGAAAAATGGTTGAAAATCACAATGGATAACCATGGCCGCCAATGTCTTGCAGGCATACGAGGGTAATTTCCACATTTCAATTCTTTCTGTATAAAACAACTACTGGAAGATGTATTACTGCTTTTCATTAACGTTATATTCATGGACGCACTTTGTAATTTATTGATCTAATATCTTAGTTAGGGTCCTTAGAGTTCACGTTTTAGTCCTGCTGGAGGTCTTTCTGAACTCAATGGCAAATTTACCTATCGAGAAGGATAATATCCATGATCTGTAAGGGCGGATGGCAGTATGTTACTTTCTATATTATTTTGGTTTTAATCAACCGTTTCCTTAACGCCCGACCTTCGTTTAGATGGAACAGCCTTCCACTGTTCATTTAATTAATGTTGTAAATGGAAGATGATTTCGGGATAGTCTCAATACAGAACTTGAAAAAAACAATTAATTGCCTTTTGTAGTATGTTATTGATTTAGACACCGTTCGTTCGGCTCTGCAGCTATGAATATGGTCTATGTGGCTCAAGGTATATTGGATGCATATGTTGAATACGGTCTCCATGCCTGGGATGTGGCCGCTGCTGGAATCATTGTTAAAGAAGCTGGTGGTATGTTGCTAGATCCAGCAGGTAAATTTAAGAAAAATGTTTTGTTTCTTGGGACAACTGTTTTCTCAAAGTTCAGTTTGTTTGTGATGCTGTTTAATTTCGAGACAACCGGTTCTCCGTATTCATTCGTTTTTTTTCGAACATTGTGTAAGATTTTAAAAAAGTGGAAATTGTTCCATTTTTCTAAAAGTTTGAAAGCACTCTAATTCTGAGTTTTTGTGAAATTTGATATCTTTAACTTCTCTGCACAATTACTTTTCGAAAAACTAATCGTTTAGTTTGCTTTTTATGTCTGGCAAATAATCAGATATTGCAGGTGCCGAATTTGACATTATGAATCGTCGAGTTCTCTGCACCTCAACTCCTGAGCTGGCTAAGGCAATAAAATCAACTCTCAGTCATGTTGAATACGAAAAAGAAGGATAAATCCATATCTCTATCATCTCTTTTTGTTATTACGCATCTGATTTTTATTTTCGTTTTCTAATAAGTTAGGATTAGAAATTCATTTCATTTTCTATCGTTATGTCTCCGTTAATTTTTATTTTTCAATTCAGTGGAATTTTTTTCCTCATAATATTATACTGGAAAAAATTTCAGCGAATGTTTTTTTCTTTTTAAAACTGTTAGATCTGTCTTCATCTCTTACAATTTTTGTTTAATTTTTCATTATTTATTCGAATTTTCTTTATTCTGGGCAGATTCATTAAATTTAGTTTCATTGTCATGCAGAGAGATATATACAAATGATTTGTCATTGGTAGGCATTTGTAATCACTCAGCAATCATGAGAAGGGAATGATTGGAAATTATAACTAGAAAGATTTTACATTGGTATGTTGATGTTCAGTAGCTTAGAAGTGTCTTGGTATGCTTGCAACTATATCAATTCATGAAATAAAGTAGTAAATAGCGTAATTATCCCTTAGAGTCCTCTTTGGTTACGACACCGCCTTTATTTCTTTCATTGAAACGTCAAAGAGGAAAGAAAATTTTCATGCATACATCGATTAGCTTATATTTTCGAAGATGCATGAAAGGAAAAAAAATTTGAAGGGTGCTATACGTTTTTATAGGGGTTACGTTAGTTTTTAGAAAAGTTACCGTATGCCATGCAGGATGAAAGTGCTGTTTAGGGTAAGCGATCTAAACGCGTTTCATCATTTTCGGTAATTTGTAAGATATAAACCGCTGGATAATGATGGGCGACACACATCCTGTTGAGGTTAGCAGTATTTGTTTTCCTTAAACTTTAAGATGTTCTTAATTTTATTTTCTGAGGAAGTGTTCCAGTGATGCCGAGTTTTAATTCTTGAAGAAATATTTTCATACTGATTAGATAAGCTTAATTACTTATGAGTTTCAGAATTCTGCTTCTCATGTAGTACCTCTCAGTCAGGAAGTCCAAACTATTAGCAAAGAGGTTAGCGTATTCAGTTTTTATACTTGTTGGTATAAGTGGATTACAACTATGCACATATTCTCGTGTTTCTATCTCCTTTTCTATTTAACTTTCCTCTCTTTAAATCCAAGATCAAAATTACTAGAAGACGACCAAATTCATCTTAACATTTGATAATGGCACATAAAATGCAAAAATATTTTTTAGGCTTTGGATAATATAATTGGTAACAGTCCATATTGGCATGTTACAACAAATCAGTGGAGCCAGCAGGCTGTGGAAACAATTACCACTAATCTGGTAAAACTCAACAAGCCCTACAAATACATTGGTGAGTATTTTCATTATTCAACTACTAGGGATTTTCCCTTTTGTATTTTTTTCATCAGTCTCTTAATCGGTCGATTTTTAGAATGGTCGGGAAATTCTTCATTATTTTTCTTGTTTCTTGTATATTTCTTTTCTTTGTTATTAATCCAAACTTTAGTTGTTGCTTGTAAAATATTATAATACAGCATTAAACTCTGCACTAACACCTCGACTAGTTCTTTATTTTTTTCAGTAACTTGTGTGATCATGCAGACAAATACCGGTGCAGGTCTCAGCGTGTCGAGCACTTGCTACTGGGATAAGGCAACCGATCGTAAGTATTTTCCGAATTCTTTTCCATTATTTTTTACTTAATTTCTTTAGATTGTGTTCATAGTGAAATATAGAGTTTTCATTCATAACGTCATCTTACATCGTGGTTCCTTTCTTCACTTTATGATGCTTAAAGTAATTTATGTTTTTGTTTTCAGTGTCATTTACAGTTCGATGGGAAAACAAATCAGTTGTGACAATTGTTAACGTTTTCGCTGTTGCCCTATGATGAAGCTAGGGTGTAACCATATCGCAAGTATCATTATCATCAATGTTCATGATAATATGTATCATTTATAGCTATTGTTTATGTTAGCCATAAAGCTATGTGTATCGTATTTTCAGCATTATTCTATATTTTATGGATTTTTTTGGTGAAGTGACCTTTTTTCCCCCTCCTTTTCGCTCCCTTCATTGCTTTCCCTTTTCTCTTCTTTTCATTATATTGGCAATCTGTTGCATTTCCACTACCTTGTTAAGATTAAATGGTAATATATTACTACTCGCGTGATCTGTTCATTTCCTCATCTTTTGCTCTTATGTAGGTTTCGGCTTCACGCATATCTTCGGCTTCTTTCATCTTACGTCCCATTATTTTAAGGTAAATATTTCAGGAATCTGTAGCAAGGAACGAGAAAAATTCAAATTTTTAAAGTGTATTATCTTATGTTGCTTTGTATGGTATGAGGAACAACATACCTTATATCCAGTGTGAAATTTTTGCTGTATCTTTTGTCAATAGGTATGAAAATGAAATGAGCAGTCATAAGCTCGCTTGCGGGAAAATCATTTCAGAAGTGCCACATATATTAGAGGCACTTCGAAATCAATTATTAGACAGGCTCATCACGGCGAACGGCAACCATCGATTCTATGTCGTGCTTGTCAGGAAATTATAAGGAAATTCCTTGCAGACTAAATTTTGCACATTTCATAAGGTAGTTTAAGGAAAATCGCTTAATGTGGTTCATTGTTCTGAAGTCTTATACGTACATTTTTTTTGAAGTTTCAATGTATCTGTAATTGTCATCTGTTCATGTTTGTGATATGTTCGTTTCGATTAATTCTGCAAATTGTGCTTGCAGCTCCTTGTTCAGTTGATGGTTTTAAAAATACTTTTTATCGGCTGTTAAGTTTTTAGCTTCTATGAGCTACTGTTGAAAAATCCCAAGTCTCCACTTCATTGCTCATCTGTTTTTTTCCTTCTTTGTCGTTAGCATTCGAACACCAAATTGTCATTTCGAATTAAGGAATAATGAATTTTTGGTAAAAGCGCTATTTCCACAGGTAAATGAAAAGATGTGTCTCATACAGCAAAGCTGTACTTTTATTGTTCATTTTGTTTTGACGGAAGATATCTAATGTCAAACAGACGAAAAATATCTAATGTCACTTATCAATTTATTCGGTATCTTTAGTACGGAAATTCAAAAGAAGCGATCTTCAGGAAAATCACACAAGTTGAAAAACACAGAAATATGCTATCATAATTGTGACTTCAAATATATAAAGATTGTTGCGAGAATTTGCTAGCTATCTACAAGTGGCTGTGCTGCTGGTAACCAGGAAAATGGTATAGACAACTTCGTTCGCAACATGATTCTTCGTAAGATTTAAAAGTAATATTACCTGACGACTGAGTCAAAGTGTCGAGACTACTAAACAAAAGAATGAAAATTAAAATGAGTCCGTAACAGAACTGCTGTTTTCTTTTATAATTGAAAATTCTGTATGGATAAATTCATATGTAAAAACTAAGGAAATGTACAACGTAAAACACAAGCAAAACAAAAGCCTGGTAAGGAAAGTAATGAGTACAAGGGGAAATGTTTCTGGGTTCTGGACTGCTGCCGATGAAAACTTAAGTTTTTTAAATTTATACCAAAATCGCATGTAGAAGCATATAAAGAGTACAGATATTGATAAATATAAGATTGGTCTAAACGCACGACCGTTTAACAGATGACTAAACTGACATTTGCTGTTTTACACTTACCACTTGGAGGTAATGCGACCGTATTAGGTCTTTTGTAAGGTATTTGAAATTTATTTCATGAGAAAATATGGTGAAAATTGTGACTGGTTCCGTGATTTTGCATGAGACAAAACCTTCAAGTACTTCAATCGGCAACAAAAGTACCCGTTACAAAAATAAAGAACAAGACAAAGAAATGGCTTTTTTTCGATTAAATTTTTAATTTACGAAAGCCACTGCCTTTTTTCGCGAACATACGTACACATTTCTCCGTTGAAAACAGTATCACAGGAGGGCCAGAATATGCAAGAATCACTATCACTCCAACACAACAGTCCAACGGCCGTGAAGAATATTATGGAGCATATATAGCATGGCCTGAAATAAATAATGTTCATCGAAATGCTCTCCATTTCATAAATAGGAATATCTCAATTATGTCATTTCGATTATTACCGGTTGGTCCACACCAAGTTTTGAATAGCGAAGATCCACACCAAGTTTTGAATATTTTGAATAGCCAAATTTCTCACCAGTGCTTTTCGCTAGAAATCATAGAGAAAGGTAAAAAAGCTGCTCATGTTTTGACAGATAATTTAAAAAATATCGTTCTGAAATACTGTTTTCCGCTACGCAATACAACCCACTTTTCATCATTACTCAGACATAGTGAGAAATAAACGTGAATTGTATTACACGACAATCGGTCGCAGCTTGTTCAAAAATTGCGTGATGGAGCTGTAAAATATTTCTCAAAAGTAAATTGAGAAATATTTTACAGCTCCACCATGCAGTTTTTGAACAAGTTGCCAGAAGACTTGGTCACAGGCAACATTGGATCCTTTAAATCCCGACTATCATACCTCATAAGCATGCTTTGCAAACCGATGAAATACATCACAAATTACAACGTCATCTCTGTTGTGTACTGATTAGCAGAAAGAACCCAAATCCTCCTTTAAAATAAGCCTAACGATGGTTTAAACAAGTAACATTTCAAAAGTTGGATTAAACGGATTATAAGCTTCGCCTTATTTATCATATTTATCTAACCTTTCATCAAACATATTACTACTTTATTCAATTCAAATTTTGACAGGGAAACTGTTTCCATAGCAGTAAGAAATGCTTTTTCTGTTCAGCGTTACCGTCGAATCTCGACACACTTTTGTAAGCATGAGTGTACATAAGAACCAAAATTATTATTCATTAACAAAAGTTTGTTGACTGCCGTAGTTTCTAAGATATTATTTTATGATAATTTATGATATATCATTCCTCATCATTCCTAAACATTCCACTATTAAACAATATGAAGGAATTAATCTGCCATCAGAAGAAATGTAAACTATTGAAGCTTGTCATCTATGATGCGTATTTCCTAATTTTCTTTATATTTTATGACTCATTGATAAAATGATGGAAATACAAACCTTCTTTCCATAAAAAATCCGACAACATAAAACCACATGAATAGAGCCTGGTCAATAATGAATGTTGGATGAAGCCAATGCTTGGGTATAAGTAGCACAGGAATTAGCCATTGTAAACAATACATTTTTCGTACTCTGAAATCGCCAGTACTAAATAAATTTCAAAAATTGTCCAAGAACATAACAATTCGAAAATTTTCATTGTATTTTAGCTCATCGTTCTCTTTGTATCTTAGTTCAAACCGTTTGATTAGTCAATCCAAAAATATTAAATACTCTTAAAAGACAAAAAAGGTAAAATTTTCGTCTGTCAAAATATTTTTTTGGAATATTAACTAGCTATCATTCTTACTATTTCATGCTAGTTAATAAAAACACTAATGTAAGGGTCAAAACCTGGATACATTTAATTAATTAAAAATAAAGTATGACCTATGCGCTACGTAATTTCTGGTGCAGATGCTAACCCTAATTGTCTTACACATTAATTTTTGCAAAACAAGAAGTCATGAATCATTTACAAGTACAAAACAAGAAGTTATGAATCACTTGCAAATATCATTGCAATATCCCAGACAACTGCCCCGAGAACCATCCCTTCATTCCGGAATTGAAATTACCAATCCATCCTCCACGACCATTTTCTTCATGAAAATCTATCAGGGATATGGCGGAATTTCAAATGTGAGAATCGTCCTGCCTTATATGAGTAACCGATTTTTCGGAATCTTCTAAGAGAATTAGTCATTTTCCAATACGTATCCCTGATATTTAATTTGATATTTCTCAAACGTTCAATTTTCAAACGATGCATTTATTTCATTCTTCAAAGGATTTTCTCATTTCCCTCTCATAACCGGATATGGATAGGATATGCTGGATGAAACCGTCTCTGTTATGCATAATGTATCGACTTTATTGATATTTCATTGGGAAAACATTTCATAGATAAGAAAACACTTAAAGAGCCCTCAATGTTTCATCCGGACGGGAGAGCTTGTCTTTTTTACCGGCTGCCAATAACACTTCGTGAAAATTTGTAAGTCATTCTTACATTTGCTGAAATGAAATGTATTTGAATGGAAGTTTTCTTATGTGCTAATTTTATTTCGGTTTGCTAATTTTATTTCATAGTTTTTCATTATTAATTTTCTCTCCATGGCTATATTTCAGTGTATGGAAGCTTGTTTGACATTCATGATTTATTATGGGCCCAAATATTCACTAATTTTTCCGAAAGAGATAAAACTTACTTCAGCTTTAATTTAACCTTTACTAGGATTACTCGAAATAATATTTTGAAAGTGATATCCTGTGAATATAAACATTAAATTCAGGCATCAATATTTCATAAAACATTTATTCAAATTCAGTAAATAAAACATACATCAAATCTGTCATTGATATCATTTCCAATTTATCTGTTATTTGAATTCATCCATTTCAATTAATGATTTTTAGATCTAAAAGTTTTTATTTAAGAATTGCTTGATTAGTGTAATAATTCCTTGTTCCTATCTGTCTTCTTCAAATGATTGCTGTTTTGTTCATTCTAACATCTGTTCAAATTGATCAACTTATAAAAGCTTAATTGCAGTGGTTTAATTAGCATACAGATTTGAAGAAATAGTCTGACATTTATCATCGAAAGATCTTGAAAGGAAGAATGAGGCAGGATGATGATAACTGAACTATGAAAAATAACGTATAATTGAGATATAATTCGGTGAGTATTTCAATGATGAAAATAAGGAGAGAAGTTTTGCTACCTTCTCTGATCATACATCTGGAATTATCAAAATTATATCAATAACAAATCTTCAATCTTATTCCGGTTTACAGGAATCGATTTATATTTTGGAACAATTTAAAAGACTTAACATTGAGGAGAGAAGAGTTTCAATTATTGGAAATTCATTTACTTATTCTAAGTAGATGAATTTCTCATATGAATCAAAATCATATCATCTGCTATTAGTCGAAGAGAAGGAATACTTGATACATGAATTCAAGAGCTTGAATTCTATTTCACAAGGTATCCGCAAATTTAAATAAGAAAGTTAACCTTAATGTATCCCTGATATTTGGGTGATGCTCAAATTCCAAGCGATCATATTATTTTATTTTTAAGATTAATAATTGAAGTGGAAAAAAGCTTATTGAGTTCAATTTACGCTTTGTAAAATTAGTATATTTTTTCTTTGTTATTCTCTTTTTCTCAAATGGAAAGATCAAAAACAATTAACGACAAGTTGAAAAACTTACTACTGAGGGGCCAATTGTTCATGCAGGATTAGTCCGTGAAGTTATACCTTTACTGTAAAGTATTCCCATTGCTTCAAGCCAAAAACAATAACATTAATTTTTTATTTAATAACCCAAATTGTGCTTGGAATTAAGCTTTCAGTTAATATTTATCATAACTTTATAGTTATATAATATTTTCGACTTATTTTTGTTGGCTTTTTTGACAACCATTGATTGAGATTTATAATTAAGAATGAGCCTTATTTTTACTTCTGAATTCATCCTTGCTGTTGACATGATTGTTGACAGCCGATTAGGGGGCACTTACGAAAGGAACGCTAATTGTAAAGCTTATGCAATTTGATTTTACTGAATGAATAAGGCAAGCTTTACTGTTGCATTCTTTCCTAGCGGGGATTTTAAAAGAAATGCTAACTATAATATTATCAAAATGAATGATAATAGAGAAGAAAATTTGAAATGCGATTTTAAAAAGTTCAATGATGATAGAATAAAGAAGAAAGCAATGGAAATAATAAAAGAAAAGAAAACAATTGAGACTAATATTTTGAAAGCTAATAAAATCATACGCTATTCATCCCAAAATTAAAAAGAAAAGAAATCGAAACACAAATTGATTTCCTCTGTCGCTAAAATAATTAAAGTTTCGATTAGTGATGAAGAAAGTTTGCAAATGTTTAATGATTATTTTATGAGGAGAAAGATAGAATTGATTGGTAACAAACTTGAAGCCAAATATTAGATCAGAAATCATCCTATACTTGTTCAACCAGATAGCTCAATGGAAGGCATAAAGCCTAAATAAAACTTTTAGACATGAATACTTTAAGAATTTAAAACTTAATTAGCAATATATCTAGAATTACAATTCCAGAAGATATTTGACCGAAGATTAGAGCAATGTTAAATAGAGCTGTTGAAATTTGAATTCTCGATCAATCTACGCTGAAAGCTTTGGCTTTATTTGGAAAAAAATTTGGAAACGAAAATGTCGGCGGCTAATACACCTGGAATTAAGCTTCCTATTACTAAAAAATATGCAACTAAAATTTTGATCAGTACATTTGAGCACATAAAGCTTCAAGTACCAAGTTTGTGAATTATATAGCTATTGCCGCTATGCTCCAAATTAGAGTTCCCTATAATTATATTATAATTGAATTTGCAACTAATAGTTCATCTAAACCAGGATTGCAATTAATAAGTCTGAAATTGAACTTTTAGCCAGCAATGCAATCAGAAAGTTAGCGGTAATTTGAAGGATCATTATTGATTTTCATAAATCGCTACATTCAACCTAAATTTTGAAGTGAAAAATTGGAAGAGAAAGTTAGCATCCTATCATTCATGAGTGTAAAAGTGAAATTTTAATCAGCGACAAATGCAAAAACTCATGTAATCTGACAGAAACACTTCAACAGTTAATTAAAATCAAACTTTAGTAATAGACTTTAAATTGGAGCTTTTAATTAAGACACTTTTGAAATTATTATCTCGACGATCGCCAAGTTTGATTTTGTTGAAATGATTGCAAATCTGAAATGAATATCTCGACTAGTAAATTCTCTCAAATCTGTAATAGAGATGAGAAGAAGGAGGAACAGTTGAGATTATAAACAATTGTTGGAAGCTTTTCGATGAATAATGAAGTTTTAATATTTGATGACATTTAATGCTTTGTTAATGATGAATATTTCAGTGATGAATTGATAGCTTATCTCATTGATGAGACACATTAATTAATTATTATATTTTATATACATCTTATTGATACGATATCAGAAAAAAAGTGAAACTTAACAGAGTTAGTGCAAAGTTTTTAAAAAGATATTATTGGTGATGTATTCATTACTGACAACCGGTTGAATGCAACTTGCTCAGATCTTTTTATTAAGCTCCATTTTATCTCTTACATGTACAACAAATAATTTCAATTTCAACTGGACAGGTTCATTTTTCTTTTCAGCAAATATTTGAAAAAAATGAGAAAGCACAAAAAAGTGATGATTTATTTAGATGATAAAATAGCTCAGCTGAATCAGCAGATCATGTTAGAAATGAAGAAATTACGACAATTACAAATAGAATTGATGATACAATCTGAAAGAGGATATTTGTTAACCTTTGCTATTGTTGCAATTACTATTAAAAGTATCATCATTGTTGGGATGATATTTGCTCTACAAGGTATAAATATACATTCTGAAAATTATCAGCAATATCAACGGATTGATTTCTTTTCTACTGATACTTTTGATAATTTTCGACCACAATCTACAATTTTCAGTTCTTTTATTTTTGATTATTATGTTTGATTTATTTTATTATTGTTAAGATTTTAGATCCCTGTAAGACTAAATTATTGAAATGAGGAAATCTTTTCAAAGAAAATAATATTTAGATCAGAAATTTGCAAAGTAGTTTCCAATTTTAATCGGAAATAGCTTGGATAACGATCTTGAAATTCAAAGATTTGCTCAATCATTAGTGTGATCATTTTGTTATCGAGAATTTGATCATATCAGTATCTCTATTTCATATATATTTTTCAGCATGTTCCATTCAATCTGATGATTACGACATTGAAAATTCAAAGCAAATGTTTTATAAGCATTGGATTAGTGAAACGATACGCAAGGAAGAAATTAGCGGAATTCCAACGATTGATTTTACATATTGCGAAGAAAATCATAATAAGCCTGCTGGTAATATAGATGAATTAAATTTAAAATTCCAAAACTTAAATTAGAAACTTCTGAAGTACGAATTCGAAATTTTAAGAAGTTTTATTATCAGTACATTTATACCAATTAAATTGCATATTGAATCCTTTGAAGGTATTAATATTATCGAAATGTTATTTCTTTTTCTGCTTTACTACTCTTTAACTATAATTAAGGATAATAGTAAAGAGGAGAAAGTTTCGGTGTATTTTTAAATTTGCTTAATTTTCTTTGAAATCCAAATGTTAATTAAATGCGCGAATAGCATAATGCGATGAAGCATTAATATTCTTTTGAGGTATTTCTGTGATATTTACTATAGCAAAAGGTTTTCATAACCAATTCAACTTATCTAACTCAGTTTTCATTTCAGTGTCACCGGAAACTAATGAAAATAATGGAGACAAAATATCAGGCAACAATTTAATTAAATTACCTATTTGGTTAGGTTATGTACATCTCTCTTCAAGTTTAATTGTGACCGCAGGTACCCTGTATGCTACCATTTGGTGGTACTTCATCTTGCAACCAATACCATCTGTGTTGCTCGATTTTTGCACCTATGATTTAAAATTGTGTCAGCGACGATGTAATAAATCCCCTAATGAAGGTTATTTTAAATACTATATCATATATTAAAAGACAACGAAAAAGTTGCTGTTTCCATAGATTTATTATCAGAGGAAGAAGTTTTGAATAACATGTTGTTCTTTGACAGATTTCATAACAACAAACATAATTATTTCACAGAGTGCGAGGTTTAGTAAAATAATTTTTCTGAATCGATATCACTTAAAATTAAAATTTTCAATAAGGAAATAATGAAAGACAGTTATGAGTTAAACTTTTCAACAACCAAATGATAAGCAAATGATAAGCATTAGATTAAATTCAATCATAAGAGTCATAAGAAAATTCTTCACCAATATTTTTCATTGTATTCGAAATTTTATAAATTATAAGCTAAATTTTAAAGCAATCTTAAAAACTTTTGAAATAGCCAAAATCAAAAAGCTTATAATTCATTTATCTGGCAATTTGTGTTTTGCAGAATATCCTCTTATTGTAAGCAATGATTTGAAGTTAGTAGCGGAAGAAGTGGAAAAAAGTTTTGACAGTTATTTATCAATTTTGGATGACAAGCCTCAAAAACTAAAATGGGCCTTGCTACCCGTTTGCTTTTCCTACATTCTATTGCTAGCTATTGCTCTCATTTCATTTTTAAATTCATTCTTTCGACAAATATTTTGGACAAAAAATCGTGGTATCTTATATATTTCGCTTTTACTTTTCGACTTTATACAATTTTATCTTTCTCAATGACTAATTTCATTCATTCATTGTTCTATACATTTCAATTTAAATATGTAGTACTGTATATAATACATATATAGTATCAACATCATATCATTATAAAGCGTACGGTATCAGATGAACATTTTGTACCATTCCAATTAAAGATAATTAATACTACCAAATGTATTAATATGTTTCACTAATATTTTAGCAATTTTTTTAAAACTATTATTTATAAGTTTTCGAATGGTTCGTTTTCTTTCTCAAGCAATTAATCATAAAAGGAAATGAGTGAAAGAGAATTTCTCTTTTTCTTCCAAAGAATAAGTAAACAAAGTTTTCTTCCCAATTTTACTGAAATTATAAAAGTTATAGTTATTTTCCTTAGATGAAAAAATAATTCAAAAAAAAGTTTACTTTAAAATGATATGAAATTAAATTTTTATTTTCACTTTAATTTTCATTTTTAAACAAAAATAATTCTTTTATAATTGCATGAAATTTGGGAAGAAAAATTTGTTTGAATTAATTAAGAATGAAATGATTAATTAATCAGTAATTAGTGTTAAAGAATTATTTTATCATTTTAACTCATTTGATTTTCACTAATTAACTTTTTATAATCAATAATATAAAACATTCAACAATTATATCTAAAAATTTAGTTGTTTATTTATGAACTAAGTTATAAACTGATAATGATGGAACGCTTTGATAATGAAATAATTTTCTGAATGGAAAAATGATTTAATATAAAGTAATTGTTTCTCAAAATCTTTAGCAAAAATTTTTGAAAATTTTAGAATGGAAATGTAGTCGACTTCAATTAAGGCTTTATTTATTTTTGGATGTGATTTCTGTAGCGATAATTATCTTACTATATTTGGGTATTACCGTGGAACACACATTTATAAATGAATTCAATTTAAAGCTGAAAGAATGCCGTGAGCAATTGGATTTCTGCTTTTGTTAATATATTATTGAAATTCTTTTTGGTTACTTTTAAATTAATCATTATTTACGAAATGTTTATCATTTATAGCCGATCCCTTGAAATGTTATTATGCTTTATGCTTTCGATGTTATTTTGATAGTTTCTTTTTGAAGCGTCGAATTTCCGATTTTTTAAGTATTATTGATGAATTCTTAAAATTTGAATTGAAAGTTGTGAGTAATAAATAAAACTAAGGAGATGAACAGTACACTTATGATCTTTCTTCTTTTTTAGGAAGGAACAAATGATTAATCAATTAAGAAAAATAAAACAAATTAGAGTCTAACATTTAAAATCCAAACGTTTTTTTAACTGAAATTTCTTTACTAAAATTATTATGGACAGAATGGGTGCCTTCATATTTCGGCTAACTTGCGCTTAAATGAAATAAGGTAAGATTGTTTAAATAAATTAGATATGAAAACAAAATAGTTATTAGTAAATAAATTATAAAAAATAAGTGCATAAATATTTTCTATTTTTGCGGCAATAGTTTTATTGCTGGATTCTGAAATATAAAAGTTTAGATAGCTAGAGAGTAGCTCAATTTCGATTTTAAATCTAAGTTTAAAGTTTCATGCCGAAATTCAACATCAAAAGTAAAAGTGTAAAAAATTTCATGTGCAATCTGTACTAACAAAAATGACAGATTGATAAGTTGGAATATTTGACTTTCCATTAGCCTATTATATCTATTCGACATGGTAATAAATGCACCAATAACTTATGACATTCGATCCGTTTGTCATCGTAGTTTATGGCATTTGATTCATCGATCATCATAACTTAGCATACAGATTCTAATTGGTTTAAATTATTGACTTAGAAATTAAAAGTTGGCAAAATCCAGGAAAAACAAATTGGCATGGACTTACAAAAGACTGATAATGAATTAAGTTATCATTTAAGATCCATTTTTGGTTTATGGAAATTATAGTTGCATTCATCTTTAGCAAGTATGTTCTACATTAAATTTCAAGAATTAACCATCCAAGTCTATGAAAAACAACAACTAATGCCATATTCGAAGGCATACAGCAAATTGTGTAAAGTTCAAGGAAGTTATCTTCAAAATTTAAAATTAAATTAATTGATCGAAAAATACCATCGAAAGTTCTATTTTGTGGTCAATAGACGAGTATATAAAATGATCAATCATTTGTCAACAATAGTATGAGCTAAACAATTTTTTGTCAATCGTCGACCTCACTGAACAAATGTCATTTATACTTCAGTAATGAGTATTTCTTCTGTCAATAGTATCAATAATCATCGGTGTTTTGTTTCAAACTGCTTTACTTCATTCTATCAGCGATTTTTAGAATAAATTATGAAATAGCAAATAATGGCTACTTATCAAAGGATATCTCAGAGATTTTGCTAAACTTTACAGATCGATTTTATTTTCATTATGTATTTCTCTCATATCAGAAGTGAAATTTCGGCTAAAATAAGTTTCTGAATAAAGTCAAAATCAATACTGAGATCAATTATCAATGTTTAAAATCTTTTTCCTCTATTCATATTTTAGGAAAACAAAAACTCTCTACAATGTTAATTCCAAAACTTTATTACAGTATATAAATTGATAACGTTTAAGCAAAAGAAAGATCAAAAAAAAAAGAGATATAATCGGGTATTTATTTCATTTCAATATTTAAGATTCTAATTTTTATATTTGATATAAGTTCACCAATTGTTTTGTCAGTTCTTTTTCTCTCCAATGCTCCTACCACCTGTTATTATTATTTAAACCACTTTGTCGTTGCAGTCAAATCGATCGATTTAAACAAAAACTTAAATATCAATTTTTAATCAATTTGCTTTGCAATTTGAAATCACTTCTCCTATTTTATTTCATTCGGAGATAGGAAAGAGTAAGAAATAGAAATGAATGATTAAAGTTAGAAGTCATATAAATCTATCTATCATTCGAATGAAATATTTTAAACCTTTCCGATAAGTAACTTATGATGAAAAAACGATCACGTCATTCAAGTAGGCTTGAACTTAAAGGAATTTGATATTATTTAGTTTTCAGTATTCATAGCAATACATTCTTATTCTCCCTTTGCTATCTTATTTCATCCTTCATTCTCTCTCTCTCTCTCTCTCTCTCTCTCTTAAGAGAAAATAAACGATATTTTTCAAGCACAAATACATTCCTTTCCTTTCAGATCAAAGTATGTTATCAAAAAACTCAAACTTTGAGAACTTCAAGAATGTCGCTTACTCATACATTCAATATTTAAAATGATTCATCTCTTGAAAGAAAGGAATAACTCTTACCGGAAATCAAATTACTAAACTTTTATTTGATAATATATAAATGCAATATATAAATGGTATCTATCAGACAACAATGGTTGCTATTTTCGAAGTTCGAAATTTACTTTACTTAATTTTCTTAATTATTGACTTTACATTGGAAAGCAAAGATAGTATTGTCAATGTATGAAAGAAATGAAAAGTTTTGGACAGGTATTATTAGGTGGAAAAAAACAAACAAATAGTTATAGATATCACTTCATGCTTTTTTCTTACATTACTTAGTTTGACATGATTTGGTACAATCAATTCAGATTAACTCCACTAATTTCACTTATTCATTCTGACAACTACTCTATGCGAACGGCTAGGATACAAATGCATCATCTGCTTTGTTTACTACAACTATAACCACTCTTTCCGCTAATGCTGTTAACAATGATATTATTGATAAAGCATAGTGGAAGTGGTGCTTCCACTAACGATTGTTTATTAACAGTCTTATTCTTGTCGATGAGATCAATAGACAATGATGACTGATGTTTGTGATTATTTGCTTTGATATTTTTCCTTATCTCTGCCATTTCAATTTGCATAATCTCAAGTGATAATCGTTGCATTGGATTGTACCGCCTTCAAAATGATTCATTTGTTTCTGCTTGTTTCCTAAAATATTCTAACATACAATGTTGTCCAAATAAGGCCATGAACTCACTCTCATATTACACACCTTCCTTTTTCCATCATTTACCTGAAATTCATATATCTTCCATACCAAAAATAAACTAAAAGATTCGTTCCATTCCTATTGTTTTCTTTCTATAAAAAAATATTAAAATGTCTGTTCCTTCCAGTGTTGTAATAAATGACAGATATGCCTAAATTTGCACTAAAAATTAGAAATTACTGAACAGAGAAATCGATGTATCGATTGATTTGAATGAATGATACAGTAGAATTTATGTTCACCAAATATGGTCATTTTTCATTCAGGCTACTCCTAATATATTGATTAAACAAAGAGGAAGAAAAATATACTTATCTCATTAAGTGATTGATTTCGAACTGATTACTTTCTTAAACTACTTTATTTGTAACTGTTTGGCAGAGGAATATTTTCAAACATATTCTATTCTTCTTAAATTTAATGGCAGTAAATCATCATCTTATCAGCCCTTAACATATTACAAATGGTGCAATAGTGTAGAACGGATTTATTCAGGTAAAATGATGACTTGAATTTTGAATCCCTTATTTCTGAATGCAGGACTTCAACCATACAACAACTCAAAATATCATAGCATGCTATTAGATCGGTTGGGTCGTTGACCTTACCCAATGTATATTAAAGTGATAGATTGAACAGGGAAGACAAACTGGAAATTCTTTTTTCTATGATTCATAATGAAATGTGTTATCATTTGCAATCTATCCTGCGTAACACCTATTGTCATCCATGATAACATCCATGGTAATTGCCATTTATTCTGTTTGTTAAGGAAATACACCAATTTGATATACATGAAGGTATGACTAATGAGATAACAAATTTATCTGATCCATATTGACACCAGCAGTTGAATGATCAGAAGAGTATGAGACGGACGTCTGATGAGAGAGTTGAAAAGAAAAAAAGGAAGCGAAAAGAATGAAGATGACAGGCGTAGCTTTCGTTCTTCCATTATTCTCACGCAGCAGATGATATCGAATAATTGTTGACATTTACGATATTAATTCCTGTAAATCATAGTTGATTATCACCTGTGATTATCACCCCACGACTTTATAACATATATTATCCATTTTTTTTTTAATGTGTATGAAAGGAAAATTTAATAAATCGTCGATATGTGACTCGTTCTTACTTTCTATTTCATATCACTGTTTACAGTCGCGCTGGATGATGTAAGATGCCAATACGTAAAGCAGCTTGTGTAAAGAGTATTTCACGTACTGCATGGAAGAGATATGTTTATTAGGTACGACACTTTTTCGTCTTATCAGTTTATTCCATGACGATCAGTTCGTTAGCTTATCATTTCTGTGATAAGCAGTACATATGTCAGCTTACATTTTGATTGTTTTACTTTCCACTATAATTAAACATTCTACCGACATGTATTATCATTTTTTTGATTCTTACATTCTGATTTCGTTTTTGTCCTTATGATGCAAACAACAGTTTCATGTCGAGTAGATGGGATTTGGAAAGCAAAAAGCTAGATAAGTTCACTTTAAAAATCTTAATGAGTCAGTAAGCCAGGGTTTATATTAGCGAAATGAATTATTCCTGGCTTTTTATTCTGTTTAGTTGTGGGATTGGCCAAGTAAAGGGATTAGATTAACATTTATTATCAGTCAAGCTATGATTCGACTTTTAAGTTTATTCTGTTATGATCAACAATATATTAATTTTGGATCTCCTATGAAAAACTTGAAAATGTCTATTTTGATTATAGTTCTGCAGCTCCTTTTAAATGTTATCACATTTATTCATTTGCCGCTGTAGATTTCTCACTTTTATAATTCTTTTTACGACTTACCACTTTGTTGAAAAAGACTTTGATATTGATTCGTTATTATCAGTAATAGTGCTTTTAAATTTTCTTTTTGCTATTTTCTTTAAATCCGTGACATATGGTTTGATTTTTTTGTGTTGTGTGCTCATGCATATATTTTAAAGTTTTCTTTTCAGTAAGACTTAACTGGGTATGTAACATTCGAAGTGACACTCGAAGCTAATGTACTCGTGAAGAAGGTCAAGAACTATGAGTAGTACGCTAGTGAATGGCGCAGTAAATACATCATATGCGTTCGATCCACAAAGCCTTGAAATCAAAACAAAATCGGTAGAGCAGACTCTTGTCCCGCTTGTCACTCAGGTTGAAATTCACTTACTGCATTACTGTTGTTATTATTGATTTATTTGACAGAAGAATTGCTATCATTATCCATTGATTCATAAAATTTTCGAAGATTTTCCTGTAATTTCCATCGGGTTCTTTCTAATCAGAACAAATTTATGTAATTCATTCAGGTTAAATTAGTATTTTATTGTTACTGTAAGTAAATATACTTGTATTACTTAGAACTCAAAAAGTAATTGTTAATGGTTTAATAGTAAATTTTATAACTGAAAAGTCATCTTCTATAATTGCAATCTATGTTTTCTGATTTCGCTCTTCGAGCACTGCTAGGAACAGCCAATCTTTGAGTGTTGTTTATGTATTTATCGTAAAATAAGTTGCGAAAATTTGTCTTTTTATTTTCATTATATTTGTTTATAGGACATGGCGGAGAGTTGAAAGTGTTTCTATAACTCTTTGTTTTCCATAACTAGTTTAACACTTTAACAACCAGAATTTAAGTGATGTAAAGGTTCTTTAAGCATATTTAATGCTTTGGTCTGTTTGATTTTCTTTAAACCAATAATGCTGGGATTGTACAAGGGAAATTAGTGACATTCTTAGCATGCATTTCATAATGTATTTGTTATTTTGGTGGTTCTTTTTTTTTCTATTGGTTCGTCTATTGGTTCACTTTCTTCAGATAACGACGCTTGTGAATTTCAAGGAAAGTTACTTATCAAGTAGTAAAAAACGATCCGAGAAAGCTCTTCGCTCAGCCTTAAAAGTAATTGATTTCTTTTCTTCTCATAATGTAATAGCAAACTGAAGTCTTTGCAACGGACTTTTTAAAATAAATTTTTTATTGATTCAATTATCAAATAATTCCTAACCTCTGCAATAACCTTTTTCCAATTTGTTTATACCTTTTATTTCAATAGGATGCATTTTGTATAATTTTTCATATTTCAGAACTTGTTTTTTATATATTTTTAGATAGGATCAGCAGTAGAAACAGCCATCGAGCGTTTCGTAGTAGTCGGTGAAACGATTGCCGATGAAAATCCAGATGTGCAACCTGAGATGTACGATGCGTGTCACGAAGCTCGACTCGCAGGTAGTAATATAAAAAATTTGTTACCTGGTTAACAATCAACTCTTGGATTTTTTAAAGAAGAGCAATTTTTTGGGAAGAAAGATGCTTGCTTGCTTCTTGGTTGCATGGCATTTAGAGATATTGTGATAGTGATAATGAAAATTTTCGGTTTTATTTCAGTACCATTTTGCAGTGAACGGATTAATCTTAAAAATTTGTTGAAAATTTTACTCAATTTTCAGGAGCTTCAATAGCAAATTTGAATGGTTATTTAACGGATGATTCGGGTATTGCTATCGATAAATCTGTCCTTGTACGAGCTGCGCGACAACTTCTAACTTCTGTAACGCGAGTTCTTTTGTTAGCGGATCGTGTCCTTGTTAAACATATTCTTAGATCTGAAGATAAGGTAGGAGTTAAGCTGCAATTTTTTCCTAAAAGTTACTTGAAGCATCACTTTCAGAATTATTTATGTACTAGTTTGGTATTTCTTCGGAAACTTCAGACAAAGAAAATTCCAGCAAGAAGTTAAAATAATGGAAATTGTAATTTAGCTTTTTTTTATTCCTGTTTATTACAGATAGCATATGCATTGGTAAAATTAGAAAATACCACAAATTTCACGGATTTTGTGAAAATTTTTACCGAATTTGGTGGCGATATGGTTGATTTGGCCCATCGCTCGGGCGATCGGCAGAATGATTTAAAAAGTGAAAAGCGTCGTGAACAAATGGCGGTAGCACGTACGATGTTGGAACGGTTGACAATGTTGTTGCTAACCTCAAATAAAGCACTTTTAAGGCATCCGGATAACGAAAGCGCACGGCAGTGTCGAAATGGAGTTTTTCAACAGGTTCTTGAAATAACTTCTTCAAACAGTTTTGGATATGAAAAATAAATGTCCTTATTATTAAAAAAACTTTGAGGAATATATTGTTATAGATGATATTGATGCGACAGTAAATGTATGTATCAGTCATTTTCAGATGCGTTTGGCTCTTCAATTGATCGCATTTTGCGTCTCCGATGGTGTAATGCACTTTGATGCATCACATTTTGTATTACCATCCAGTGAAGAAGTTTTAGATATTGGAATGCAACTAACTGCTAATGCAGCTATTAGGCGGTTAATGGTACTTTCTGTTTTTAAGTTATAACAATGGACTATATGTTTTCGAAGTTAATGAATTTTGTATGAATCTTAATGTTTTTATTTATAATCTTTGACTTCAGTTATCATTTTTCGAAAGTAGTTAAAGTTTTCAGTTATTCAATTTTAAGGAAATGTTGGAAATGGCACGGATGACATGTAACATTGGAACCAGTACAAGAGAACGATTAATAAGCGCTTTGGATTCTTTATGTGAAATGACTCAGGATTTTACCGATTCAGCCTATACTCCACATCATCATCGTGAACAGATTTTGGATTTCTTGGAAGAATGTCGACTTGAATTGACAAATCTTATACAACCTGATGTAAGTCATTTTCATATAGCAAATAGTTAATGTTTAAGAACTGCATTCTGGAATCATTTTGGGTAACTATTTGTCATCCATATCACAAAATCTAATCAAACACTCCGCAGTTATTCGAAAACGAGAACAGTATTTTAAACATATTTCTTCAAATTCCAAGTGAAGCAAAAAAATATTATCATGTTTTCAATGGGATAGAGCCACTAGCACTTGAACCACTTAGTTATACGAAATGGTTCCATGCAGATAATGAAAATCTTATTAAACGTGCTCATATTACGCTACTTATTTATTCAACATGTAGTCTTTTCTAATCATACAATATGTGGCATTTTTCTAAGTCCGCTTATTTTTTCAAATGCTTTAATTATTACTTTAATATGATTAAATTAACACATGATTCAGGTTGCTGATGAGCCTTTAAGGAATGAAAGCATAGAAGTGAGTGTGGAGAGACTTACTCGAAGATTGAAGGATCTCAAGAAACAGCTGCAAATTGTAGCTATGGAACAAGTATTTTATTTTAAATTTTCATTAATTTCTTTGCCATACACAATATCGTTCTAATTTATTATCTCCCTTCTTGTTTTACAGATCTCAGAAGTACTGCGTACCAATGAAGACCAAGTGATTTTGTCATCAATAAAAACATGTTCTGTTTCGGGTGATATTGACGGTGTTGAAAAATTTCTTGAAGAATTTCGCGAACATGCAGAACATATACAAGAAGTAACTTTTAAATTTGTCTAAAAATTTCATTCGTATCTGACTAAGGAGTCACTGTTAACCTGATTAGTCTGTGGTTTTTCTAAAATGAATGCTGTATAGCTATGGAATTTGCTTAACATAGCGTATTCAAGCATCGCTTTTATCTCTCTTAATTTTTTCCTAAATACTAAATTTATGTTAACATTTTCTGTCTGAGAAACTGGATTTTGCATAATCGATTTTAATTTGGGTGTGCCGATTGTTACATCATATATCGTTAACGGATGGTTTACATGTTGCCACAGGTCACGCAGAACGGAACTTACGATTTCTTGCTCCACTAGTGCGTTTCATTTTCATAATACTACTTTAAAAAGTAGCATTACTTTACACTTGACTTAGAATGCACTTTCTTAGAATATTTTGAGGAAAAAATTTTTTGTGAATACAGTCATTTGAATAATTGTCGTTTGAAGACAGTGTTGGCTGGTCGCACGTTGTGCATACATCCGTCGTCGCGCGTAGCACGAGAGAACCTGGAAGTTTTTTGTGACACATGGATACAGTATGTTAATGATTTGTCCAGACTGGCAAAAGAAACAGATGCAACAGCAAGCGGTCGTTTAGCAGCGGAGAAACAAGCCTATATGTCTCTGCCTAGGCCAGGGGTAAGTCAGCCGATTATAGGTAGCCATCAAAGTGATTGTGTACCATTTTTATCTGCAGCTTCATCACCAAACTCCAATCGTTCATCAAATCTTTTCTTCCCAAAATGTATCATATCCTCCCATTCACAATTGGAAGATCAACTTCATTTTGATAATTTGTTATTGATCAGGCATTTGAAGGGTACTCTAGAAGCTATGGTGCAATTCCATCGATTCGTTGAAAATACTAGCTCTTCGTCTAGTGCTTCGGCAAACACAAGCAAGCCGTTTATCGCGGGTGCAAATTTTCAGTGCATATTGGATGATTTATAGAATGAAGTGAATAAGATGCATGTTCAAGATCCATCACCACCACTCTTCCTAAACACAGAACAAAGTACTGTTGAGTAGTGCAAAAATCATTTTCGATTTAAAAAGCTCTAACTGTTACGAGATCGAAATTTGGTTCTGAGTTTTTGAATTTTATTTTGTAGTGTGTGATGATCTTAACACTAAACTTTTGCTTCTGCATGAGATTTTTGGCCTCTTTTTGCACAATATCGTAAAAATTGTAAGCTTGCTGCAGTTTTGTAGTAATTATTGTTGTATTTGTTGTATCAAATTTACCTTGTGTTCTTGTTGTGGTCGTCACCTTACTCTTTTACTCATTTTTTAATTTCACTTCTATTTAAAGCAACAAGCTCCTTTTATACGTATTTAAAATTATGCAAACGTTTGGATAGCAATGAAAATCTGCGGATTTTGAAACTTGAACTCTGTAGATTTGTCATTTCTATTTGGGTATTTATATTTTGTCATTATTGATTTGTTTACTTTTAAAATTTTTTAGCTTCAAATAACATCGCTATCATGAATATTTCGTTTTTACAAGTTTCTTTTTTTCAAACCTTTAATTCGGTATCTGCCTTCTACGTAAGGATTCTTCATGTGCACATTACGAAATTTCAAGAATCGAACTAACTAGTACAGTAGACAGTACTTATTCGTGCACACATCACAATATCTAATAGCCCTCAGTCACTTTATTAATCAATAGATTGCCGCTGGCTGGATTTTTCGAGCGCTATGGATGTTTTGGTTTATCACCAAGTTATAATAGATACTTGGTATTGTTTAGTGTTTTAAAATGGTTTGCATGGAGCTTTATGATTCTTTGCGGTATGATTGTTAATGTGTCAAACTTTCGAATTTTATACTTTATTGCAAGAATTTGGAAAAGTTGTTGCAGTGCTAGCATTATATCAACTTTCAACAATGCCACTGGTTTGCATGCTTAACCCTTGGTACCGATATAGAACAAAAAGGTTGATTCAGAAACTGAGATCAACAACTGTGATCTTATTGCATTTGAAACTTCCGGATATGTGACCTGGAACCTCGCAGTTCAGAAAGAGTGAGGTTTAATTTATTCTAACTGCTAACCATCTGAAGTTTGCAATTTCCTAAAACCTTCCACTAGTGTTGTCTGCTGTGTTTAAATCACTGTGTCCTATGATTTGTGTGGTGCAAGACTTAGCGATCGATGGAAAATGTTAAGTTGAGTAACACCTCCGGTGGTTGTACGGATCCATCCCAGCATCTCTAATAATTGTCAGTCTTAATTCATCGCGTAGATCTTTGTTATATCTGCAAATGATTGCTACTAATATGCTGACCATGTCGATAATAGGAAGGACCATTAATAATATCTACCACTGTCAGCAGTAATAGATTTAGGAAATATTTTCATCTTAATTGTTGGATAAGCCATAATCATATTAGCTAAACCCTTGTCATAATCAATGCAATGGGGCTGATGCTGTTATCGAAGTTCCTAGATTGCAAATTGTTTGAAAAGCTTCAAATGTTTCACGCATTTCATTGGTTTTCTTTCCACAGTTCATTCGTTTTCAGAAGCATGGTACGACACAAAAGCCAACGAAACCGATTACACTTGACGTGGAAGTAAGTTACTGTTAATCATATTGTCAATATGAGTCCAATTGACCCATCCAGTTCTTGTCATAAAAAGAATCCAAATAGTGGGAATCGAGAGACGTCTATAAATAACTCTAAGTAGCAAATACTTGCTTAGTCTGATAATATAAAATTATTATCAATGGAATTACATTGCTCTTCTAGTTTCGATTATTTTAGCTAATATTTAATAAGCATAAAAGGATGCGGCTCATTTTCTGAAGTTTCAATCACTTTCAGGATCAGCAGAAGATAGCGAAAGTTGGCTTGGAAATGAAACTTTTGACTTCTGAAGTGAATGCAGAAGCAGAAAAATGGGATGAATATGCAGAGAATGATATTGTTAAGCGAGCTAAAGCTATGTCTTCCATGGCTTATAATATGTATCTTTTCACGAGAGGTGATGGATTACTAAAAACAACGCATGACCTTTTCACACAGGCAGAATTTTTTGCAGAACAAGCAAACAAGATGTATAAAACAGTCCGAGAATTTTCTTATGAGGTATCTTTTTAGGTTTTATTGAGTTTTAGAGAGAAATCAATGATAGTAATGATAGCAACATTTATAAGAATAATTGCGAAAGCTATGATATAGCTATAATGATAGCGAAAATATAGGCAATAATAATCCGGATAATATTATTTCTAATAATTGCTGAACTATGATTCCAGGTACCTGGAAGTGCTGAGAAAAACGATCTATCGACGATTTTGGAAAAGATACCTATACATTGTCAGCAGTTACAAGTACTTGTGAAGAGTCCAACAGTCGGTAAACCAGCAACATTTTCCAAAGTAACTTACATTGTCGTTGTTAACTAATGATTATATTAATGAAAAATGCATCTGATTTCAATAGTAATAAATTTTGATCGTCTTTCATAAGCTTACTCTTTGAATGCTCTCAACATTTAATGTCAGTCTTTGGATTTTTAGAACCTCTTAAGCTAACCTCTAGTTAAATCGTTTGTAGTTGCGCTTTCCTGTCTTTCAGTTATTGTTCAGATTTTCGTTTAAATAAACTTAAAGTTTGAAAATGAGTGCTGCTGTACTTAATAAAACTAGTGAAACTTAGTTCCATACAGCAATGAATATCGACTTTATATTCTTAAATGAAAGTATTTTGCAGGTTGATTCCGTGATACAGGAGACAAAAAATCTAATGAATGAAATTGCTAAACTTGTTACTGCTTGTTTCGTTTGTGCAACTAAGGTCGGTAGTAATCACTAATGTTCATTCTGATTTTTTTTTGCTAACAATAATTAATTAACTCATTGTCTGTCTAACTTTTCACAGAATTTTCATTTGGATTACCAAGTTGTCGAAAATTAAAGTCAGCAGTTTTTCAGTTCGAAATTGAATTCCACGGTGCGCCGGTCTCACGACAATCACTTGCTGATGGCGAATACACGCAGCGTAGTAGTAAGGAATCCACATTGTGGCGGCGAACTCCATCAATGCGACGTACCACACAAACACCCGTGTTTTAAGGTCGTTCAATTATGTGATCGTAGGAAAAGCTGAAATTTTAATAAATTTAGCGATTAATTAGAGTTGAGTGGAGCAACTCTTGCAAAGAAATAGTAATTAGGCGTTTCTCTTCATCGAATAATCCGATGAAAACATTGAACCACTGTAGCACGAAATATTAGTACAATTTATCGAGACAAATCGAAATGTTGCGTACTTATAAACATATGGGCTAAAGGTGTGATATCAATTAATCACATAAAATTGAGATTGCAGTATGAGGCAATTGTCGCGAAGTATATTTTAAATTAAAACGTTTCTCAGTAAATGTCATTTCATATTACCTGTCCAGATTGTTCCGATCTCTTGAGCAGGTTTTCTAAACCATTAATTTTTTTGTCGGGTGCTTTAATTATCGTCTGAATTATTTTGCTTTCTGATCACTGATTTCTAGAAAGGTATTGAAAATTGTGCTGAAAATTAAATCTTTCTTTAAAATACTCAGGATCTAAAACTCTTATGTTATATGTTTATGATGATTAAGTCAATGAAATGTAACAGTGAAATATATATCGGAAATGAATTACAAAAGAGAGAATAGTATAGCAGAGAGCTCAACATGGCATTACACACTATAAAATAATGAAATTAGAAATGGTGAGCGATTTTTGTCAACGATATTCATGAAATTGGTTTAAATAGCACATCATTTTTTATTTTAAAGAAAGAGAATTCCATTCCATAGTCTCATGCTATACCATTCAATAAATATCGCTATAGCAAATCAAATTACTCAAAATCGAATAAAGGTAAAGAACTTCAAATTTATTTATGAATGTTTCATTCTGATCCACATTTGCAAAAATAAAAAAAGAAATCTTAATTTTTTGTGATATATAAACCAAACTATCCAGTATTTTGGAGAATTGCTAATGAATATTGAATACTTATGATATTTGTGAGCATAAAAAAATGTGACTGATTTGGATCTTTTTTTTAGACTGAACCTTAGGTTTGATTTTTTTTCGATAAGTGACAGATTCTGATAATGATATATCCTTCTTTTGAGTGAAAAGTTGTTTTCATCGCTTCTTGGAAAGGGTTATTAAACATTAATTCCAGTTGAGATTTTTCATGCATTCAGTTTCAAGTCTGCATAAAATTTCAAATTTTATACTCCTATAAATTTTCACAAGAAACCTTCCGTTGTTATTCTTTCTTTGGTTTGTAGATTTATTGTATATAGTTCACATCGTTTTATGTACTTTATTACTTTCATAATTAATTAATTTATTTTATTTATTCATCGGAATCTCAAGAGAGTTTTTAAACATTTGTTTATTAGTTTTGTTAATTTTTCTCATTATTCAATCGCTTTGCTACACCACAAATTTCTTTTGTTTAGTTGTGAAGTTCTAAAAGATAAACATTTAAGTTTGGATAAATGCAAAATTTATAAATATTTCGTGTTTTTGTAAAGCTTTTAGATCATGTCATTCATTTTTTGTTTTGCAAAATTACTAATGAATTTTTAAATGTGAAATAAAATGAAGTGTATGAGAAGTTTGAAATATTATTGATCATATCATGATCAAAAAATCATAATGTTTTTTTAATTTGATCATTATTGAAATAAAGATTCAATTTCAACGGTACCATAGCTTTTCATTTAATTTGTATGACATTACCAAATATTTGCTTCATGGAATTACCAGGAAGACCTTAAATTTTCAACTCTGTCGGATGTTGAGAGTAGAGAGAGCAACTGCTTATTGATCGGAGAGAGGAATTTTAATTCATTTTCTCGTCGAATTGCAATTTTTTTTACAACAAAAAAAGCCGATTATCTATAGCTTTTACTGTTATGTTAATTCTGATTAGTATCATTTGCATGTGAACTATCAGATTCTATCAAACTTTTTTCTGTCATGACATTATTAAACTTTGTGAAAGATATTTTCACCTTTTCAAATTTCGTAAAAATCATTAATTTCTAAATTTGATGAAATTATTATTAAAAAATTTTGATGGCATCATATCTATTTAATTAATTATTTTTTGAGCAATAAATATGAAAGCATATCATTCGGATTGAGGAAAAGGCTGGATTGAATCCATTTGTAAAACTATCCCTACCAAATATACACTAATTTAATTTTGAAGTAATTCATCTGTAGCCACATATTTTACATTTAATATTTTAAAATTTAAATATATTACAGTTTTTTTTTCCCTCAGAGAGCGAATTCTTTCACATCGTTGAATGAGTGTTTGAATGATTGGTTGTAATGAAAGTTTTAATTAAATTATATTCTCTATTGTCTTAATATAATATCAAAGTAGTTTAGTTAAGTTTGATATGATAATATTATAATGAATAATTGAGGAAGAATGTGATTTAAATGAAATTAAAAAAAAGAATTTTTATTATAAATGTTATCGGATAACATCCAATTGATTCATTCAATTCAATGATCTTTGATACTGTGCTGCATTTTGCATATTTATTGAAAGTTGACGATATTTGTTATTACCATTCATTGTTCAATAAAGAACAAAGATCTCAAAACCTTCATAAAAACGACAAGGAAAATCTAAAACGTCCATTTATTAACGAGAAAATCGTTGTTGTATTTATTGATAATAAATTTATCTGTCTAGTCGAGAGGAGAAAATTTAATGTCCAAATCGAAATAAAGATTTTGACAGTCTAAGAAATCGTCGTTGTTTATTTTTCCTTTCCTATCCAATTAGATATTAATATCGGAAATAATTTCCCTATTATACGTTTTATTGTGTGGTACAAGTTATTTCAAATTTCCTATTTGCTAGGATGTATCCGTTTAATGTAATCAGTATGAAGTGTCATCTGAACAGTATTATTCTGATACATCACAATTATAGAGTATCATTTGATCAGTACCATTATAAAGTATCATCTGATCAGTACCATTATGCAGTATCATTTGATTAGTAGTTATTGGTATGAAATTAAATTTCGTTTTTGTAGAAGTAGAGAAAAAATTAAAATTATTGCAACGATGAAATTTCATCTTTTAGCTATTTTGCTTCATTCATTAATATTTCTAATTCAAATTATTCTAAGCTATTTCATAGTCCCTATAACCATTATTAAATTAATTTTTGCCAAATCATTTCGTCATACAAAGTTAATGAAAAGATAATTAATCTTTCAATGATATAACTATTTTTTTGCAAATAAATGATAGCATTTTTCTTACCTGAATTCGTGTGACGATACGCAATAATTGCTATCATTTGCATCAGGTATGCGAGAGAGATGAAAAGTTAATGAAATTAGTGGAATATTATAATTATTTTAATCAGATTTTCTTATTTAAAATTTGTTATGCGAAGATGAATCACTTTTTAGACCTCTTCGTTATCTTCTCTTCCCTTTTTGATATTTCCCAAAGTAATATTCACTTCCATTCTTCGCACAATCATTTAAATTAGTTTAAAATTTTTCACTTCGACTAATCCTTCATTTAAAAACATCAGCAGAAATGATGACAATAAACAGAGAGATTTAAATCATATCCAATTTGAGTCAATCACATTAAAAGCTAATTTCTGTCCTTTTTATTTTACAGTTCCGCTGATCTCAGCGATCATAACAATCCCATCAATTGAATTTATTTATTCATAGGATACTTTTGATGTATTTGTTGTCTTTTATGGCGGTAACTGTTTTTTTCCAAAATGTTTGTCTAAAAATATTAGCGCCGTATCGGCGATAATGTTCAGAATGGTGGACCTGTAATTGAATTAAAAAAAAACATTTGCCTATTCATTATATTTTACTTCTTCCTCACTCTTTCAATTAAATAAAGTTGAGAGAAGTATTTTTAAAATGTTTTATTTGTTAAATCATTTGTTATTTGAATTTATTAAATTATTATTGAAGTATAATAGAAAGCTAAGCTTATTAACATACAAATTAAAAGAGTCTATACATTTTAACATATCAAAACTATTTGAAATATTAATTACAGCTTTTATTATAATGAAATGAATAACGTCGATTTGAATGAAATCTAAATTGGATTGAATTAAGAATGAAATTGTAAAAATATCGGCTAAATGTTTATTTCTATAATTAAATTGTCCATAATAGTACTGTGAATAATTATCATTTATTGTTTTTAATTTGATCGATGTTTGCAAAATTTTTATAACTTATAAACAGTTGTCGTTTGTTTTCAGTAATCAACTTATGTATTACTTATTTAAATTATTTTCTATTGCTATAGCAAGTTTCATCAAAGTTATTTATTGTGATGAACTAACTGGAGATAATGTGTGCACAGTACCTGTAGAGTAAGTTAACTTTCCATAATTTTCTGTCTAGTTGATTAATTTACTTATTATATTAAATAATTTTTGAAGTTTCTAAATTGATTCATTTAATGAGAACATTTGAGTCTTTTGTTTTACAAACTTTGCTTATTAAGAAATGAATATATTCGGATGAATTTCATTTCTGTTCCTTTTAAAATATTCAAAGTTATTTAGAAAACAATTTTATAAATTTGGATGAAAATCATTTCTCGATATTCATCACGGAATCTGTTAGAGATTATTCAATACATTGAAAAAGAATGTAAATTGAGAGAAATTTATGGTACCAAAATTGCCATCGACTTTTTCTTTCCAACGGTTCATTCTCTTTCCATTTCAAATGATACTAAAATAAGTCCAATAGAAATAGAAACATTTCAATGATTTCATGCTTGAGAGATCTAATAGCAAATGATATTTTAAAATGAAATGGCAGTTAACATTATGTTCAATTTTTGTAAGATATTCCATTTAAAAGTTCTTTTTCTTAAATCACAGAATTGTTCAAAATTTCTCTTAACATGAATAGAGATGATGTTAATTCTTGAAGTTCACTTCCTCCATTCATTTAACAAAATTCATATTGAATGTTGGAAGTACGTTAGAACACTTACATTGACTGACACGTAATCTTTCTAAAAAGAGAATTGAAATGATTATGAAAATCATTTTAGGGAAGAAGAATTTCAATTGGAGAAATTTATTGAGAAGGTGCCATATAAGACGATTGCTTGGTGTAGCGATATTACTAAAAGTTTTGAATGCGAAGAAGTGAAGTAAATATTAGTTATGAATTATTTTATGATTTTTCAAACAAATAGTTCAGTTAGATTCTTTCTGCAGCCACTTAAAAATTTCATCAAGATATTAAATTTAAGGAATGATTTAGAGAAAGATATTTATTTTACGTATTAGATTGGGATTGGCTTCTACATCTATCGGGTTAATATGGGAAAAAAGTGAAAATATGGAATATGTTCAAAATTTGTTCCAATTAATTAGGTATAGTGAGAAACTATCGTATCGAACGGTGCCAACGATTGTAACGAAGTATGTAAAACAATGTTGTGATGGCTACACAAAGATCGCTAATAACACTTGTATCCGTAAGTTTTATCAGAGAATAATATCTTTTCTCTTTAAGAATTCATTGAATATAATGAAGTAATTTAACAAAATAGTGTAGGTAACTGAATATTGAAAAATTAGTATAGTAAAAATTAGTAGTCAGAGTTAAGTAAATTATTAATGATTATAATTGCGAAGAGTTCTTACAAATGACATCGTTAATTATTTACGTGAAATATTCTAGGATTGACTATTCTTGACTTTTCTAAAACTGAATTGATAATATTGGCTATTCTAGAACAAATATCACTATTCTAAAATAAATATCACTATTTTAGAATACGTGTCACTAAGTAATGAAGTGTAAATGAAATCTCTTATCAAATGTTTTTGCAATCATTCAATTATATATAGTAAGAGTAATCAGAAACATTTACTATAAATTTCATTAATTGCATATATTCATATGAATTATTTAAATACAGGTAGAATCTTTGACGTTAAATCCAAAAAGCATAAAATTAAAGAGAACAGAATAAAAGATTTACACTTTTTTTTACTTAATTATTTCAGCTTTATGTGATCCACCGTGTCGGAGAGGTATTTGTACAGCACCGAATAATTGCACCTGTTATTCCGGTTTCGGAGGGCCTACATGTTCTGCATGTTCGATTTTTGAGAAATTTCATTTATTGGAAACAGACGGAAATTTTGAACTTTCGATCTCGAATTTTTAATATTTTTTGAAATATGAAACTTATAACTTTGATTACAATGATATCGATAAGTACAATCAATTATAACTTTGGTTGTACTTATCGATATCATTGTAATCTTTACATTTGTTTTGCAGCCTGCCCAAAAGGATTTTGGGGTCTATCTTGTTCCTCGAAATGTGATTGCGATCATGGAGCCACTTGTGACCCTATTACGGGCATTTGCTATTGTCCTGCTGGTATTGTTATGTTGTTGTTCACTTCTCTGAAAACCATCAAGTTTCAAATAAAATTAATTTTTGCCGAACTTATTCAATAATGAATCGAACTAAAGATATTGTCAAAAAAATTTGCATTTGATCTTTTAGGTTATCACGGCAAACACTGCAAGGAACAATGCAGTGATAAACGCTGGGGTCAAAATTGCGCATTTCAATGTTTCTGCCAAAATAATGGTATCTGCAATCCAATTAATGGCTCATGCAAATGCCCACCTGGATTTTCTGGTCAATTATGTCGTGAAGGATGTGAAGAAGTGAGAGTTTTCTATAATTCCTTAATTTTAAGATAAAGTTTCAGACAGTATTGTGTGACTGCCAACTATGGAACTTTTTACTAATTTAAAACTTTCAAATAAAATTTTCGTAATTTCTGCAATCAGTTTATTTATAAGATAAGAGTAATTAAATTAATTAAGGGAAAACATGGATCCGATTGCATACATCATTGCAAATGCCAAAATGGCGCATATTGCAACAAAAATGATGGAAGCTGCTTGTGCGCTGCGGGATTTTCAGTTAGTTTCTTATTTCAACCCTTTTTAACTTATTTTAAAAAGCATAGAAATAATAATACAAATGATAGAATTAAATAGGATTGAAATTTTCCAACACTAAATTTAATTTTGTTTCAAACTAACTTAGTTTAATTCAGTTATAGTTATTGCCAATGTTTAGTTTTAACTTTTTATTTCTTTCCAATTATCTTAGAGCTCTCTTTTCCTAATGTTATAGTTATAATAGATTATTATTAATAATTTCATTTTATTACCAGCTTGAATAAAGCAATGTTTTCAGGAAATTTCAGACTGAAATTTAAATCGGCAGTTTAAGTTTATGCAAAAAATTCAGGGTCGATTTTGTGAAAACAAATGTCATAAAGGATATTACGGTGTTAACTGCGCTTCGAAATGTTTATGTTACAATGAAAATGAATGTGATCCGGTAACTGGAAATTGTCATTGTATTGGCTTTACCGGAAAACACTGTGAAGAACCATGTCCGGAAGGTACGTTTGGAAAAGAAGTAAGTATCATTCATATTCACCAGAATAACTAAAAATACCGCTGCTGCTGCTGCTTCCACAATCCAAATATGGCATTAAGTTCTATTCAACCAGAATTCGCGAAAAATTCAATGCCTTTTTCCTTCCTTATTACTCATTACTTAAAAGGAATTAAAAATACTAAATGTCATTTTAAGTTGATATTTCTTCTGAAAAATCAATTAATTTAAATTATTTATATTTATGCCTATCCATCCAACAAACTGTCATGAATAGCTTATGTTCAATTGATATGTTCAAATGAATTCCTTGAAATTAATATATGAATTCGTTTTGTTATTTATTCTCTTTTCATTGTGCGCAAAAGTGCAACTGTGTAAATGAAGCGCGTTGTCATCCGATCAGCGGAAAATGCATTTGTCCAAATGGATTTCATGGAGAACACTGCGATCAAAAAAGCATTGCTTAAATTCTTTCTTCTTAAATTTTTAACTTAAATTCATTTTCTTTCATTTGCAAAAGCAATCTTTACCAACCAAATTTTTTGACAGATATCAATTGTTTTCGTCTCAATTTTTCCTTTTATTTTAATTAATTTTCCTAAATTTATTGATATTTTTAGTGTAATTAACTTTTGATTAAAATTTGAAATTATAGTTTGCCCATTTAATCGTTTTGGACCAAATTGTGAGAATGAATGTGCTTGTAATCCACAAAATACGAAACTGTAAGTTTTTAAAAGATTGAGTTTATCGTTGCTATTTCCCATTTCTTTCTTTTATTATGATATTTTTGACTTTCATTCATTCTCTTATTTTGTATAATTAAATTTAAATTTATTTATATATTTTATTTCAATTTCTGGTGTCATCCAACCATCGGTTCCTGTAGTTGTCGTGCAGGTTTTACGGGAGCAGGTTGTAATTCTCCATGTCCAATATCATATTATGGTGAAAATTGTGATAGAAAATGTGAGTGTAATCTGGATACTGGTTCACAATGTGATCCGATTACTGGACATTGCATTTGCGCTGCTGGATATCAGGGAATTCGGTAAAACACTGATTTTCATTCTGATTTTGAGATCCGAAAACTTTAAAATTTCCATCCTTTTTTTTACTATATTATCAAATATCGAATTAATTATTCATATATTTTATCATAAATCGACTTAATTTTGGGAATTTTCGCTTTTTTTCAAGATTTTTTTTTCAGTTGTGATGAAAAATGTCCGGAAGGTTTATTCGGTATAAATTGTGAATCGAAGTGCAATTGCAAAAATAACGCTCCATGCGATCACCGTTTTGGTACATGCAATTGCACTGCTGGTATGTTATTTATACAAATTTCCAATACTGCACATTCAAGTCACAATATTGATCGATTGCAGCCTATACAGTGATAAAAGTGATAAAAGCATGAGATTATGATAATTTTTTAAGATGTTATGAGAAAATAATTTCAGGTTGGAGAGGACCACAGTGCAGTTTACCCTGTTGGGCTGGTTATGGTAATGTAGAATGTAGGAAATGCGATTGTAAAAATGGTGCCGGTTGCAATCCATTAACTGGTGAATGCATTTGTTCGGTTGGATGGACTGGAAAAAGTTGTGAAGTACCATGCAGTGAAGTTAGAGCTTAATTCTTCATTAATTACTCACCAAAGCACGAAACAAATAATGACGTTCTCTAATTTACCGCATTGAAGTGAAATAAGCATGCTGGCAGTATGCTTATGGCCAATATTTTCAGGTCATTTTAAATTATCATTACCATTATTACATCATTTCAAGAAAATTTGCGCCAGCAAATTAATTCATTTGCGAATCTGCAATCTTATTAAGATTTCAGGGTTTCTATGGAATTAATTGTTCGCAAAAATGTCACTGTCAACATGGTGCTACATGTGATCCAGTTAATGGCGAGTGCAATTGTGCAGATCGTTAGTTTTTGAATTTTAAATTTTGACAGCACAAACTTGAGAACTCTGGTAGGTTTCTATGAAATTTCAAAGGTTATTTAAATTGAAGTTTAATTCTAACCAATTTTATCGCTTGCAGGATCAAACTGCTCAGTGCTATGTCCTCCGGGAGAAAAAAAGAATTGCTTGAGTTCATGTCCATGTATTCACGGAACTTGTGTGGGACTCTCCGGGAAATGTGCTTGTCATCCAGGATATACCGGTTCTCTATGTGACAAAGGTGAGTACTGTCTTATTTTACTAAGAAAGTTATAACTATTTTGTGCAAGGCAGAATAAAGATTTTTGGTTAATTACTTTGAAAGAAATTTCATAATTTTTTATTTGAGGTTCTGTTTAATTTCTTTTTTGAAAGCAGTTTTTGGCAGCAAAAAAGTTTCACGGAAGAGTAAAAACATATATATATATGTTGGCCAAATGCGGCAACCTCCAAGAAACTTCGCTCAATTTATTTGAAAATCTTTCTCGGCTTTCAACTGCCAGTGAAAGTAGCAAGTGAAATATTCCAGCCCAAATCACCTAGATCATACAAATCGCCCAGATCACTTAGACTATCCAGATCACCTAAATCACAGATCATTGTAATTTCTATCATATCTACCGCCTTAATTCGACAACCGCAAATGTATCCTATCTCCGCTTATTAATTCCACTTGGCTTATTATTTTGACGCTCTTAAAATTCAGAGCTTTCCGATCATTTTATTATTTTCAGTCATTAACTCGTTCGAACTTTTAAGAATGTCCTTTTGGTAGTTACGGAAATAAATGTACAAAAAAGTGCAACTGTCTTCATGGATGTAACCCACGCACTGGTGAATGTTTGCAATGTCCAGCTGGACGAAGTGGTATATTATGTGAGCAAAGCTGTCCGTTTGAAATGTGGGGTGAAAAGTGCATGAATCATTGCGATTGTGCAAAAAGTGCGGAATGTGATAGCATCGATGGTAGCTGTCAATGTTACAGCGGTTTCACCGGTGAAAAATGTAATCGAGGTATGTGAGATTATTTCTATTTCTTACTTCTACTTCTAGGCTAATTTTTTCCAACTAAATGCATTAACAATTACTTAGAAGTATAAAATTTCATTAAACTGTAAAAGGAAGCCTAAGCCATTCCTAGAGTATGGTTTAATTAACTAAATTGCTCTCAGATTCCTATTGCATGAAATAACTGTCCTATAATTATAATCAGATTTTACCGAATTGATTTAAAAAGCATATATTGCAGTATGCCCTTATGGCAAATGGGGTATGAATTGCTTTCAAACATGTAAGCAATGCAAAAATAAGGGTAGATGCGATCCGGTTGACGGTGAATGTCATTGCATGCCTGGTTTCATGGGAGAAAAATGTGAACTACGTTAGTTTTTTTCTTTTTGTATGCCTGATTTTAAAAAATATAAATTCTTAAAATGATAAAAGATTCTCCTCATCTTTGAACATGGCTACAAAAACGAGATGATTGAAGTGGTCCTCTCGGATTATGTATTCAACGCGTGCTATATTTGCCCTACTCAACAGCAGCACTATTCAAAATTATTGCAAAACTTAGGATAGTATTACAAATGCTTGCATATTTATCCTGAGATATTTCAGATTTGTACTTAAAGTTGGATTAAAATTTTACAACCATATTTTACAGTTTGTGGAAGGGGTCAGTGGGGTAAGGATTGCTTGAATGAATGCAAATGTGCAAGTGATCGCAAATTGTGCAATCCAATCAACGGTATTTGCCACTGTGCTCATGGTAATTTTTTTCAATCATTAATAGAATTATCAAAATTGTCTAAGATTTTCGTTTGCTTTCGCCATTACTATACTACAAATAAGAGTACATCATATTTTCTGCAGGTCTTAAGGGTGATCTGTGTAATCAATATTGTCCTGAAGGTTCATGGGGTCCAGATTGTTCTTTCCGATGTTTGTGTGCAATGAAAAATTCGAAATGTCAAGCAACAACGGGTGATTGTGTTTGCCATCCAGGTTTCACTGGACCAAAATGCGATCAAAGTGAATTTTGAATAGTTTTGATTTTCTTTTTATTTAATCAGATATATGTTTGTAGATATATAAAATGTTTTCCAAGCCAAATAACGATTTAAAATATATTTCTTTAAAAAAGATTATCTTTAAAATTGTTTAATCGCTTATTTAATAGTTATCTTTTGTAGTTTGTCCTGAAGGTTTTTGGGGTGAACAATGTGTGAATGTTTGCGATTGTGATGATGATACCTGCGATCCAATGTTTGGTTATTGTAGCAAAAACAATATCTCCTGCGGTTCTATCAGTATGAAGTTTTCTTCCTTTCTTTAGTAGGACTAGTCAAAAATGTGAGAAGAACCGAGCAAAAGAATTCGGAAAGGAATTGTAAGAATTGTTGCCATAAATATTTAGTCAGATTTATAATCCTTCCTAAAATAAATTAAGTATTTGTACAATGGTAATTTATTCTTAAAATGCTACTTAAAGAAAGATAAAATTTTTTTTTGACTTGAATGTCATAGCAAAGTCATTCAGTATTGCTTGTGGTACCAATTATCTCAAACTGAACTTTAAGTGAAAAATCATAACAAATCCGGTAAATTGGTATCATCATTACTTCGTTTTTTCATCCATTTAAAATTTATATTATTGCATAAAACATTCAAATATTGAGCTCTGCGATAATTTTACCGTTACTATAAGTTATCTTTTTTTAATCTTACTTATTATTTCTTAGTAAAGGTACAAAACTGAAGTACAGTCTACCGATAAAGCGCATCCGATCAACGACAACCAGTACTCTGCTGTATGCCAGTATCCTACTCGTTATTCTTTCAGTCCTCGTTCTCTATTATCGACGAAAATACATGAAGGAAAGTGATCCTGTCATTCCGACTATTACGTAAGTTAGTTATTTTATTGATGATTGCTTCGATCAAAAATAACCTGAAAAATGATAATATATATAATATCAGGATAGTTTTGCTCACAATTTCTTCTCAGTTCTATTCATGAATTAATATCCTCTTTTTGCTATAAAAAAAATGGAGTATACGGAGTATACTGTTTAAGAATTTGATTCAATTTACATTAAATTTACGTATCCGAATAGATCGCTTCCCTAACCGGATTTACTAGGTGTATATGAAAAAATCGTTTAAAGACATTTTGTGCTTAGATACATTTCAATATGTTTTTTTATGAAAGTCATCTAAAAAACCAGTTAATTTATGGTTTCAGTTACAATCCGACGGCTATAAATAATGAAATGACCTCAACAAGGATTCATTTCAACAATCCGCTTTATAAAAAGAGTGCGGAAGATGCAATGAACGATCAGCTTGCAGGAAAGAGTAATAAATCAGAACGATCCGATCGACTTCAAGGTATCACATTTGAATTTGAATTGATTTGAATAATTTGAAACCATTTATGCAGTTTTGTTTAAGTTATAGCTTGATAATAAAAGCAAAGTTTCTTCTCAACTTCTGATTTTGTCTTGCTTACTTTAATCATTTGTAGAAGTATAAGGCACTTGCTTTTCCATTTTATATTCAGTTACCCCTGTCAAATTCGACAATTTAAAAATTGATTCGACTATGCAAAAATCCACGGAGATAAAAAAAATTCCAGAGATTCTATAAAGCATAAATTTCAACGTTTAAAGTTGACATTTTTGGCTTAATGCATGAATATCAGCGTCAAAAATTACGCCTCTCTAAATGGCACTCTCTTCTTTTTCTTCCCATTTAAAGTAGCTAGAAGTTAAATTTCAACTTCAGTTTTAAATAGTTGACCGCAACTGATTTACTTGTTTTACTTCAGGTGTTTATAATTATGAAATACCGACAAATGGAAATGAACTTTGAATAGAAATGTTGAATTTGAATCTTCCAAACTTGATGTTATTCAAACTGATTGCGCTTTCTCATTTCGTACAGTTAGTCTTTATTATTGTTTACTTTCCGCTCTATTTATGTTTGGAATAATTTCTTGCAAATGTCTAATGGTCTGAATTATTTCACAATGAATTTATTGATAACAATGTGATTGATTATTGTTACTGATTTATGCAAAAATATTTTCATTGCTTAGCTCAATTCCTCATATTTTTTTCATTACGACTGTGTCAATCTATTCATTATATAACTGTGTTGTAATTTTAATTGAGCAAGAAAACTTTTAGTATTAGCTTTACAGCTACCTCAGTAGGATTTACCATTTGTACCGGTGATTTATGTTAAACACTTACTATTAAAGATATGGTTTCTACATGATTGTACTATTAAGACATAAATACCAAATAAATGATGGAAAATGATGTTTACAATATTTTTGGAATCAATTTTATTATTCATTGTTCTATCTTCTTATATATAATCAATAAGTGCGGCTATCTTTAGTCAACTTTGGCATCTTAAATAAGGGGAAGTTAAATGAATTGTTCGTATATTGCTGTATGTGTGTGTATGTGTTTATGAATGTATGGAAGTCTGTTAGATCAAATATAAAAACTTCTATCGGCAGTTTAGCATATGTATCACAGTTGTGGCATAAGCGATAAACATTGAAACTCATCAAAATGTCAGTGTTCCAACAGATTGTTTTAAACCGATAAACTGTGCAATTTTCCGAAAAGATATAGAGGAGGCCTATCATTTACACTTCTTTCCCATTACTTTCATTCTCATTTGAGGAAATTTTTCCCAATGCTTTTTGAAATTTTGATCCCTTTGTTTTTGTCGAAATTTTAAAGTATATTTTAAAATTATACCGATTTTATGATTGTGTATTATTGCTAACTGATAGATGTAAATTGTCGTAAGTGCAACAGTCAATAATTAATTATGTTAAGAATTTTTGCATTGAACTTTTTGAATTCGTATGAATATTTATGGTAACAGTCATTTTACAGTCTTTTCTTTTTTTCCATATGAAATGATTTCAGAGACTAATTGATAGTCATTAAAAATTATTCACCTGTATGGGTTAGTTTATGTTATTAACCTCAAATAACAAACAGTTAAAGTTTTCTAAGCTATGAATAACTTCTTGTCTAACTAATAACGTGTTCGATGATCAACAAGATTAATATTTACCAGGTAAATTGAAAATTCACATATAATGTAGTTCAATACAAAAATACTACTGGAAGAATTCTTGTCTGATGATAGTAAAGTAAGTACATTATTCTTGTTTTGAACTTTTACTTTCATTAAGTTTCTGTTCAATGGTAAGACTATTTTTTGACTTCCTTGAGATATCTTAAGATTAATATTCAAGCTCGTCAATTTCTTTTCCAGAGAAATTGTCTATCATTTTCTGGTTATTAACAACCATACGGTAACACAGTATCGAATGCGTTAACTGTTGTAATTTAAAAACCTCAAATGTTTTAAATAATTAGCATCACAATAATTATCATAGTACGCTACAGTAAGCATAACAGTAGTCACCACAAGAGCATTACAATAACTAGCAATAAGCTTTACAGCAGTTTACCCATCGACACTAAACAGTAGCAAACTATAGTTGTAATTTTCCATACGGTCCTCATCATCTCCTCCTTATTCCTATCGAAATCAGTCCAAAATTTTGCTATTGTGGAATGAAATTTTTAATATTTTTATAAATAACTTTAATGATCTTGAAAGTTTTGATATTTTTGAGAAAATAGAGATGGAACTGATCTCAAAATATCTTTTTTAAATTTAAAAAATATATAATATTAAAAATTTAGATGCAATTTCTTATATTCCATTCATTAATTATATTTATGGCAAAGATAAGTTGATCGATTGGTTTTTAATAATTGGACAGTACTGTGAATTTATATTTATGAGACACAATTTGAATTTAAAAATGGTAATTTCTGATCTCTATTCAAATTCAGTATAGCAAACGAAAATGAATGTATAACATTTCTACTGCACCAATAGTTTTATTAATTTCTTACCCATTTTATCTCTTACTTTTGAAGGAGATTAAATTATCTTTAGTTCAAATGTACAGAATTTGTTGCATTCAATCAATCGGTTGAAAACTTTCACAGTTTTTATTTTATTTGATTATTTTCATAAAATCTAAAATTCAATTGCCACCAGATTATTCTATAATCCTTTTTTAGTAGTTAAAAAGAAATTATCATCGATTTGAATTAATGATAAACTAACAACAAATCGATAATTCGATGAAACTATGTTATGTCATTAACTTATAAGCATTAGTAGAGTACAGATATGGTAGGAAAAAGAATAAATAAATAGTATTAAATAAAGTCGTTTGCAATTATACAGACGTATTATATGGAAATGCAAATATGGTTTAATTTTGTTTTGAGTGTAAGTATTATATATTGTAAGCATACTCTTGCAGTATACTAAAATGTTGAATTTATTCATATTTCAATTTCCGTAGCTTTTTTGCGATTTCATCCGTTTTTTAGAAATTTGATGAAATAATCTATCAACTGCACTAATCTCGTAAAAAACGGTTTCTATTATATGTTTGATTTTTGAAGCTGTCATATTTTATCAGTGTGATAATTTTTAAAATCAAATCTGTATTTTCTAAAAGATCATATCCAACAATTAATGATCTTATCAGTAATTCAAATATTGGAAATTGCAAATTTCCTAAATCACAAGTTCTTAAGGATTCTAAATTTTAACGTTTTATCATTGCGATAACTTTAAAAAAAAGTTTTTTCTTAAAATTTTTTCTATCTGATAAAATGTGTGGAAAAATTGATAATATTGTTGTATTTACGAATTAGTAAGCTGTCATGATAAATTTATTCAGAAATCAAGTGATTTCCTTGAATTACAAGATGAGAATTTGATTATTTTAATTTAAAGCTAGATAATAGCAGATACAATTAAAATTGCTTAAAAATTATCATTACTCAAAAATGAAATATCAAAAGATTGACAACTTTTCCGAGAAACTGATTTCATATGCCTCATTCGATTTTCCGAATAAATTTTTCACTTCAACAAACTCTTCGAAATTTCGAATTTGAGTGATAAAATAAAAACATTAAAAAAATGAATTAATTTTACCTATAGTTTATCTTTCCATTGTCCATTGCGGGAAATTGGCTGATGTCCTTATATGCTAATTTTTATTTTAAAGGGCACAAAAAACAATAGGACTAAATCAGATCGATAGTACTACCTGCTATCTTTAAAAATGTTTTTTTTCCTCTTTTATATGATAGGAATATTTTTTCGAATAAAATAAATAATTTTTATCAAACAATTTTCTCATGCAAACCTCGGGAAGAACGTATAGATAGAAGATATATCTGCAATACATGGGAAATCGATTATACTCCCGGTGATATCTACTGGAAATTATTTTATTCTCTTTTAATGCTCACAACATTTCCCATACTATTGTTATTGAAATTTATTTTCACTATTCAACATAATACTACAGGCAAATTTTTATATAATTAAAATGTTTGCGACAAATAAGAGAAAATTGGTTAATAAAAGAATTTCATTTTGGAATAATCATTTTACAATTTTTGGGTTAAATCAAATTGTTGTGATATAGTTTATAGCTATTTATAGCATTGAATAATATTCCAAATATTTTAGATGGAATATTTGCTCATATTTCAAATTTAAGTGCAATTCTACATCATACAGCAACTTTAGTGAAGTTGGAAAAAGTATCAGTTCAATCAATTAATCAATCATAAATGTTTCTATTATTGAAACTAAGGTTTAAATATTTTGTAGACTAATTAAACTTCTCTTAAACAATATAAATTTATCAATTAGTAAGTAAAACAAAAATGTTTTAAGAATGTTTGAAATCCATTCGAATATCGTAGTAATAAATGAATTAAATTTTAGCGTTTTAAAAAAGCAATTATTTGAAATTTAATTATTCTTCTTTATAATCGTTTTCATTGTTTATTTCTAATGTAATATCTAATTAACTTAAATTTATTCATTCGTTTGAATAAATAAATTTTTGTTTATTCGAAATATTCGCTAAAATTTTCAAACCAATCAATAATTCCTTCTTTTAACTCTCAAATTGAAATTTTTGTTGAAAATTCTACAAATTATTTTGTAGATTTTGTTGATGAATTGGAAAGCTTATTTATGTGTCGTTTTTAAGCATAAACTTTCATATTCATTTATTCCAACCACCTCTCCCTCTCTTCTAATTTATTTCACTTCACCATCCTCTTCCCTAACTAAATCATCCACCACTAATCTATTTCTAATTCGTCATCATTTTTGTTTGGTATATACACAATCATTCCGTCTTCATAAAAATTCTTAAAATATTTAAATCAAAAAATACCTTTTAAATGGCTCGTTTAAATGAGGTCATTCAGGTCATCTTCAGTTTAAGATCATTCCATTTCATAATGATTACTAAATGACTCATCTTTTGAATTATTTGATAATTTCGAAGAAAATTAGTGAAATTTCCTAATAAATATGCTTCATTAATGAATGAGTAAGCGAATTCAGCAAAAGTTAATTGTAACATTTAATGTTTTTAGGCTTAATAAGAAATAATTTTAATACTAAAGTAACCATTTTTTATTTTTTCGATAATTTTCAATGTATTTCATTTCATTCATTTGCTGACAGCCGCTCGTAACAGTAATATATTTCAAATGAATCATCAAAATAAATTGGATAAAATGAAAAATTCCATTTGCTATAATCTCTCTCATTTTTTTCACGAGAAAATTTAAGACTGACAATTCTGTAAATTAATGATATCATTAGTTCAATTTTAATCCATCAAAAAAGAAAAGATTTGTTTAAGAAAGAAATTTAAAGTTAAAAAATCAATAAATTAAAAAAAGGATATTTGTTCTTATCAGTATATCAGAAGAAGAAAAAATCGATCGTTGAACTAATTTCCTTGCGAAAAGTTGAAATTACATCAATTCTTCTTGGCTTAATAATTCAAATTAAAAATCAATAAATAGCAAATAAAGAATAATCGTTTCAAAGTTTCAACTTCTAAGTTTAATATTAATGTTTGAAGCATTATCGATCTTGCAACTTTTATTATTTATATCAATCATTCATTTCCTGTAATTTGTCAACTAATTGTTCATTAAGATTTTTTCTCTTCCTACTCTAATGAGCATAGATATGCTAAACTAAGGCACTTCTAACTTTACACCGTTCATTTATTAAATACGATAATCAGGCTTCTCATCTCATCTGATTATCAGTGTTTGATAAAACTTATCAATGATTCTTTAATTGGCATCATTTTGACTTCGAAAATATTCAAATTTTTAAATTACTCAACTATTTCGGTATCAAAGGAAAAAAACTCCTTCATTTTAATTTGATTAATTACTATTATCTATCTTTTTCTCAGCCTTTCACCTATTAATTACTCACCTTCTACTTTTCCTTTTTTTTGTGCATCCAATGTTCGAGTTTGTATTGATGATAAATTTTTGATCTTCTTTCCTTTTCCTTTTTCTTCACTTTTTTAACTCTTTTCTAGAATGAAAGAAATAAGTCAAAGGTCAAATAAAAAAGGAACCATCATTCTTTTACCAATGTCATAAATTGAATCATTCAAACAATTTCAACTATTTAAAATATTAAATATGCTAGCAATCATCGAATTACCGTTTGCTTCATTCAATTAAGCGTTACATAACATACACACACACACACACACACACACACACACACATACATATACACATAATTTGTTTCTGTTTCCACCTGCTTCCAACCTGAACATAAACAAAGAGATTCCATTGATTTTCGATCAAAATGGACTTTAGCAGTTTTTACATCGCCGACGAACATATTTGAAATATTTGTGAAATGCTCCAAATCCTGTTCTTTCAATAGTGAATGGAAATGTTCTCATTTTATTTCATTCTATTATTCATTCTATTATTACATTCTATCCCATTTCTATATTCTCTTCTTCCCTTTAATTTTATGCTAATTATTGAACAGATAAATTAATGTAAAATTTTGTTATTGACAAATTATTTAGTAAAATGCAATATTTTATAATTTCTGCAACAAATTGAAGCATTGAAAGATTTTTTCTATTAACTCTCTTCAATCTTCGAACTTTCTCCAATTTCATTTTATCTATTCTTAGAATTGCAAATAGTTGCAACTGACTAATTAAAGTAACAATTAGTAATTGAGGAAGAATTCTCGTTTGATTTATAAAATCTATTTAAGGCGAAAATAGAATATATCTAAGCAATGAGCTTATATCATTATAAATTGAACACATAAAAGGAAATGCATTGTGTATGTTCAAGTTGTGAAGGAAAAATATATTTATCAACAGAATGATAAAGAAGAGAAGTGTAAGGATAAAATATTCGTTAATAACTTCAACTGCCTATATTTAACTTTATCGAAAGTAAACAAAAAAAGTTGAATATTTAAGTGAAGCAAATATATACTGAACAGTTTTATATTTATGATATTTCGAAAAGTTTGGCAAATTAATTTCTTGCTGAAATTGTTGTTTTCAGTAAGTAAAGCGATGTGTGGAAAGTATTCAATTATCATTTCTATAAATGCTAGTTGAATTATCATTCAGAAACAGACCATATTGGGTCACTCTGTCACTCTGTTCTTTACTATCAGCTCATCAGAATGAGTGTTTTCCTTTTCCAATGTGACCTCTGTATGGGAGGGTATTCGTAGTGACCGTTACAAGGTATATACCAACATTTGCTCTCTATAAGTTTTATTTGTGATACTTCAACAATCAGAACGGATTTGCATCCGCTTGATGCAAATTCAACTATCGTCATTTGTTTTCTCTGACTTTTTTTGCTTTATTCTAAGTTCACTAAAAATTTATACTTTATTATACTCCAAGTATTATCACATAAAAAGTTCTGCAGGTAAATTTAAGTGCAGAAAACAAAAACCTTTTAGTGAACTTACGACCAACACAGTAATTAATTTATTAATTGACAATGAATATCCCAATATCTTCAAGTTTTCTTGTCGAAATTTGCTCTAGTGAAGTATCTTAACATCTGTGCTGTTAAAAATCCTTACCAGTAGCGTTGTTTGATTTATTATTGATGGTAAACACTTTCATCCCTCCCGAAGCTTCATATTAAAATGATAAAAAATAAATGGCAGCTTATTGTAAGTTGAATTCTCAGTAATTCTTTCAGGTACGCCAGAGAAAAACATTAAATCTCAAATAGTAAAAATTAAAGATTAATCGCTGAAGAAAATAGTATAGCAATTAGAGAAGGAAAGAGGGAATAGTGAGATTTGTAAGATATCGTGCTAATTGAGATAAAAAGACAGGTGACTATGCATAACTATTGCAGCAGAGATTGAGAGTAATTATGAAGTATATGCTTAATGCAGCATTTTTAAATAGTCGGGGAATTTGCATACCTTACGCAAGTCGAGGATCACTGTGTGGTATGGTTTTGTAAGTATTAGACATGTGACTTGACGTTCATCATCGCATGAGATGTCGACTAATTGCTATAGGTAAGTACTTCTTACTTAGAAGATCCTTATTAAGTAATTTCAAACATTTCATAATTACTGTGATAATTCGGTAGAGGGGAACGAAAGATGACATCGACTGGTCACAGAAGAGTAATATTGCATGGAATGAGTATGTCACAGAGCTCAACTCATGAAGATCAGGTATTTCTTAGTACAGATTATAAGTCATGTAAAAGATACATTTCATATATAATATCATCATGACTTTCACAATTGTGTCGCTCTGTCTCCCATTTCACTATTTCAGCGGCTCTCTTCCTTTTACAATTCTCTCTCTTTCTTGCGTGGTTCTCTTAATTTGATGGGTAAACAGGTAAAAAGGACACTATTAACGATGTGTCATCAATTGATCAATGAGACAAAATGGAAATCAATCGCTTCCGATTCTCTGCTGACGACAGCTTGGTGTTGTCATCAAAAAAAGACTTAGACATATTTTCTTATCTTCAATTAAAATATCTGAAGTGTTGGTGTAAGAAAGACGTAAAATAGCGCACGCATTTCTTTATTTTTAACTCACATTCGTTAATGAACAACAGCTTCAACTTTTTTCTTAATGGCTTTGATTCTTAAGCAAAGCATAGCTGACGCATTAATAGTTTTTTGGTTTGAAGTTTTTTTTGGTGTATTACACTAGAAACTTCTTGAACTTATTTGCATAAATTTCATTACTGCTTGCAGTATAATCGCATGGTCATATACCTTAACATTTTTAGACCCGTTATACTTCCGCCTCCCTTTGCAATAATTTCTTATTGGCGTATTAGTTTGACATCGTACCAGTGTATATTTTAGAATGCATGATAAAATAGTAGTCATTGGTTTTTGTTTATATGAAAAATGTAAGCATTATTCTGATTTCTATTCGCATAGTTTGTAACTGTTTTTCATTCTTCAAATTTGTGCTTTTACTACACCTTAGCAAAACAAAAGAAGAGAGAATCTGTTATTCATAATTGAAGCAGTGCAACTTGATAACTGAATGTAACTCATTTAATCTGTGACTTATCGTTTATTATTGATAAAGTGATAATGATGATCATAAGTGGACTAAGTGTCACTCATTATTAATCAATATATCACACCTCATTTCAGCATTAATCGATGGAGAAGACAATCACTTCATTAGTTTGTACAACAATTCTTATTTTATACTTAATTAATGGGTTTTTTGTGGATGGTGCCTTGATGAACGCAGATAACGTATGTCCAGTAGAAGAAGAGTGAGTATTTTCTCTCATTTCTAGGTGTTTTAAAATATTTTTTGAAGAAGAGGAAGTGAATAGATTTCTTTGAAAGGAGTCCATGAAAGAGTTATCAAAAGTATCTCACGAATGTACTTCACGGGATTATTGATGAAACGTTTTAGCATTTCATATCTGAAGGTTCGGGCTATCCATTGGTGTGCGTTTCTTTATGCGCGATTTATTCTCGTTCTTAATGTCTTTCCAAATCTACACACAAATTTGAAATGTAAATTCAAGTTGAAGTATAAAGATTAAACCTAAATACAACTTTATGAAGGTGAATTGGTTCTTCAGTGGATATGGCTGTTATTTAGTAAAATCGATGTAGTCGGAAACACCATTCTTAAATGCGGTGCTATCTGATATGCTAAATGGGACATTAAATCAAAGAGCTTTATAAAAATTGTAAAGCATGTATTTGATAAACATAGAACATAATTATTTTGTATCACTTTACGTGCTTTTTTTTCTGATTGATTCGAGATTTTTAAGTTTGATTATGTGCTTTGCTTTGTATGCATCTTTAATCCCATGATATTTGACTTCAGACTTCATTCTCATCTGTATTTCATTTCATTCCACGATATTGGTTTTGTATAATATGTCTAAGATTTTTGCCATCATGTTGTTTAATGTTTCTGATTGATAATTTTTCATATCATTATTTTTCATATTAATTCTCGTTACATTATATCATCATTAGCGATTAGTGTTTGCTGGAGTAGGTAGAGGGCCAAACCTATTTCTTATTTTAATAACATAAGCTTTCAAATACGTGGGGATTCTACGTTGCAATAATTTGCTTAACATTCAACAGTAAAAGGCAGAATCTGTTTGATCAAATTTTTGTGATAAGAATTTTAATCATCGAATTTTATTTTGGTTGTTTTGTATGTTGTGGTATTTTCTCTGAAATACGCATTTATATTCATTGAACTCAATCTTGCTCAGTATTTGCATGCATTACTCTACAAGATCGATGATCAGTTCAGTACTCCTCTATTTTATCTTTGATTCAATGTTCTATCTAGAACAGTACATAATCCATTTCGTTGTTCATATCATTCTGTGTACTCTTCTTTCTCCTTCCCCATTCAACAAATGCGATGTCGTCATCGTCCAAAATCAAGCGACCTTATCGTCAATTTACTGGAAGATAGTGTACCGCAAAAATGATTGATGGACAAAACTGCATGTAAACTATCAAGTTCATTTCACACTCCAACCTCTCATTTTTCTGGCCTATTTTAAGTAATATATGTGGTTTACAAGAGTTTTGCTATTTTATTAGCTCCTCGAAGCTTTTAATTTTTCAGGACTCAAGAGCTAAGCTTGCAGAGACATGAGCAACCTGTTGTGTTGCATACCACACGACCCTGCTGGGATGTCTCACAGGGTTTCCGTTGTAAAGTGAAGACGTAAGTTTCAATTTTTCTTTAAAAATTTAAATTCATTTTTATATGGACTTCTGATTATATAGGTGTCCTGCTGATGACAAATCATGTTGACACTAAAAATTGTTCGTGAAATGATAGATCTCAGTAGTTGTCATGATGCTTGAAACTTGAGTGTAGTATTTGTAGTTTGTAGCAGATAGTCATAATAATGTTGATAATCCATGATTGCATATTTGCACTCTGAAAAGTGACTAATAACTTCAAGAAGTAAATATTTCATTTATTGGTTTTATCAACAGTGTACTAAAATTCTATTAATACCGTTGTAAAAAAATTAAATGTATAATTCCCAAATCTTAAATATTGAAAGAAGCGCTAGTAAAGGCAAATCAGTTCAATCTTAGTTTTCCAAACTTAATTTGGAAACTATTTCCCAAATTAGTTTTCCAAACTACTAGTTTCTATATAAAATAAATGTTCTTTAGTAATGGAACAAAGCTCTCATATAAAGCGTTGCCAACGAAGAAGAAGAGAATTGTTTACAAATGCTGTTCTGGATATTACGAAACACAGCTGGAAACCTGTGAAGGTAAAGTAGTTCCGCACGTTTTGAACTTTCAAGTGGGAAGTTCCCATAATGTATGATATATTGAGTTAATCTCATTTTACTTTCTTTAATGAAATGTGTGGAGGTAATTTTTCACCAAGGCGGATTGTCGAAATCTTTATTTAAAATTTTCCTTGTCAAAGATGTAAGAATTTGGATGTTGGATCTTTGAGACTTAACTGGAATGCCGAATATCACAACAAAAAAGTTTTGTGACGACTTGTTTTCTTTAAGACGCATTTAAGATTAGAATCGATTCTCTAGGATTAGAATCACCTTATACTCGAACATTAAATTATCGAGTTTGATGAGATGAAAGTGCCCTTATGTATTCATTTTTTATGTAATGGTTTTTTAAGTTCTCGATGTTTACAGTTTGCTTGGAAGGTTATTATGGGAATAACTGCAGTTTACATTGTAACTGTTCGGGAAACGAAATTTGTGATAATGTGGTTGGATGCTGCGATCAGCTCACAAAACCTTGTCGTATTATGCGTAAGTTATTCTATACTTGTTGAAGTTGTGATCCATGAATGATATTAAATTTCAGGACTTATTTTGCATGTCATCACATAATGTCCTCATAAAACAATTTTTATGCCTTCATGCTTAACAAACATAACAGTCACGATCAGAAAAATTGTATAAATTGTCCGTATCAACCAGTATATTTTTGGAAGACATCAATAGAGTAAACGCTATTGAAGCGTATAGAAATTATTTACAGAAAGTGCTGCAGTGAAAGAATATGCTGAAAGTAGAAGTTGGCTACTTCCTGCTCTGCTGGCATCGTTATTGGCTGTTGTCTTGTTATCATTTGGAACAATCTTTTATCGAAGAAAGTATAGGAAGGAGAAGGATCCTGATCTTCCAACTCTTACGTAAGTTTTTTTGATATTATTACGGATAATTTGAGTAAGCATCCTTTACTATTTGTTTATAAATTTGAATTTGTTTTTGTGAATTTTGTGTCTAAGTTTCTCATTCTCGTTATTAATTCACGTTATTCTTCAGTTATTATCCAAATGTCAAAGAACTTTTAACTCATAATGAAATTGAAACACGAGAATTCAACAATCCAATGTATAAATCAGCTATTGAAGCAATAGCGATAAAAATCCCGGATGAGTCAACAGCTATCGCTAAGAATGCACAGCGAAATTCTTCTGTTATACGTACATATTATTTTTTTATGTAGATGCTTTTGCATAGCGTAAAGAATCAAAAAAATTAAGTTCGTCCTCTATTTCAGTATATTTCATATCAAACTAAAAGTAATTCTCAGCTATTTTTGAACATAAGTTGAGAAATCTGTATTGTATTTTAATTTTCAGACGAATATGCAACCTTGGATTACGCTGTGCCACCAAGTATGAAGTCTTTATTGGAAAGTCAAAATTTATTGCATGTGCTATCATTTCCTCATGTGCTATCTTTATCATTTCCTTTTTGGTTTACTAACAAAGTGCACTATTATTTCCCGTCTTCTTTTTTCGTTTAAATTATGGCTATGAATTTATGATTCATTCCTCTTAAAGAGTTAAGGATTAAAAAGTTCATTTGTATAGTGGCTATGTAATCTCAGCTTCCGATGTCTTCGTTTTCACTCCATGATCTACTCATGGCCATAGGTTTTAATGTTTTTGTGTGATGTCATGTTTAAAAATGAATTACATTAGATAGTTTTGTTAATCAACGCATTTAAAAATTACACACACACGAGAAATCAAGTCTGAAAGAATAGATCTGATGTTCACCTTTCACTGTTAAACTAATTTCTAATTGTTTTAGTTTCTTGCACTCATTTTTTAAATGTGGTAATTTTTGAATGTGATAACATTTTTTTTTTTTGAATAATTTTTATAATTAGCTTTTTTGTACAAATAAATTAGAAGAATTGGATTAGGTTTTCAAGCCTTCAGGTTTTCTTATTATAAGTTTGTACACTAAATAAATTAATCACACTACAAGTTAATATATCAAATGCACTACTAATTAATGTATACCTTCCTTTTTTCATCCCTATTCCCTAATCATTTTATATTTTCCGAATTAATTGTTTCCAAAAACTCACAACTTGTTGCACGTACGGTACTGCTAGTGCTGTTTTTAATAAATCTTAGAGAAAAAAAGTCAGTTCATTACATTTTGATGTCTTACTCTTATTTGTCCACTTTTTCATTCTCTTATGTTGTTTTCGGTTTGTTTCATTATAGCATTAATGGGCAATGTTTTTTCAAGTTCCGTTCTTAATTATTTTTGTGGCTTATATCCTTCATTAGTGCTTCTTTAAAAATAATGCAAAAAAGATCACTAATTTTTTTTCCCTGCGTAACTTATTTTCTCAACTGTATTGAATTGACTTATTGCTCAAAATAAACTATTATTCTTTCAAGCTTATTTTGTTTCTTGCAGCTTCAAAATATTAATTGTTGTCTTTCTGGAATTGAAATTGCAAAAAATGTTGTGATATGAATATCTTTATTTCAGGTCCATATGAGGCTCCATTGCATTCAACACCGTCACCAAGTACTCGATCCAGTGGAAAACTGGGAAATAAAGAGAATGAATAAATACAATCTGCATGATTTGAATAATTTCATAAATATTTAATACAATAGAGCTTGTCCTGTCTCATAATTACTATTTTAATTTGAAGCGAACTTTCATTTCTTTTTTTTTTCATTTTTATAACTTTGTCTATTGATTGATTTGTGAGATTCAATCTCTCTTCTTTTATGTCTTCAAAAATCATATATGATTAAGAATTCATCTTTGGAAGCAAAACCTAGTTTGATTTAAATTAGGCAGAAAAAAAGTTAATTCCATATTGATTTTCGAGATAAGATTCTCATTTTTTATGAGATTTTCTTCAAGTAGTATTGATTGAATAAATTTTATCAGAAATTTTGGTGAAATTTTAATAAAGACAAACCAGATTTTCTGCTTTTAAATTAATATCATGAAACTCATTATTTTCTGTGTACTGTCAATATTTAGATTATTTTTCCATAATTATAATCAGCGAATGAGTCTTCGTCATGTTATATCGCTGTTTGTCATACATATATTTTCTTCCGTTAAAATTTATTTTATAAGTATTTATGATGAAATTGTATAGTTCTCATTCCTATCTCACATTGTAATTCGAAATATGAGAAATCTAAGTTTTTTTCATCTTTCTTTTTTTTTAGTTATTTATTTTCGCTTATAAATGCTTAAGCCATTATGTTAATTTATTGTACAATATTAATACAAATAACGAAAATTAGGTTGCATCTACCGGTTGGGGCTTCGGATAATGAACGAAGTCACGATCGCTGCATAAATGAAGTAGTCATGAGCAATATCTACGCATTCAATTATTTGTAAAAATTTGTATGAAATTATTTGCTGTGTATCTATGGTTTTTTGGTATCATATAATGATTGTATATGTATGATTTTTTTATTATCTGAAAAAGCGAATTTTATTATCATATAATGATTGTGCTATTCTAGAAATTATTAAATTGCGATTTGTTCCGAGAATTGGAAAATGTTTTGTATGAAAAATGAAACAAATTATTATATGCTCTTCTAGACATACATCTTACAGGATTTTCCATGCATAGAACTGTTACACGCGTACAATTCCATGCAGTTCCATTCATAAATTATTATCAGGTTTTTTATTGAAATTTTCCTCTAAAAAATAATCTCTCGTGAAATGGATTGGCGATTTTATTTCTCCCACCGTTCTGGTGGCTATTGATCTTTAGTGAATAGAATGAAGGCTGGAAAGAATTGATGTTTTAATACTGCTTTTTGAAAACTGAATAAGCAAAATTCATTTGATATACTTGATATAGTACCATTTTGTGTTGATCGCGATATGCAAGTTTGGAGCTCTTCCATTCTCGGATCAGTTCTTTACTCCTGCGGTGTTTTCTCATCTCCATTCCTGTCACATTACTGGGAAATTTGGAGTTATGTTTCAAAGATAATCCCAGAGCTCTAATGATGGGTAATAATAGTTCGAGTCAGGGTTACAATAAGTATGAAAAGTTAGAAATGGAGTGGAAATAAGTATTATTTAAGAAAGTTACAAGGAAAGTTGCATTCTGGAGGGAGAATAATTATTTGTGATTCTTTTCTCCTTTGATTGAAGAAAAAGGTTAAGAAAGATTATTATTAAGGCATTAACGTGTTTTTTTCAATTTACCAGTTTTAGAAATGTAAAATAGCAAAATCTTTGGAAGTGATACAATCAGGTCCTGAGTGATAAGATGGTTTATTCAGATGTTCGAAGAAAAATCTGTCATTTTTCTCTTGTCCACATTGGAAAACTTTACATTTTATAAAATTCATGTTTCTTTCTTGTTTTAAGATTTTCCATCATAAATTATTGGTCGAAGAGCTGTATTCAATTGAATGTCGCGTGCTTCTTTTCAAATCACTAAATCAGATCTCAGAGCTAAAGTTATTTTCGTTGGCAGAAGTGGTAAGTGAACGGATTGTTTGTTGTTTCTTTTTGATTTTTAAGTTGAAGAGTAGTAATATTTTTCTTTAGGGGTAATTCAGGTTCAAACTGAACATTTAACTGAAATTTCATGTTTTTGTTTCACTCGATTAACATTGATGCTTATTGGTTATTACTATTTCAACAGGTGTCGGAAAAACGAGCATCATTCTTCGACATGATGGTCAAGGATTCTATAGTAAAGTCAGTCCGACACTAGGAGCTAGCTTTATTTCTTCGTTTTTGTAAGTAATAAAATGTTATCGTTAGTGTAAAACATCTTTTGATAAGAAGTGATTTGAGATAGTGGATATCATTTTATATATTAATTTGAAGGTTACTAAAACATTAATAAATTCATTTTTATCATAAAGATTACAGATTAGGCTGCAGTAAATGGAATATATATATTATTAAATAGAATTTGAATTTCAATTTTCTGTGTTGGATAAACGTGCGTATAGGATATACTGATTATAGTAAATAGGTCTTTCAAATTTGTTGCTAAGATTTTTAAATTCTAATATTTGATATAAAAGTTATCCCTTTTAAAGACATCTGGACGGTAAAAACGTTGAATTGCAAATATGGGACACAGCGGGGCAGGAACGATATTCTTCCATGGTATTTTCTTTTATTCTGAACTGGAAGTTTTATAAAATAGATAAAATAATTTGACTAGGTGTTATTTAAAATTGTTGACTGTCTTTTTAAGCTTCCGATGTATCTACGTAATGCAGTTGCAGCAGTAATTGTGTATGACATAACTGACCGTGAATCATTTCAAGAGATCAAAAAGTGGGTTAATGGTGAGTTCATTTTTTCAATAAATGTTAAATGTTTTCCTTATGGGAGCAGCTAGATAGTGGTAAAGAAAGGTCAAATATATGTTTCAGAGTTTTGAATAAATTGAGAGGATACTCTGATATGTATTAGTTGGATTATTTTATATGCAGCAAGTTTCTCGATAACTCTAGAATGGTTTGATTTCACTGAAACGAAACAAACCTATCAACGGGAAATTTTTAAAGCAGTTGTCCCTAGATTACATCATTTACTATGGAAGTGAAGTTGAATGCTCTCCATTCCCTAATTCTTTAATCGATAATTATCCATTTCAATGTTTTTTGTTTTTGTAGAAGTGGAACGTGGCTCGACAATTCCTGTCTCCTTGTTTATTGTTGGCAATAAGTTAGATTTGGAAAATGCTCGAGCGGTGCAATATCGTGAAGGACTGCAGTATGCAGAACAGATTGGAGCTGCTTTTTACGAAACTTCGGCAGTGAATGGTGAAGGTATTCATAAAGTAATTATTGCTGTTGCAGAGCATTTGCTAGAACGTCAAAATGGTGAGGAAAATGTAAGATCGACACAGTTGAACATCACCAGCAGTTCCGATTTCTTTAATGATCACAAAGTTAGGAAATCTTGTTGTTTTAAGAGCTGATTATGCTGACTTGAACTTCTTTTTTGCATTATAATTTATGTTGTTGCTTCCTTATTTTTTCTGAAAGTAAGCTTAAAATTTTAGAGAATCAAAGATCAAAAGTTAAGTCATCCTGTTGAATTATTTCATTATTTAAAATTTTCTTAATATTCTTCTCTCTTAATAATATTTTCACATATTGACAATGAAAAACTGATTAGTTACAATAACAAAAACAAAAATATTCTGAAATTTTTTTTGGAATAAATTTTACTTATTCTACATACTTATGTTGTCTACATAATCTTTACTTAAACTGACATCGCATAACACTGTCCGATTTTTTAGTTTGTGATCGAAGCTGTCTGATAAACATCTCATCCTTTAGTTACATTTGTTATACTTCTGCTGATTCAGCATATTGTTTGGCGAACTGGTTATTCATTTTGCTGAAACAATGCTATCAGTTATATTAGTGAAGGAGTTGTAGTCAAAGCTATCTATTTGAACAAGTCCATCAATCATAACTCTCAGTCATACTTATTCCTTTCAGGTTTATCCATTTTTCTGAATTTCCTGTCGTAATTCTCTGAACTGATATTATGCCACCTTATATAATATGTTAAGAATTCATAGTCACATGTTTCATACAACTAATCTTAATTTTACAACTGTGGGAACAATAAATTTGAATCTGGTTAGAAAACAACTGATTAATTCCCGTAAAGAATGCACTTTGTAACTGTTCTTGCTGTCAGTTTTCTTTTTATCGAGTTATCCCTTCCTCTATTATGACGTTCCTTTTGTCATATTCCGGAAATTGACTCGTTATTGTGGGACTTGATTTTTGAGTAGATTTTTTATATTATAAATAATCACATGTATTTTGCAAACTATCATTTGCATTTTATATTTGTTTAGGACACACAGTATTTTTATTTTCTCTTTATTTCTTACTCATTTTAACTTTTTTCTAATTCAAAAACATTAATTGCAAAATATGTTTTAACGTTATGCCTATTAATTTTCAAGCACATTCATATGAGGAAAAAAATTGGATTTCGTTTATTTTAAAGTAAAATGCAATCCATTGAATTTTCGGTATTTTAATTCAGGTTTGAAATTCTTTGCACTTATATATTTTTGTTTCACTTGAAATTTACATACTTTATTGAGTGGTAGTTGTTCCATTTCTCTTATCTTTTCGTGTTTAATCCATGAATTTTATTTCCTTGTTTTCTTTTGGCTTTATATTTCGTTATGTTTTTCTTGTTCGTATCGAGCATACATTATTTCGTCTGTTAAATTGCTCATCACTAGACTACTGTAAATGTCGAAATCATAAGATCGCAATAAAACTCCTTATTGTGACAGTTGTGTTTGAGTTCCAGAAGTATGAGGTCAATTTCTTTTTAAATTAATACTTAATGTAAAAGAGAAAAGACCGAAACTTTTGTCTATTCACTTTTTCCCTGTTCGATCATCTTTTGCCGCTTTTAGAATTGCCATTTATAAGAGTGCTTAGCAGCTGAAAAGGAAAATTTGGTTAAAAATTCAAGTAAAGAAATGCAAGTAAACTAGGAATAAAGAACAAATCTAATCTTAATCTCAATATGGTGGAATTTTTGAATTTAGATTTTTAAGTTTAACTTTGTCCCGGTATAAAAAATCTGGGCAAACCGTTAGGTATGCTCTATAAAAAAATATTTGCATAACTATGTTATATCAAAAAAAGGAAGAAACTGTGGTTGATGAGTGGTGCAGCATCCTGCACTTTACTCATTTGAAAATCTTTCATTGTTCTGTTTGGAAAAACTTCTGTAATGTTCCAGTTAGGATTATTGAGAGTGAAGAATTTTTTAAAGACATAAAAGGAAATGTTTAATTTTATTTAGTAGATGCTAATTGCACAATTTTATAATCGAGTGCATCAATCATTAGTATCACAGTTAGTTTCTAAGAGTCGGGAATAGACTAACTGATGAAATAAAGATATCTTAAAGGGTTCTCCATTCGTAATCTATTATGGAGGAATATTCACCACAGAATGAGATATTATAGAAGTTTTTACAAACAGAGCAATGGAACAGCGACAAATTTTATTTCAGTTCTATTGTTAGCATAGTTATGCATTGTGATATAAAAAAGACTTTGCTGTCCGATTAGAAATTGTTCAATAAAAATTTTCAGCTATAAAATAACCATATAAAATTACCAGTTTCTAAATTTTTGGGGTCAAGAAACTTTTCATTTTCTATTTGGGATTTAAATATCAGAAGATGTTATCATGTAAATTCGCTTTTAACATTATAGATTCCATTTTAATTCTATTTAAGCTAAAATAAGTCAAATTACAAATATTTGACTTAATTTAATATTTGGAACAGTTTTCCGCTCCAACCATTAAATCTATAGGGAATAAAATTAATGGTAATCATACCTGTTCATTTCTCTCGATGAATTCATTCTTTGAAAATTAAACAAACCGAAAAAAATGGAAGCAAAATGGGGAATATGTATAGAAAAAAATGCTACCTTAGATAAGATTTTTTCAAACACTTAACGGATATAAAATTACTTTAAATGTTGACTTTTAAAGTTCAATCTTCGCTTTCAAGGTAACAAATCAACAAAAAGAATTATTGCGAAAGAGTACCTGATATTTCACGCAGTCATATTTCTTTTCCCGATGAAATTTATTTAGGACATTGCTGTTTGTGTTGAAATTCCAGGTGATTTAAAATAAATTAATCTTAATATACTGTCCATCTGTTGCCCATCATCATACTCTATTCTCATTTATCCATTGAAGACTTTGTTTATTCATTTTGCCATCGACCCTAACCCATGCCAATCAACAGGAGGGGCATCGAAGTCGATGACGTGTCCTTGCCAAAATTTTTTCACCTACAAATGGTTTACTCTCTTTTCTCAACAGTTTTTTCTCTTTACTTTTTGTTGCACTATCTGTATTTGTTTCTGTATAGTTTGTTAATTTATTTCAAAAGTGTTTTCAAATATTAAAGATCTAAAGTTCGAACTATTTTATTTAGATCAATCAGGTCAAATGTGATACATATTTCACATTAGTAAACTGAACTTACAGAACTAAGTTTTGATGAGTTATCGTTCTGAACGAATTTCTTAACACCTAGTCGCCGTGATTTCATGAGTTTTGTTGAATGCACATCGCTGAATCTCTTTCATCATACTGCAATGAACGCGTCATCACTCGTTTCATTATATCGTTATAAGAACTCTACACGTGCTAAGACAGCAAGTGTGCGAAAAGAAGGCAATAGATGAAGAGATGACAAAGAAATATGGAAATTATGAAAGTTCGTTGGATGTACGAAGATGTTTATAGAATTAGTGTTAACAATTATAAAAAGGAGTATAAGCTGAGACGATAGATAGAGGGAGAAGAAGTAAATATATCTATTGGTTAATTTATTGATACATAAATAAACGAAACTCGCTGATAAAGAACTTCATCCCATACTTCATTTATTGTAGTCCATCATACGATATGGTATGGTAAGCATGCGGTATATTCAACAAATGATATGCTTTGAAGAGAGATGGATGATAAATGGTATCATTGCAGAATTTTTGTTTTGAGCTGATAGAATTGAAGATCTGCGTATTTATTTCTTGTGTATAAGTTAAATGACAACCCGACGTCATCACCGATAAATGACTGTTACAAAACGAATCTATCCATTCGTCGTATTAACAGCTATTTTTGTATTGTTACTGTTATGTGTGTTGGAACGTGAAGTTTGGGCGCAATTTGAGCCTGACAAAGAATGCTTCTGCAAATTACAAGGAGCCATCAGTGACTGTCAGTTAGTTTTTTCTAAAATTTATTTAACCAAATAGCTGGAGAAATATGAAGGGTTTATTTTTGTTAACTTGGAATTCAATATTTATGTTCATTTGTTCATTCTTTGTATAATATATGCGTGAGCAGTTTGCCTATTGCTAAAGTGATTTACCGTCATTACTTAGTTGAAAATTTTGTTTTGAGTCAAGCTATTTATATCTCGATATGATCGATGTCACTTTATTCAAACTCATTTCAGGTGCACAACAGAAAGCATCGATGATTTCAACAACTATGAAGTCTATCCCATATTGCAGAAGCTCCTATCTCGTGATTTTTTCAGGTTTTATAAAGTGAGTTGCTGTCAATTTACATTTTGAATATCATTTTATCTTTTTTCTTATTTGA